ATCCACTATTCCTTCTTCTATTACTTCTATGGATTGTTCTTCATTATGTGAAATAGCACCAATTTGATGATTTCCAAACACTTTCAACACTTTCTGCTCATTGAGTACAAATCCTTGATTCATGAATACTCCATTATTCAGCTGCAATACTACACATTCTCTATTACTCAAAATGAGTGAAATCCAGCCATTTGGTTTCATTTCTTCATTCCAGCATGCCTGCACATATTGAATGAGGAAACTATCAATTCGAAAGTTATTAATAGCAGAATTAATAAAATCAAGAATGTTTTACATAAAACTACATCTTTATTAACAAAACACCTATTACTCCATTCAGTCATTCTACTTCTTCTACTCCTACTGTTCATTTCCATCATTCTTTTCGACAGGTATAACAACAAACACTGCAAATATACAAACTATCATTAAAAGAAACGATTAAACGACATCGCGCTGCGTATATACCTGCACATAGCTTCCCGATTCAAAAATGGTATCTAACGCTGGTCCCTCTCCACTCTCCCCATTCCCTTCGAACTTCACAGAAGGACTAACCCTCAACTTCGGCCTTGGCGAATCGCCCATATGATTCGCACTTCCACTTCCACTTCCACTTCCACTTCCACTTCCTGCGCTTCGCGTAATGGTCGGAACGACCTGCACTTCGGAGAGCTCGTCACTGCGAATGGGCTCCGCTCCGTGCGAGGCATCATCAGCAAACATCGCGGTGCCGGAAACACGCGACGAGCTCTCCGTGGTGGCTCGGATAAAAGGCTCCACGGAGCTGTTCATCGTGTCTCGACGCAGAACCGAAGACGGCGCGGTGGCTGTCGATAGCGATTCTTGCGAGGCCCGACGTTGTTGCTGCTGTAGCTGCTGCTGCTGTTGTTGTTGTTGTTGCTGCTGCTGCTGTTGCTGCTCTTTGTCGAGAGGAAGGAACTGATCAGTGACGTAGAATTGCTCGGGGTCTTCGAGGAAGAGCTGAAAGGAGAGGGGTGAGAAAAGCGAGTACCTTCCCGATCACGCGCTCCATAATGCGGTTTTTGTAGTTGTCCGGCGGCAGATCGGAGATTCCGTTGCGGTCCTTACACCGGAAAATCACCTTCCAGATGCGCTCCAGCTTCTTCAGCAGCGTGTACTTCTGCAGATAGTCGATGATCCCGATGAAGACCAGCCCGGGGCCTTGAATCACGCTGGAAGCGTAGGGAGCCTGGCCGGTTCCCGGCTTTCTACCTTTCAATCGGCCCCTCGAACTGTACAAATTCGTGCGAATCACGAGATCGCCGGAGAGGTACATCGCGACGTTCTTGTACCCGAGCAGCACGGAGTAGTCCATCAGTCCGTGGCTGCACAGAAAGTCCACGTCTTCGCGCAGCTGGTTGCTGATGCTCTGGTTCATATCGCCGGACACGCGGATGCACGGGCGGAAATTGTTGTCCTTCTTCACGATCGACGCCTCGTGATGGCACGGATCGTCCACTCGATCGCTCACGCCCCAGCGAAACGCCCGGTTGCAGAGCTTGCACGTCACGAGCTGTCCTTTGCGGAACTTCTTCGGGTTTCGATCCACCCAGCTGCCCTATGCGTGAAACGCCCCGAAAACGGCGACCTTGAGATCGAAGACCTCGTCGATGTTGCGATAGGGAAGAATGTTCTCCATTACCACGAAGTAAAGCGTCTGGCCGAACACTTCCAAGGTGTACATGCCGTAGTAGCGATTCAAGAAGCTCCCGCGCACGTTCTGGCTGGCTCGGATCGAGTATTCGCGGTTGATCCACCCGGAGGCTTCCGACTGCGGACTCACGCCGCTCGAGTCGCGTGTGTTGAAGCTCCGATTGCTCTCGGGCGCGAGGAACAGGTCGATCGGCTCGGTCTCGCGGCGCTGGAGGCTGGAGAAGCTCTCGCCGTGCGAGCTGCTGCGAAAATGGGAGCTGCTGCGCTGCGAAGGGCCGGTGAAGGGACTGAAAGGGTTGGCGGGACTGGTGTTGTTGGTCGCGGTGGAGACGGTGCGAGCGAAGCCCCCACTGGTCGCGTTCATCAGGCTCGGATTGCTCGCAGTGTTCAACAAGCTCGGATTGCTCGAATAAGTGGAATGGCTTCCATCGATGCGACCATTCATTCCATTGACTCCATTGACTCCATTGATTCCATTGACTCCATTGACTCCATTCATTCCATTCAATCCACTCGGCGGGTTCGACAGCGTGGCGGGCTGCGGAACGGTGGACATCGCCGGCACGCTCGCCGCGCTGGGCACATTGGGCACGCCCGCGCCCGCGCTCCCGCGGTTCTGGAGCGGATTGGGGGTGTGGAAGCCGGGGAACGGCGTGGAGGCCGCCGGTCCGGGATGCTGCGCGACTCCGGACAGCGAGCGAAGCAGATGGGAAGAGCTGCTGCGGTAGACGTCGAAGTCGGCGAGCAGCGCGGCGCGACTGTCGTCGCGCGAGAAGGAAATGGAATCGATGTCCTGGGAGGAGAAACAGGACGGAGCGAACTCGGCAGAAGTGCCGGAAGAGAGATGGATCTCGTCGCTGGTGTGCATGGAGGCGAAGACGTTCTCGTTGGGCACGAAGGAGGACGATAACTCAGTGACTTCTTTCATCTCTGAGTCGGAGACAGCGTCGTAGTAGGGCATCGGGACGGCTCGCGAGGATGCATGCAGCGAGTGCGGAGGGAAGAGCGAGTCGTCGAGGTCCGGGTCGGGCGATGGCTGCTCGGCGAAGTTTTCGTGGCGGCGCTTGTCTTCGGCGAGCGTGAGGTAGCGCGTCAAATCCTGGAGAATGCTCTTCAAAACGTCGAATTCGGATTTGTTCACAAATTTGACGATAAAACGGTTGCGGTTGGTTCGCACGAAAAGAGAACCTGAAGATCCCTCGGACACGGAGCAACCCGACAGCTACCCATCACTCCCCTTCCACGTTTCCACGTTTTCGAACTCAGAAATGTACTCTTCCTGATCGATGTTGCCTTTAAACCGGAGATACGAGAAAACGACGGGACAATGCTCGCAAAAAATCACGCCTATCGCTCACGCCGCACTCTAATCCGCACGATCTCCGCTCACCACGTCGTCGCACCCCGCTACCGGATCGATCGAATACGCGCAGACCTCCGAATAGTATTCCTCGCGGTCGAGGATGTTCCCGTGGATCCCGGTCACCGGATCGAACGCCTTGCGCGGATCGTCGATGCGCTGCTCGTGCGCGCTGCGCTTCACGCCGTTCGAGAAGATGTCTAGGATCTGATTGCGGATCATGTTGTTGAAGAGCGGCTGCACCTCGCGGTACCACGCGTTCCCGTTGTTCCCCATCGGGTCGCGGTCGTCCTGCTTCCCTCCGCGGTGCCAGAAATTGTCCAGGAAGATGAAGCTCGTGAGAATCCCGCGGGAGGTCAGGATCGCGTAGAAGAGCTGAGAGTGACAGAAATCGAGGGGAGAAACCAATTCGAGGATGTAGGAGGAGACGAAGCGCGGCTCCCAGGACTGAAAGTGGTAATTGATCATCACGTTGAGCCCGTAGAGAACACAGACACACAATCCGTAGATGATGTAGATGAACACGTAGAACATCATGCTCTCCAAGGCCTCGGCGCGCGCGCGGAGAAGCGTTTCCTGGATGACAGGAAGGCGGTTGAGGCAGCGCGCCATGAGCATGAGAAGAACCGCGGAAGTGGTGTAGATGATGATGATGAACGCGAACAGGAACTCCCAAGAGGCCCTAGGGGGTAAACCACGAGGGGGACACGGAGTACCAGTTGATTTTGTTGGGAACGCTCTGGATCCAACAAAGACCCACTGCATGACGGCCAATAAAATCGGTATTCATTAGAATGAGGGCAAGGCAAACAGACACGACATAGGTCGTTCCTGCATAACTAGGATGAAAGGAATACAAAAATCAAACAAAGTATATCGTGTTTTGGGATTTGTAAATGGTCGGCTTACTGAAACCAAAGCATCGATAGCAAGACAGCAGTAGCTCAATTCTGAACCAAGCAAAGAATACTGCGTGAGCACTGCCACAAACTGTCCCATAACCGATTGGCAATTCGTATCTCCTTCATATACTAAACGAATACTTATTAAAACACATATTGAGAACACAAGATCGTTAGATCTACAAGCTAGTGACTAATTTCACACACCTTACGCGTGGTGAATTACAATTTGATTGGGGTGTGCTCTTGTCCCCGGGTATACCATATAAATGTACAGAACGAAGGAACAGAGCACAAGAGAGACAATACTACAACTCACAGAGGAGGAACCTAAAAATACCTGAAGAACATAGATATGACTTCAATTATCTTCATGTTGCTTTTTAATTGTTCACCCAGAGTTCAATTGAGAACAGAAAAAACCATGTGCAGTTACTTTTGATTATCATGAATTGTGAAACTCAATCGAAATCGTTGCTTCTTCTACAAATCGCAATTCTCAATTATAGACGTGCTCTGCGGATTGTCGGAAGTTGTTACAACCTCCTATCCAACATTGAGACCTTATCTAAAATACGCGGACGAGTAATACGGAGGGAAATTATTGATTGTGCATCTCTGTCGACTGAGCATCTCTTTCCCTCACTATAAACCTCATTTCGTGACCTTCACAATTATCCATTGTGAGATCGTTTTTTCCTAAATCTCGAATGTATCTCATACAAGATTCATTATCGGATATGTAATTCCCGGATATTTTTCCTGAGAAAGTAGAGAGGAAAAGAATAGAAAAGACGACTGCAGTAGGGATACGGAGGCTACATACTGTGAAGAGAAAAAGTTTTAAGCGAATCCTTGCACTGAGTTGTAGATATCTTGTGGGTAGACGATATAACGAAGCGGTCCTTGGATCTAGCGTCATACCGATTAAAATACCCGAAGTTTCAAATCAATTCAGGAGGTCGAAGACAAAGGTTTGCTTTGTTTACGTTGCTGTCAGATTTAGATTAAAATAAAACATATCCTCATTGTGCTGTGTATAAATATTTACAACTTATCGGATGAACCGAAACCGAGGAGGTATTACGGAGAGGAATGCTGGACTTGTATGATTGCAGATCGGTTTTGAAATAGCCATCCAAAATCTTCAACAAAAAGAAGGAATTCTGGAGGTTATCTCCTCCTCTCTTCGTCAACTCTACAAATCCCTAGTCTACTCTCCTGGACGCGTATTTCTCTCTTTTTTATTTTCCACTCACACCCAGTACCAGTTCAAAAGTCTCAACGATCCCTGCCTCAACAGCGTGGAGTCGGCTATCCAGGAAATCCGCCAAAACACCGAATCCACCTCCAAAAGCCGCGTTCTCTTCCACTACAACGGCCACGGCGTTCTGACGCCCTCCTCGCTCGGCGAGATCTGGCTGTTCAACCGGAACTACGACAAGTACAAGCCGGTCTCGATCCTCTCCATCCACGTCGCCGTTCGCTTTGCCCTCTATGAATAGACCTGGCTCAAATCGCCGGTGCTGTACGTCATGGACTGCAGTCTCGCGGGGATGCTGCTGGACCACTTCCGCGAGCTCTACGTGGACTCCATGGAGGAAGAAATGAACAACATTTTGTTTCTGGGCGCTTGCGGTCGCTCCCAATTTTATCTCTGACTGGTAGACTCGGGAGAATTTCTCCCGGAGCACGAGGATTTCCCGGTGGATCTGTTCACGATGTGTCTCACGGATCCGATCCGCGTCAGCATCCGCTGGTTCCTCCACCACCAAAAGTTCCAGCCGTTCTCGCGCGTGCGGAACAATCCCAAGGGCGAGAGCATCGAGGAGGACTACGCCTACCGCCTCGAAGGCGAGCCAGTGCGCGTGGAAACGTGGAAATGAGGGGTAGTTCGACCATGATCTCCCGAAGGGGAAGCTGCACATGATCTTTAACTGCATTACGGACAGCATTGCGTGGAGCATTCTGGACGAAAGCACGTATCATCTGCTTTTCAACACCGACGAAATGGTCGCCGCGCTCTTCCGGAATTTCCTGCTCGCGCAGGTTGGCCGCGGGGAAGAGAGGATGACGGATAGCGCGTGATGTCGCTGTTCAACTGCCACCCGGTGAGTTACCCCCGTTTCTCCGATCAGTCGATGCATCCCTTGTGGAAAGTTCGCTTCTTCTTCGCGTCGGTTTTAATTCGTCTAGACCTGGGATTCCGTCATCGAGGAGTTTCTCTCCCAGTTCTCCGCGGTGCAGAAGGAGTGTTCCATCATCACGCCCGACGATCTCCGGGAAAAACTCCCCGTCCCGCCGCCGCTTTCCCCGCCCAACTCGGAGCAGTTGTACCCCAACTTGTTCAAGCAGCCGCTGGAGCAGCCGCACAGCGCGCTGCGCGCTCCCAAGTTCTCCGTGTACTCCAAGTTCACCTTCAAAACCGACTTCTTCCGCTGCATCTTCTGCGACCTCGCGAATTTCGTGCCGATTTTTGGAATTCCTGAAGGATAGGTGAGGACGTCGTGCCAAATCAACGAGCTGCCGGACGGCTTTTCGATGCTGATTCAGCTGCTGAACAACACGAGCTATGTTCGGAGCAGGGGAAACGGTGAAACGTAGAACCGTCGATCGCGGCAGATGGGCGAACCCGCGGGGAATCTGATGGATCGGGACGAAATGACGCAGCAGATCTCGCCGACGGAGACCGTGAATTTGATCGACTTGCTGGCGGACTTCGCGGAGCGATCGCGCGGGATCGTCATGCTGATCATGAAATCACTGAACTACTACTCGCTGAAACTGATCTCGTCGCACGCGCAGAGCCAATACAAGAAGGGATTGCTGCGGTTATGGACGTGTTTGATGGCGTACGACCCGCAGATGCAGGAAGACCATTTGCAGAACCTCACGCAGTTTTTGTTTTCGTTCCTGCGGCGCGACGCGGAGATGCATCCGAGCGACGAGGATATTTTGCGAGTGGAGTTTCTCTTGACGCTGGCGTGCTTCACGAAGAATTCGGCGCGGATTCGGCTCCGCGACAGCGAGGTGCACAAGCTGATCACGAAGCACTTGCGGTCGCCGCTGTGGAAGCTCCAATGCTGGACGTGCTTGCTGCTCTCGCAGCTGTGCTTCGAGTGTAACGAGCTGAAGGAGTTTTTGCTCAACGATCTGCGGAAGAGCCTCGTGAATCCGGCGCAGAGCAGCGACCTGCTCGATCTGCTCGCGCATCCGCAGCCCGAAGTCCGCGCCGCGGCGCTGCTGCTGCTCGAGTCGTTCGTGGGGTTCGGAAGCTCCGGCTACCAGGGCACGCGGAACAGTATTCACGTGTATCTGAACCACGACGAGCTGAACAAGCTGGTGGACACGGAGGACCAGTCCGCCAAGTTCGACCAGCTGCTGCTGAACCGAATCTCCGAGCGGATCTCGATGAACCGAGAAGGTTCCGTTCTGGTGCGTCGCGAGCTCATGCGCCTCATCCTCAAAATCTTCTGCCGTCGCTGCCACATGGCGCACATGATCTGCTTCGTAGACCGTATTCTAAAAGGAGAAATGGAGGTCGCGCGGCTGCTGAACCTCCTCGACGAGGACAAGCACCCGACCGCCTCGCCGCCCTCCGACTTCAATCCCTTCTACGTCAAGCACTGGATCCTCTTCCTCTACCTCCGCGACGCCGAGCCCAACCTCACCATCCGCAACGCCGTGTCCCACTACGTCTACGTCATCTGCAAGAACGTCGACTACCTCAAATCCAGCGGGACGCTTCCTTCTACTCGCTCCATTTTCGACCTCGCTTCTGCTCTCAAGTTCAGTTCGCAGGCCAAGCCCGTCTCCACCGCTTCGCTCCCCACACTCCCCATCCACGAGCCCACCCGCGCACCGCTCACCGACCTCCCGCTCATCTCCACCTCCTCCCGCGGTTCCAGCTTCGCCTCCCGACACGCCTCCTTCCACCGAAACTCCCAGACCGCACACCCGCCCCTCACCTCCATTTTCCCCAATAATCCCGCGGTTCCGACGGTTCCGACGGTTTCCACGATTCCGACGGTGACAACAGGTTCCACGGTTTCCACGGTTTCCACGATTCCTAAGGTTCCGACGGTTTCTACGATTCCTTCGGTTTCCACGATTCCTACCATCCCCACCGGTTCCACGGTTTCCACGGTTTCCACATTGCCTCCTATCCACACCGGTGCCGCCGTTTCCACGGTTTCCCGGCTTTCTCCAATCCCTTCCGGTTCCCCGGTTTCCCCGGTTTCCCCTCCGCTCCCCGCGGTGACGACGGGTTCTTCCCGCGGGGGCGGTCGTTCTCTGATTCCCGCGGGGATCGCGCAGTCGTCCTCGTTCGTGAATCTGCATCTCATGCAGCAGGGCGCGTCGTCGCCAGAGCCGGTTTCGCACATCGACTCGATGCTGGAGACGCAGCTGGGTCTGCTGGGGCTTCCGCACACGTTTCTGGAGTGGAGTCTGAACAACTTCATGGAGTGGAAGGACGATTCCGCGGGGGACGAGCGGCGCGAGAAGCGGCGGCGTCTCAAAACGCTTCTCGGCGGCGACGGGCCGCTCGACTGCGCCGACTGCGCCGACTACGCGCGCGTCGCTCGCTCGCTCCCGCGGGGATCCGCGCGACGGCGGTGGAAGGAGCGACGCGTGCTGCGCACGGAGGGCGAGGTCACGTGTCTGCGGTTCCACCCGCTGTTCACCGCGGTTTCGGTGGGGGTCGATCGGGCGTTTCATGTAGATGGGTGCGGGGAAGACGGTTTCGCTGTTCGATTACCGCGAGAATCAGGCGATGCCGCCGCTGGACCCGAAGCTGAGCACGTGCGCGACGTCGCTGGAGTGGATCAATCCGTCCGAGTCCGCATTGCTGGTAGAAGGGACGCGAAAAGGGGCCATCTTTATTTGGGACATCCGACAACCGCGGGTCGTGTCGTCTTTTGTGGCCTTCCCCGTGTTCTCGAAGGACCAGCCGAAGGGCAGCGAGGTCACGCCCGCCATGCTCTGTCGCTGGAGCCAGTCCGCCGGTTTGCTCGCAACCGCGGGGACCACGCAGCTCGTGAAGGTCTGGAACCTGGAGACCGAGCAGCTCGCGTGCTGCCGCGCCACCGGAGAGGAATCGCCCGTGGTGTCGCTGCTGTCGGAGGAGCGGAGCGGCTTCACGTGCGGGCTGCGGAACGGCCGCGTGCTGCAGATCGACGCGCGGACGCACGACGTGCTTCGACTCTTTCAATCGCCGCAAAACGACGCGAAGCTCGTCGGACTGGTGTCGGTTAGCGAGTTTCTCTTCGCTACCGCCGAGTTCGATGGGTGGCTCCGCTTCTTCGACCGGAGAAACGCGTCTACCGCGGTTTCAGAGCGGTTTTTGGCGCCGACGCTGACGGCGCTGGAAGCCCAGCCAGCGATGGAGATGATGGTGACCACCAGTCTGCGGTCGGAGCTGCGGATTCTGGACCGGGAGGGAGAGACGAAGCAGGTGGTGAGGGCGACGAAGGGATTCCGGACGAAGCCGCTCGGCAATTTGATGGGGGCGGCGATTCATCCGCTGAGTGGCGCGGTGGCGTGTTATAATGCGCGTGGTGTGGTGTGTGTGTATGAATAGGAGGAAGGAAGGAAGGAAGGAAGGAAGGAAGAATGAGATGGAATGAATGATTGCTTCATTTAAATTGATTGTTTGATTGTTTGTTTGAATAAATGAATGAATGAAAGAAGGAAAGAAAAAAAGGTGGAATAGAAAAGGAAGCAGCCAATCCGAATTCGTCACTACCATTCATGTTCTAACAACTACACAGATTGCATTCACAGAATAGCAGAAACGATTCGTACTCTTTCGAACCTTTCGTTTAACAAACAATGCATTAAATAGGAAGAGTGAGGATAAAATCCAGAATGTCGTTAATATCGACAGTAATACGTCCGCTGTGCGTCGTATCGCGCATTGCAAACTTCATCTCCAACACCTGCAAAATCGAAACCACCTTGATGAAGCCATTCAAATCGATGAAATTGTTGTGAAGAGTGTCAATATTCTGGAAAAGCGGGAGAAACATTTGATCAGAAACATGGAATCTAACGATCAGCATCCCATGCATCCATCCCTACTGGAGTCGCTTCATTGCGTTTACAAATTCGCCATATTCCATTTTCCCTGAGTGGTCCTCATCTAAACTGTTGAAAAGCGCCTGCATCAGAGAAAGTCAATCACCATCTACAATCCACTCGTTGATTTCACGGTAAATCTCGCGGAATTCGTTGATCTGAATGCTGCCACTGTTATCCGTGTCGTGCTTCATGAACAGTTGATTGCAGATTTCGTTTGAGAGCTGAACGTTTAGGTTTTGGAGAGCAATGCGCAAGCCACTCACGTTAATAGCATTTCTATCCTAAAAGATCATTAAGCTTCGTTACCCTCCGAGGCTCACGGAGTTAAACGCATTGTTTACAGGATCCATAGAGCGAGCGATTGGGGCTATATTTGGAACTCGGAGCGGGGTCGATGTCTGGGAAAACTGATTCGGCGAATACATTGCAGATCCAGGCTGGGGCTGGGCTGGAGAATTGTAATAAGGGTTCGGCGGAATCTGGGAAGGATTCAAGTAAGGAGAGTTTCCAGCGGGCGTAGAGTTTACTAGAATTTACGTGCAGAATGCGGAGATACCCTGACAAGTGGAACCGCACTTCGGGCACTAGACATCAGAAGAAGGTTAGAAAAAAGATACACGAAACAAGCCCGCAGTACCGTTGATATTTAGAGCTTGCTGGCAAGTGGGACAATTAATAATCATTGCAAACGAATAGAATGGGAAAAAAGTAATAAAAATAGTGCTTTATTGTGGTCTTTATTTCGGAACCGTACCAACAAATTGCAGTTTTATACGGAGTTTGTGTTGGAGAACCAACAATCCAATTAAGGATAATTGAGATAGATACTAAAAGATGTAAAAAACCGTTTTTGGATGCGTAATAATGGTTTTTCGGTAAGAAAGTCGTTTGGAGTCGTCAGAACGCTTTAGTGAATATATGCAGAGGAGACAATGTAGTGATTAGAGAAAAGAGAAAATTGAAGGTAGCTGGATGAGTTGAGCACGGAATAGACAAAAGTGTTGACTATGATGTGCTTAATCAAGCATGGGCTTTCTTTTAGCAGATAACCGGCAAATCGAGCTGTGATGGGGAAAGGGTTATTTTTGTGGCTTGAGGTGGATCCTTTATTTGCTTTTTATACGTATCTGAACATAGGTAATGTGATTCGTGTGAGAGTTTGAGGATATACGAGATCGACCTATAGGGAATCATGTTAGAATAATGAAGTGAAGGTATGTCATTTATTAATATTATTAATAAATCTATACCCAATCCTTCAAGTGTATCGATATGGCTTACACCTTTGTATATTCTGTACCTTACTAGTGAAATAGAATTGGTACACCTTCTAATACCTATTATTAGAATATTATCATAAATTACCTCAAGTCTTCTGTTCATATTGTCAAAGCCTATACAAGTCCATAATACCAGTTATTAGTGTGTGTAGTCAATATTTCATTCAACGATCCATTTTCGTATGAAAAATTATTAGGAAATAATGGGTTCAGACATGATTGTTTCAAACCTCTTGATACCAATTCATATATATTCGATTCGATTCAATTCAATTCTTTTTTTTGCTGTGGTTACCTAACTAGTTTATATGTATTGTCTCGATTACGAACAAGTTTGCATTGAACTTCTTGCAACTCACATTAATCGTGTGCGAATAAATAGGATAATGGATTATTGCATCTGATACCAAAGAAAAGGATACCAATATGATTAATACTAACGCTAAGCGAATCACAAAACACTGTGAGTCTGTATTTAGGCCAAAAGCATCTTCCCAAGGACGCGAAGTGTTTCTACTGCTTCGAAAAGAAGGTGGCGGCGTTCACATTGAAGGCAGATCGTACGAAGGTTTGCGCATGTTTGTTAAATACCTTTGGTCCGGAGAAAAGTTCATGAATACGGAGGTACACCGTGACCAGAGCCTATCCATTGAGGCGAGGAAGCGATTGGAACTGATTCTGCAGAAAGAGATACAGTTTATCCTACAGGTCTGTTCTTACCATGAATTGTCGATTTGTAGGAAGCAAAAATGTATATGGAACATTGCAGACGAACCAAGCTCACAGCTGGCGATATCGAGAAGATGCTGTATATTTATAATTTTGATGTATGAAGAGGAGGTTCAATGCGATCTAGAAAATATTGGGATATAAGAATCGAAGGTCCGAGATGCAAAGGTCGTTAATGGTACTTGCTGACAAATCTAACACATCGAATATCGTTTCCGTAAATCACATCATCGAATCTGAAGTTCCGGAGCTTCCTCTGGAAACTTCGTTCAAAGTCAATTGGTTTGTCGTGGAAGGCAATCAAATCCAATATCTGAAAGAGAGTACGGACTTTTTTCTAATCCATTTTATTCTCTAGTGGGAGAAGATGATGACTCTCCCGATGACTCTCCCGATGTCCAGCTTCTGAGCCAATCCACGCGTTCTGTCCATTCTCTCTCCTTCGAATGCGAGCTCTACCTCAAGAAGATCAAGAGCCGTCTCTACAGCTCGGAGGAAGAGAACACGGAGGTGTTCCACCAGCTCCAAACCGACGAAGGTCTCAACCAAATCTGCCCATATCTCGTCGATTGGGTGCAATCCACCGTACTTTATCCCCTCTCTCTCCTCAACAGACGCAAAAGATCATGCAGAAGAAGCCCGTCCGCATGGTCGCCTACCTCCGGTACATCATCCAGCTCATCCACAGTCTTCTCCTCAACCGCCATCTCCACATCGTCAGCTACGTTTCCCTTGTTTCCACTTTTCCACCCAGCTCCACATCCTCGTTCCCTGCATTCTCACCTGCGCCCTCGGAAAAACGCTCAGTTTCTCCCCCGCGGAAGACCACTGGGAGTTACGCGCACGTGCCGCCATCGTCCTCGCCGAGCTGATTCGCCAGTACGTAAATCGTGGAAACTGGGGAACTAGATACGGCGTAACGTACCCCAAACTGCAGAATCAAGTGTTGGTCACGCTGAATCGCGTTCTCCACACGCCGAATTCCACGATTCCCAGCGTCTTCGGCGTTCTCGTCTGTTCGTGGAAACGTGGAAACTCAAGGATAGGCGTTTCGCGGATGGGGGATGCGATGATTCGGCGCATGTTGCTTCCGATCGCGCGGGAACTCAACGCGAATCTGGAGGCGATCCTCGCGAAAAAGAAGTCGATAACCGCGGAAATACAGGTGTATCGGTGCATCTTCGCGCTGACTGTGGGGGAAACGTGGAAACTCGAGTGTAGGAAGCGATGGGGATCGTGGGAGAAAGCGTGCAGAGGCGATTGGAAGTGGGTCGGCAGTGCGAAGAAGTGATGAATGAAGCGGAGGAAACGATGAAGAAGTTGATGGCGCCGAGGGAATTGATGTTTACGGAGGCGTTGATTCCAATGTGCTATCATCATTGGGAAGGAACGTGGGATGTTTGCGACTATGTAATTTGGAGTGTTTGTTGGAAAAGAAAGAAGGGGAGTGGTGTAGTCTTATGTGAAAGATTATTAGGAATCGAGTGTAGATTAATTGTGGGTTTGAATTTGCTTCCAGAATCAATTGGAGACTATCTTTCATCATATAGAACAAAAGGAAAGGGTGTTTAAAAACTCATATCCTCACATTTGTTGAAACTCAACAAGGAATCACACATTCATTTTGGTTAGAATCAAGTCCATGTTCCAAATCACAATTCGACCGTCCAATCCACACGTTGAAATCTCCTTCACTTTCTGCTGATTCGATTCTCGCGACTTCTCCCGGATTTCCAGAATCATATTGCGATGCGGACCTGAACTTGTGTTTCCCTGATCCATGCTCGTGGAATTCCGCAACGAACCGCGATTCGTGTTCGATTGGAGCATCTATTGACCATTCCGAATCGAATCGAATTCTACTCGAATTCGCTCTTGGAACGAACTCGACATGCGCGACGATCCGCTCGCGTCCGAAGCGCTCAAATCCGCGACACCCACATACTTCCTTTGCTTCACTCCGCTCTCCACGCACTTACCATTCGCCTGCTTGCTTTGCGAGCACGTGGAGATCGGAATCGAATCCTCCAGCCACCATCACATCGTCCCGAACGAACAGAAGACTTGTGAATGGCAGGCATGGGCAGGAAATCGTCTATTCATCACGCACTCCCTTCTGATTGGCTACTCGCTTGCTCATCATGTGGCCTGTGAATTCCAGAACATACACGTTGCTGCTTCGATCTACATTCAATGCGCTGCGAAGGATGCTGGATACCTGCGTAAGCGATCGCTGTGTTGGATAGATTCACCGCAATCGCCTCCACGACGTCGCACTTGTCTCCGAAAACATATCCAAACAGATCCTTCGAAGTGATATCGAACGGACAGTCTTGAATCCTACGCATGATCCCGTCACTCCTGCATGCATACGGCTGTGTGGGATCGTAGTACGTGCTCACAATGCTCATCGAACCGTCCAACGAGCCACGGCATAACAGCTGGCCTGTGCGATCCCAACAAACGCAGAAGATGCTGCCCTTCGCTTTATTCGATATGGTGGGCGTTTCCGTTCCCGATTCCTCCGTTTCTTTCTCTAGCTTCGCGTGCAGTCCGCTTGGATTCACCCACAAATTCTCGTAAGTGTTGAAAGTGCAGATGCGCACTATTGCTAAAAAAGCAAACGAATCGGCATACACTTGCGCTCGCTGGAACCGACAGCAAACGCTTTCCCATCCGGTGACCACTTGCAGCAGAGAGCCGCTCGCTTGATTTTCAACAATACCAGAGTAGGCATCCACTTTCCGTCCTCCAAGTTCCACACATACGCATTGCAGTCTTCGGAGCAAGATAAAATGCGGTTATAATTCGGATCCCAGTCCAAAGCAGTAATCGGCAAGTCATGCTACAGAGATACATTACAAAATCGAGTACTCCCGTTAATGTGTGAATTAATTTCCAATCTTCGAACTTGGAAGACGTGCAATTCGTGTAGATTTGTATCGTATTATCATTTCGAGTCGCAAGAGCGACTTCTACGAAAATAAGAAAGATATGAAGTAGACCCAACGTGTCCGATCCTTGTTCCAGCAATGACAAGAGAGTGTCTTCGCCACTTTGAATACGGTTGTTGCTTGCATATCTATTTATAAAATACGAGTGAGAAATTAGAACCCGAATCAATAGATTGTTGGAAAGTGAAAACTACTCAGAATTTGGAAATTGCAATAATCAGGGAGATTTTGCATGTGCCCTTATCTCTCTTTCTAGCCATCTTGATGCAGGAAAAACCATCAGAAATCAACAAAGAGATCACCGCCGAGGAAAAACAATTCACAGATCTCCTGTTTGGTGATTTGGAGGAGGTCTCGATTCCTGTATCTGATTTGGAAAGAAGTGATTGTATAGAAGCAAACAACACCGAAAGAAGAAAAGCCAAAGGAGCGTGTTCCCTTATGGCACGATTCTGACGACGACGAAATTGAAATTGACATTAGTGCACAGGGAAAGAGAAAGAGAATGCGAAACGATTATGAAGAAAAGAAGATTAGTGGAACCGAGTATACCAAGCGTTTGCAAGCAAAGTAAAACGATGGGTCGTTATCTGATACACAGACTCGCTCTTCCCAGTGAAGTGGAGTCTCTGTTTGAACTTTCTCCCAAAGTGGATGCGAACGATGACGTTGAGACGCTTCTCCGCACGACCAAACGCTTCATCGGCGCTTCTCGCGCTCTCCCCAGTACCCACCTGGAGATCCAGAAGCTGGCCGAGTTCGCTCTGCGTGAAGACAATGGTTCCGAGCGGCTGAAGCGCAAAAAAGTACAAAAATCCGCACTATTTTTAACATTCCTCAGGAAGCGATCCGCTCGGTGAGTTTCCACCGTTCGGAACCCCTTTTCCTCGTCTACAACGCCTCGAACTTCGTGCATCTCTACTCGCTCCAATCCGGCGCGCCGACATGCATCAAAATGCTCCACTTCGACAACTTCCTCGTCCATCAAGCTGATTGGACCAGCCGAAACACGTACGATTCCCGCGGTTCTCCCACCCAGACTCCTCCTAAGCTCCAAAAACCGCGAGTTTCTGATCTACTACGACATCGAGCGCGACAAATTCTCGCGGATCTTCAACGTCCCCGGTACTCCCGCGGTTTTCGCCTCATCCCAGGGTACCAGGAGCTGAAGCACGGGAAAATGTGCGTTTCGCCGGACGGCGTGCACGTGCTTCTGATCGGCAACGAGGGATCTTTGTTCCGCGTGGATCTGCGGAGTCGCCGCTGCGAAACGGTGCGCCAATTGGCTTCGCCGGTGTGCGACGCCAGTTTCTACGATCGAGAAACCTGTTATATCTTAACAAGTGCGAGAGAACCGCGGGGATGAGGCGTAGAGGACAGTATGATCTTCGAATTCGACGTGACGACATGCACGGTGCGGCACGTGTACCGCGATAAGGACTTGTTTGGCGGGATTGTGCTGTGCGTGAACGGAAATTTCATGGCGATCGGGTGGTTCCGCGGGAATTGGGTGATTTCTAGGGACGCTACGGGCGTGCTGAGCGTGTATGAAACGCCCACGGAGCGGACGACGAAGGCGGGAGCGGAGAATTCGCGGGAAATCGTGGCGTTGAAGGCAGTGAAGAATTTGGTAACCGCGGTTTCGAGCGTGGCGATCAACAACGACAACTCGCTGCTGGTGTACGCGAGCCGAGAGAAGCAGACGCAGATCCGCGCGGTGCATCTGGGGACGCGGAGCGTGTTCACGAACTGGCCAACGAAGCGGGAAAACTTGGGAGGCGTGACGACGGTGGCGATGAGCGGAGACAATCGTGGAAACGGGGAAGAGGAGTGAGGAGTAGAGTATTTGGCGATCGGGAACAAGCAGGGGAAGGTCTTTTTATACCGTTTTAATCATTTTTATCATTGGGGTGTTTGTTCACAAAGGGAAGTGGAGAGTGGACGAATAGTGATTGAGGAATGGAGACTTCTTTCGTTTTTTTCTTTTCTTTCGATTTTGAAGAATAACACTCCAGTAACAGGATCCTCACCATTCTGAAAAACAAACCTGTCTATCCTCAACGAATCAACAACAATTGTTTTATTTATAGCATTCATATCACCAAGTCCATTGCACTCTTTCATCCTTTTGTATTCAACAAACAATTCATTGACTTTTGTATTGATCAAAGATCTGAGCAGCGTATTCCTTCATGAGATAGAAAAACGAAGGAGGCAGTTCCCCGATAACCTTTCCTACGCTCCATTTCCTTCACGTTTCCATACCTGGATTACCGGAAACATGCGAAAAGGGAGAGATTTGAGAAAAGGGAGGAAGAACAGTGCCTGGACCAATGAAGCAATTATCCTTTATGACGCATCCTTCTCCCTACTCGCTGAAACGAGCAAATAATAATAACAATCGTGCAGCCATCGCCTATCCAAACGCAATCACCAATCCAGAATGCTTTTATCGCACAATGCGACCCAATGATTGTATTTTTACCTATAGATATGCGAGCTAACTCTCGTCTAGATTTGACAAGTCAATGAACGAAAACGATTTTCGACTTCCGGTTTCGTCGATTTCTTGTGTAGAGGGACTGATGTCTGTGTTATTTCTAATGGTTGTATTTCTCTCGATGGAGACTATGCCGATATCGCCGTGGATGCAGACTTCCTTCTCGATTACATTCTGGATTATTATCAATCGAACAGTTCAATCCTACGAGACCACCCGATCGAATGTTCTGCAAATTCACCAATTTCGCTTCTTTATGAATTTTGATTTTCGAATTAGTAATATATTCCGACGGGTCATACTTCACTTTGCTAAAAGAAACAGAAAAGTCCATAATCAACAAAGCATTAACAATCGTACAACGACTTCAAAAACTGAGCCAGCAAGGTAAAATCACTTCGCTCCTCTCTTCTCCATGGGTCTCTCCTCCGTGTGTATCATTGCTTGAAAACGCTTTATCGCCTCTAATACGATCGGTACAAAAAATATGTTATATAAATCCACCATCGTTTTCCCCTCTCCGGCGTACTCCTCTGACACAAAGGAAAGGTCCACAGCGAGCCAGAGCCGGTTGACGTCGCCCCAATGGAAGAGATTGCTGATGGATTGGAATGGCGTGAGGTACTCGAGATATACGTCGAGAAGGTTATGGAACGAAATGTTGATGCAGAAAATTCTGCAAATAGCGAAGAAAGCGCAGACAACAAGTTGATCGAGACTAATGTGCGGTAGAACGGCTTGAATGGCTTCTAAACCTAGAGAGAGATAGAGAGAAATGAGTCGATGAATTACTTAATGTGTAGCGAAGGAGAGACCAGATGTATTTGGTGATTGCGGAGTCGCGCATATTGAACATTTTTAAAAGATAAACAATTCGAGCAGAGCAGAAAATATGATAAGCATTGACTACATGAAAAGGGAACGACCAACTCTACCGATAGGCTTGTCTTCGAACAGCATTGGAATTGAACCATCGAACCCGGCAAGACGAGCGACGATCTCGACTCCAAACTCCGTGGCGTATATCGGACTAGTGACTCACTGGAGAGTAGGAAAAGACAAACCTTCCGTGGATCACCACTATCTGGAGTTTGGGACAATAAATGTTGACTTCCCATAAACTATCGATTAAGAAAAAGGGTAGAACAAACTCCTGGTTACATGCTACCATGTTTTTAGAGTAGTCAATCGATAAAAAGGTTACTTCACAACATCGTCTAGATCCCAAGAAAACGAAATGCACAACCTGATGAGAGAGATAAACTCGGCATCTGACATAGTATTAAACTCAACTAAATAGAGAGTTTTCATTTGACGGCACAGCTTATCATAATTTGAAACAGATACAATATTTACTTCATTTACCACTTCCTTTGTTGTTCGACTAACGGGTTCAAATGAAGCAAACAAATCGCCTAAGCATTCATAACTCCTCTTTTCAATTACGTAGACTTAAAAATTTCGCAATATTTTGCAAAATATTCGGCTCTAGTTTATCCATTGGTCGAAAACAATTTCTCAGTAGCAAACTCTAAAATATGTGGTAACTGTGGAAACACAGGATGGAGGGATTGACAAGCTCTGCTGTGACTTTTTTCATTTTTGTATGTTTTCCACGATTCCCAGCAAAATGTGAGATAACGGTTTTTTTAAGCTTAATTCCTTCTTACTCTACGCATTTTTTGGATTTCTATTAGTATATTCGCGTGTGCGTTCTATTCCAAATGTGATTACGTGCGATTAATGGCTTTTTTATACATTGAAGAAGAATCATTCATTTCCCCGTTTCCCCTTTTGCCTTTCTCACCATTCCCATAGTTTTTTTCGGATTAAGTAAACGTAGTTGCGCAGGTAAGGTACGGAGTGATTTCTGGAGTATGCATTTAAACTAATCTGCAAGTATTATTGTTAGACTTGTAGATACTGATGAAATGCAAAAGAAGTGAGAGTATTATACTCATCTCTTTGTTTTGTGGGAGTTGAATCGGTTAGCTCTCAGATATACTAACATTTTCTAGGGTGTATTGTTGTTTGTTGTAAATGAACGTTTTCGTTAGTTTTGTTATTGCAATGATTGCTTAAGACCATTGGGTGAATACACACACACACACTATTGTTCGGGAATAGTAAGGTAAGGGGTCGAAAGAACCCCCTCAACTTGAGTTCAACAAACATAGGAAAATACCACCAACACAAGTTTTTGGAACCCAATGATAATAAAATACGAAATAAGGTTAACAGGAACAACGTATGCCATAGTTAGAGTAAAGCAATGATAGAAAAATGGTTTTCCAACTGTCCAACAAAACGGGGGTATCGAGTCTGCAAACCCAGGGTTATCGTGAGACATGCACACATTAAGATACCGCTCTGAGCCATCCGGATAATACCACGTTACAGGCGTCATGTAATGGCTCACAATATTCAGGATAACAAATAAGAGGACAGAAAGCACATAGCTCCAAATAGACAGAAGAGGTTGTTTCCAGAGTACAACGATTAGTCCAGGAAAGAACCAGAAATGATGATACGATGTAACCTTTTCAAAAGGAGTTGTCGTATTATCGAACATGAAAGGATAGGCATTGAGGGCAGGTCGCTTAAAACACGGATATGTCAGGAAGTCTATCCAGAAGGCAGCATGAGGAACAAAAAGAAGGCACATTGACTGTCCAATAAGGGAAGGAACTCTCCACAACACACCCACCGTTGTTAGCACAAGAGCAATATTGCAGAACCAGTAGAGATCATAGTACCCTCCGATTCCAAAGCATATGGACCTGTAGAGAGTGAGCATTAACCACCATCCAAAGCACAAAGCGGCATAGCAATAGCTAATCGTTGGGTACTTCCACTGCGTGTTTGGGTCATCGATCCAGTACTTGCAAACCAAAATGTCTGCAATGGTGAGAATGACAACCGGAATCGTCTCTAGCCAAAAAGGGCACGGTATGTCGTTCTTCTTAATAGGAGTCTCTTGATTTTTCTCTAAGTCGCTCATTTTTTGAACTTGTCAGTGTATATCAAATTTTGATATTTGCGTAGGAATATGAGTATTGTGTGTACTAAGTACCTGCAAGCCTCTAGATGGAATCCAACTGCATCGTCAAAGTATAAACAAACAGTTCCTATCAAAATCTCATACGATTTTTTCTTTTTTCTTCTGCACCTTCAGCATTTTCCCGTCGATATGAAACCCGTTCAAGCAGCTGATGGCCAGCTCGGAAGCCTCCACAGTCGCAAAGCTCACAAAGCCGAATCCTCGACTCTGATTGGTTTGTCGATCGCGATACACCTTATTTCAATCCTCTCCTGCACGCCTACCTTGGTGCTGAGCACAACGCCGTACTTGCAAAAGAGAGCGTAAAGGCCTTCTTCGGTCATGGACATTGGGAGATGATACACGAAGAGATTCGCTCCTGGGGGTCCTACGACTCAACCGAGGAGAGAGAAGGGTGCCTTCCACGTGACAGCCGAAGACATCGGAGACAAAATGGCAGTCAGGCGAGTTGGGAACAATGGGAAGAGACGGCTGGATTGAGTTTGGAATGGAGGTCGAGAGAGAGGGCTGTAAAGAGGGTTGTAAAGAGGGCTGCATAGAGGGTTGTAAAGAGGGCTGTAAAGAAGGCTGTAAAGAGGGCTGCATAGAGGGCTGCATAGAGGGCTGCATAGAGGGCTGCATAGAGGGCTGCATAGAGTTTTGTATGGGATAAGGAACAAAGGGGTAGGAAAAAAACGTGACAAAAGGAGATGATGAAATAGAGTAAGGGCTGTAGCAATAGGATGGAGTCGGCATAGAGTCCGAGGAAGCAGAGGCGGAATAAGGAGGGAGTACAGAGGATCTATACGAATAAAAAAGCAAAGCGAAAAAAAAACAGAGAAGGCGTGAAGGACATGGAACCTACAAAAGGGTTTGATACAACAGCAGTGGTAGAAGATGAGGAAGAGGATGAGGATTGGGGAGAACAGAGTTGAATTCCCGAGGACTTGGCTTCTTTCGGTTTGGAGAGTTGCTGACTTGACGAAGGGAAATCATCTTCATGAATGTCTTTGTTTGAAGAGCGATTAGATAATGAGTCTAATAGGAATTGACACAGAATAGGACGTACGAGTTGAAATTTGATGTGAATCAGGGTTATTGCTTGAGAATACAGATTTTGCTTCCAAAGCGCTTTGATACTCGCTGGCACGCTCCGCTACTCCTTTTCGACGGCGTTTTCCATACTGTTTCTTAGCAATTGTGATTTGAACAGGAATCGTCATCTACACTCCATATCGCCAAAAAAACAGCGCCTCACATTTTGATAGGTGATATTTCCGCCCAATTCGCGAATAAGTTTGCTCGCATCTTCATGAGAAGGAACAAAAACAAACGCGCTATCTAACCAATGAACCAATACAAAAAAATAAAAATACGCTTATGCTGTACAACCTGTCCGTCTTGAATAATACAAACCTTTTCAATTGGGCAATATGTAGATAACATTTTAATAATATCCTCCTCATGCAAAGACATCGGTAGACCGCTAACATGTAACTTAACAGGACGTCGAGAAGAAGACTGGAAGCCTTCTCTACCTACAGAAAAGGAATCTGAGGTAGAATTCATTTTGTTATAGTAGCTCAATTAGTAAACAATAGAGGCAATGATAGGCGGTGTTACAGACTATCTTTCAACGGACACTATCAATATTATAAAAATATTATGGAATCTCTTCGACTCTCACGCTCGATATTGAACCCTAGGTAATCAACTATTCGTAAAGTTTCTGTAGATAATAAAACGAAGAACAAGTTTACTGGACATCACAAGGATATGTTTTTGTTGACTTGATAATCAAAGATAATTTAATCACTGTACATGTGGATAACACATTTACCTATTTTTAAAGTAATATATTGTTGCTCAAATCCAACAACTGTTATTCAAACTAAATTGAAATGTTAACATGATGCAAAATACATAGTATTAGGAATATTGTAAATAGGCACAACTCACATTAACTCTCAAAACAAAGTATTGTGCAAATAGCAGGATCTGTCAATACGATGAGATATTTATTCATAATGTATATTATTTTATCCTCTTCTCGAGACTTTGTAACCTTCACGGTTGTTCTGTCTGGCCAGTTTCTTCTTCACTGAATATTGATAGTGGAACAATTTCTCTACCTCTCCGCTATGTTGTTTATGTGAACAAACAAAACTTCAATAAAAGGTAGAGTTCCTTACAAAACGGCAATTATTTAAATAGAGATATTTATATCTATGACAAAAATCCACTTCATGTCATTCAGTCCCATTTGTCAAAGAGATGATACTCCTATTGGATTGGGAATATGATCCTTATGTGGAATATATTACTCATTCCACACTCACATTGCTCGCACTTGGCGCAACACGAGAAATGCACAAAATAGTAAGCAACAATTCAATAAAAATTCGTTACTACGCTTGGAAATTGGGAAAAACAGGAATCGAAACTAGAACACGAGAAAACCGAGCGTATTCTTTATACACATGATGATTAGTGGAAACAAGGTAGTACCATCGAAATCCTGATTCTATTTAACAAACTCCGCCTCTCCGATTCTTTGAATTTCTTTTGGAGAAACGATCACAAATTAGCAGCAACAAAACTATTCAAGCTCAATTCAGACAGAACGAACAATAATCGATCTCATCAGGGTTACACAGTTCCATTCAACTATCCGAAATGATTAACCACTGTTGCAACTACAATAAGATGCAGGGAACCATATACAATGGTGGATTCACAAAGGAACGAAAACAGAGAGTTTGATAGATACTGAAAGAGTTACAAATAGAATAGAAGAGATAAAGTGCAAATGGTAGATAGGGCATTCTTTTTTTGAGGTTCAGTGTATTTTATCCATCTTCTCTGGAAACTATTGGAATCGAGAAGCTCTGTTCATTCCTACGTCATAACAACCTAATTTGAAGATGCCTCAGCGAAGGTATTACTGCGACTATTGTGGACGGTCATTTATTGATTCTAAGGAGAAAAGAGACGCGCATTTTCAATCTCAGCTTCATCAAAACAATGTGCGCATGTGGTACGAATCGAAGCGAGGTAAGGCTTGATTCTTTGCTATTTTGAATAGAAACGGCAGCTGCTGTTCAGCGTTCCAAGACTCAGCAAGTCTGCATGACTTTTAAAAAGAGTGGGTTTTGCCGACTAGGAAACAAATGTCCTTATCGCCACGTCGGGATCACGGACGATATTCGAGATGGTTTTAGCGTAATTCCAGGTATTCTTTTGCAGAGTGTGCCATCGTAGATGGAATGCTGGAGACCACCGTGCGCCCAATCGAGGATACGCCCTGGGTTCCTGTTGAAGCCAATCCAGACTGCACGCTGGCTGCAGCAGATGCACGAGAGACAAACAATGCGGAGGAAGGAAATCAAGAATCAGCCCCCCAAACATTCCGCGAACGATTTTTACCCTTGCGCGTGGATTTGCCACCTTCCCTTCTGCCTGTCCACTCAAGTGTTTTTGAAAGTGCACCGCCCGTCGAGTGGGGATGAATTGTTTGTTCGAAAATCCAAAATTAGATTGATTCCTGTTGTATGGAATCACTTCGTACCAATCCGGAATTACCGAGCATGGCTGAGACAAGAAATGCGATAAAAGATATTGATATTTGCTCCGATCCTGAGTATATAAAGAAGAAGGAATTTTTTGACCAACTAAAGATAAAATGTAAGCAACCGATTTGTGGGATAGAGTGATCCGTGTAGTGCAACTGAATTGCGCAGAGCTACAGGATAACGCTATGAAGGAAGCGAAAATTATTCGAGACAACCTTATTATCCTTATATCTCAACTATCTTCTCGTGTACAAAAGATGAAAGTGTGGTTTTGTGAGATTTGCAATCTAGGTTTCTGACTTTTGCAAAGAATTCGGATTTGAGCTAATCGATGGAAATTTAGCTCTCGTTGATGATGACTCCATGTACTCACGGGATTGGCGATTCACTTTAGTCCGGAACAAGGTCAGTATACGCATGTTTTTAAAACGGTACAGAGAAGGCATGTGATGGACCATCCTCCCGAGGTGAAGCCTGTAATTGTTTGGTTTGCAGTTGATGTATAGGTGTCTGCTCCAGAATGTTTATCTCAGTAAGTTTTCAGCAATAGTGGTAGTGTAACTTGTAGAATACAGATTTTGCGCAACCAAGGGAGTGTGGATACCTTTGTTCGTCTGACAAAGAACAGCAATTCATATGATTTAACAAAGTCGAAAACCGTGATTTTTTAAACTATTTTTGTAAGGATTAGGAGAGTTTAAGTACTGCGGAAAAAGTTCTGATTCGGGGAGAGATCACTTCTATTATGAAGATGCTAAGAGATGCGATGCCTTAAACGTTTGTAATATATAGTTCTGTATATAGTGTGCTGTTTGTTGACAATCTTCGTGTCTCTCATTTCTTATTTGTTTTGAGTATATGTAGGGATGTCGGAGTGCAATGGAGATCCTTTGTCTGGGGATATTTCGCAACTCTCTGACATTACTGAAGATAAGCAAGAGGATTCATTCTCTGTCAAAGTAGCCTAATTTGTATAGCTATCCACGTATAGTCCAATGATACAGAAATCATCGATTGCAATAGTGTTTTGAAGGAAAGCATTCTCTCGAAGGTGAATTCTCATTCTCTCTTTTGATTCGGAATAGACAGGAGGTTCGACTCTTTCTGAAGCTGAGACAATTCACTTATCCGATTTACACTTGTTTCAACCTTCTCAACAATCCATAGACTACTCCATGGACGACATTCCACGCATCGTGAGTCAGCACATCGTTGTTCTATGTAGTTTCAAGAAGGATCGATGACTCAATTACGCCAACCATCGATTGATTTTGAAATCGATACCTCGTCCTATGTTTCCAGTGCATCACTGCGATCCAGTGCTTCGAAAAAGTCATCCCTCCCTTCTATGGAGTCTATTGTACATAATTTTTGTTCGTGTTTTTTTGGCTAGATCGATTCGATTTACCAAAAGCTAAATAATGCAGTAGAAGAATCGAAGAAGCGTGCTCGTTCCTTGGAAATTGCCCTGCAAACTCCTCCTAGACCCAAAGTACGCAATCGCTCGAATGGTTCCTCGATAGAGAGTGCACGCAATGTGTTCTATTCTCGATTTGCCTCGCGCCAAGTCTTTTGAGCAGGAATCCAATTTTTGATTTCCTTTTCCACTTTTCTCTATGCGTTTTCTTTGTTGATATTCACTCTATATTTGATAATTGAATCGAAAGCAAATCATGTATTGCATGTCGTCCCATGGAAAACACATATGTATTGCGGTTCATGAGTTCCATGATTGTTGTTTCTCATATCTTATTATTCAAAGCGTCTTAGCGCAGTTGGGCTTGATTTTTGTGTATGCTAATCGTCTAGGAATGTTCTTGCAGAAGCGTTTTGAACGACAATTTGATTACACTGGAGATATTCCTATCCCAGTCTGTTTCAATAGTCGTAAGCCATCATATTACGTACACACAAAGCAGTGCATCCAGGAGTACGATTTATTCACTGGAGGCCTGATTTCGACCATTCCTTCTGGAGTACCTTCGAATCGAAGTGTAGTGCAGCTGCTTTCGTCCTTCTCGAAAAAGGGACAGGAATACGTTGTCGCTTGCCAAGATAACATTGCTCTCACTATTTACGATATGACTCGCCACCACTATGTGGCTACTACTGACGGAGTGGAAGAGTCTTTCTCCGGAGTGTTTGCTGCTACTCACGGAGGAATCAACCCATCTGGTTTTGCTTGTGGATACAACGCTCAAGAAATGGGAGTAGGAGGCAGTTTCTGCGGCTCACCGCTAGGGTTACTGCCTGACTGGTATGATGTCCGAGTACGACCTCTCTCAATCCAAAATTAAATACGATATTTACGTTACTGCTGCCGCTTGCTCCTATCGTGGCTGCACGCTAGCCGTGGGAACGAGCGACAGTCTGGTTCTGCTGTACCAGATCGGTAAGCGCGGATTCGGCGATGTTCCGGAAGATGAACAGGAGGAAGAGGACTACCGTAGTGATCGGGTCCGGATCGTAATGCATAGCCGAAGTGACGCTGGAGAAGGTTTTGGATATGCGTCGTGGATTGGAGGCGCGTGAAGATCGTCTGCACAGCGTGGAGGGCGAGGTGTACAACATCAATTGCATTTGCTGGCATCCCCAGATGAAGATCTTCGCCGTGGGCTGCAACGACAGCAGCATCGTCGTGTACTCGTGCCCTCTGGGTGCGTGGTGCTGCCGTCTGAACGCCTGTCCTTACGGAGACAACATCGTCTCGCTGTGCTTCCACCCCACCGAGCCGCTGCTGTTTGCGATTGTCACTGGCGACCAAGGCACGTATCTGACCATCTGGACGTAGGACCGCGGCCGGGGAATGAGCGCTAGATATGCTCCGCGAAAGGCCATGCGACTGTGCGAGCTGTACCGCATCAACGAGCTGATGGACGACCAACCGGCGTACGTCGTTCCGTCTCTGTCTTGCCACCCTCGAGAGAACTTGATCATGCTTTCTTTCCCCAACGGCCACGTCGTGGGTCTGTCTCTCTGGGATAAGTACACGCATCTGGGCCGAGGAATGACCTCCGCCTCGCCTCGCCAGGTCCCGTTCCGCGCGTTCTACGAGGGAACGACAGAGGAAACGCTCGCACCGCTGACGATGCCCTTGATCCACTTCTTCACGAACTACGAGCTGGAGCTGAAGGACCACAAGCCCTGTCCCAGCTTCGTGGTGAACTATCGAGGCATGCGTGAGCACTTCTCGCACTATCTGGTCGAGCTGCCTACGGTGGTGCGAGGCGCGGAGAAGGAAGCCATCGTCGTGCGATCGGATGGACTGCGTGTGAGCGAGGATGGAATGGATGTGGTGCTGTTCATGCGTCCCGAGGCTTCCGAGAAGCGTAGTGTACTGACGAGGCTGTGTGAGATGTAGCGCGTGTGAAGCAGCTGAATCCGATGGTGGATACGAACGCTCCTGATTTCGATCCGAACAACGATAATAACTACATGTACGTGCCGGACACCCAGGACGACAAGCGTCGATTCTTCATCTTCCTGCCTGCGCAGAAGGCGTACAAGATGATCAAGGAGTGGGAGGAGCGCGATACGGAGGAAGAGCCCACGGACGAGGAGCTCAGCCACTTCTACGGCAGCGTGATGTACAGCGAGATGCCCAAGGAAGAGCCTTGCCAGGATGTGCTGCCTCTGAACAACAGCTGGTAGGAGTGAGTGGAGAGGGTGAGAAATATAGCTATCTGATGGTGAACCAGGAAGGAAACCAGCTGGAGTATCGTACTTGCCAGCTGTCCAATCTGAAGACGCCCACGAGTCGGAAGGACAAGGAAGACAACGCGTACGAGCTGGTCTCGCAGACGATGCGCATGTGGAAGTTGACCTCGGTGGTTCGCAAGATCATGTACACGCCTCTGAAGAAGAAGGACGGCTCGGCTGTGGTGCAGTACGTGCTGGAAGACACCGACGGCACGCAGTGGCTCGTGTATTCGAAGAACAAGGAGGAGGGCAACACTTCCTACGTGCCGATGCAGAAATCGAAGGGTCTGCACTTCCACGCGGGCGAAGTGGTGTGCGAGACGGCCTGGCAGCAGATCGAGAAGGACGAGTGTCCCCTGCTGGCGATTCGAACGAACCAGGTAGGAACGAAGGACGGGTTGTGAGGGGCAGAGAGTGCTGATGGTGGATATGGACTACAACATCATTGCGAGCCGTCCTTCCATCGTGCTGATTGGAGGAACGGCGCGTATGACGACCTCCATGCAGTGGCTGGGCTACACGATCATGTACACGTGCTCGGACAACCGTCTCTACTACATGATGGCCGACGGCAAGGAGCGACCGATTGGCTCGCTGGATATCTACGCTACCGAGCCCATGCTGATGTCCGTGCTGCCCGATCGAGTGCTCTACGCTTGCAAGCACCGAGACCACCGTCTCACGCAGCTGCTGTCGCGCGCTCTGGTGCCGCTGGAGCCGCTGGTGATGGGACTGCTGAAGGCCCCCGAGGGCTACGTGGAGAACCGCGAGGAGCTGATGATGAGGATCATCAAGCAGTACGCGTACAAACCCGCGGAGGAGGATCCGACGGGTCCCAAGCCTGTGGGTCCCGGTTACAACGCTGGAGTGACGGGCGAGCTGATCCGAGAGCTTCGAAAGAAGGGCTATTTGGGCGTGGCTTACGCCATTGTGCGAAGTGGAGGCAACAAGGAGTTCCCCGATCACCCGCAAATCGCCCCCGAGATCAAGTCCGATCTTGCGATCTCGCTGCACCGCTTGGACGACGCCCTGCAGGAGCTGCTTCAGAACTCTCCCCAGCTGATGGTAGGCGCGATGGACGGCGTGTGTGCTGATTTCTGTAGGAGTATCTCCGATCCGCGGAGGATGGAAAGCCCTTCACGGCGCTGCTGCCTCATCCGCGATCCACGCTGGCCGAGCGTCTGCGGTCGCTGGCGTCGCTGGCCGCCATCTGCGGAGACTTCAACACGGCTCGCAAGTGTATGGATCTGTGCGGAGATGACTGGTCGCTGATGCAGCTGCTGAACATCGGAGGCGAGCAAACCTCCGCCCTGCTGCAGCAGCAGGCTTCGCGAGCCGATGGTCTGCGACCGGATATCAAGGAGGCCGCGGAGATTCTCTCTGGAAAGCTGCAGAAGAGCAAGAAGCGAGGCAATGACAGCATCGTCGCGCTGAGTCTGCCGCAGCGAATCCCCACGCTGCTGGTGGGCGGAAACGAGGCGCAGCTGCCCGTCTGGAAGCAGAAGCGAATTCCCAAGGTAGATTCGGAGGCCGGTGGGTGATGCGTAGGTGCCTGAGATCCCCAAGCCGGAGCCGTTGCCGTCCGTCTATCCGCTGCTGGAGATGAGCAACATCGCTGCCTGGGTGGGAGCGCGTCAGATCGTGGAGATCCAAGAGGAAGAGGGCGAGGCCGGTATGCGCGAGAGAAGGAAATGAGACGTAGAGGACGATCCTCGCTTCGGAGGCGCCGCTCTGATGGTGGGCAACGAAGGCGAAGATTCGGTGGTGTTGTACTTGCGAATGGAGAATCGTGACGACCCGAACCCCACGGTGGTGTACGATAACAGTAACCAGGCGAACAACATGACGATCAACGGTTCCGCGCACATTGAGCCCTGCGATGCGCCGATGGACAAGGGAGACGGCGACAAGGTGAGAACGCTGCAGCAGCTGGTGCTGGGCTGGAACAAGGACGGAAAGGAAGACCCGGGCACGCTGAGCACGCCGATTACCATGGAGCGCAACACGCTGCGTGTGGGTTACTTCCACCCCGATACGCAGCGTCGTTTCTTCACGCTGGAAATGTGGGTGAAGCGCGATCCTCGCAATGGATACATGGTTGGAGTCTGTGCGTGGAAAGTAATGCATAGCCTCTGATTTCGCGAGGACCTCCGCAGGACCGCATGTGGTCGTTCGGTTTGGAGAACGGATACGTGGTGTTCCAGACGACCACCGGAAAGATGTTCACGGACCAGTCGTGTGAGTGGAGGATGCGAGGGATGAGACGTAGTGGTGCCTGGAGAAACGTGGAAGCACATCGCAGCCACGATTGACTGCGTGAACAAGAAGGAGACGAAGGTGACTCTGTTCGTGGACGGAGTGAAGGTGAAAGAGAGCAAGATCGCGAGTCCTGAGCGCGAGCCTCTCGAAGAAAACGATCAGATCGTGATCGGAGGTCCGGGAACCTTCGCGCGCATCACGGAAGTCCGTTATTGGGCCTCGGCACGATCGGAGGATGAGATCCGCGACTTCTACAAGAACTATCTGGACTTGGCTGAGACGAAGGGCAAGATGAAGGGCATGGTGATTCGTGACGCGGGTACTGGAGAAGGATTTGCACGACGTCGTGGCCGCAAGGCGAAGGAAGAGGAGGAGAAGCGAAAGGAAGAGGAGGAAGCGAAGAAGAAGGCCGAGGAGGAGGCGAAGAAGGCTGAAGAGGAGGCGAAGAAGGCCGAGGAAGAGGAGGCGATGAAGATCGAAGTGGAAGTGGGCGATCAGTTCGAGGACGCTGAAGGCGAAGAGGAAGAAGTGAAGAAGGAGCTGAAGCCTGTGATTCGCATTCCGATTCGTCGTCGTTCGAACAAGGAGGAGGATCCAGAGGCCCGCAAGGCGCGTCTGGAGCGTCAGGAGGCGAGAAGAAAGGAGCGTGCTGCGAAGGAAGCGGAGCGCATGGCTCGTCTGCAAGAAAAGAAGAGAATCGCGGAGGAACAGAAGAGAGCCGAGATGGAGAAGCGAGCTGCGGAGGAGGCGCTCGCGGCTGCCAAGGAGGAAGCCAGCAAGCCGATCATGGTGGATGTGTCGGTAGTGGAAGAGAAGCCGGCTGCAGAAGCTCCGGCAGAAGTCGTGGAAGAGAAGCCGGCCGAAGTGGTGAAGATTGAAAAGCCGCTGAATGTGGATGAAGAGATTGCTGCTACTGCTGCCGCTGTCGCGGTGGTTGCGGAGGAAGAGAAGCCTGCGCCTGTGGAGGTCGCTGAAAGCCCCGTGCCTGCGCCTGTGGAGGAAGAGGAGCCTGAGCCTGTGCCTGTGCCTGTGCCTGTGGAGGAAGAGAAGCCTGTGCCTGTGGAGGTCGTCCAAAGCCCCGTGCCTGTGGAAGAGGTCAAGCCTGAGCCTGAGCCTGAAATTGTTCCTGTGTCTGTGGAGGAGAAGAAGGCCGAGGAAACTCCCAAGGAAGAGGAAGAGGAAGAGGAAGAGGAGGAAGGAGCCAAGGCGGAAGGAAAGAAGCGAGGCCGTGGTCGTCGCGGTCGTAAGGGCAAGGAAGAAGAGCCCAAGAAGGAGGAGGAGAAGAAAGAGGAAGGAGAAGGCAAAGAGGAGGGTAAGAAGAAGGAGAAGGCCGGAAAGAAGGCGAAGAAGGAGGCGGGTGAAGAAGGCAAGAAGAAGGGCAAGAAGGGTAAGAAGGCTGGAAAGAAGGAGAAGGAGGAGAAGGCGAAGGCCGATGTTGCAGATGATGACTTCGGTGACTTCGACGATGTCCCGGCGCCTGTGCCTGTGAAGAAGGAGGAGACGCCCAAGGAGGCGATTGGCGACGAAGACTTTGACTTTGACGAGGAGGAGCCAGCGCCGAAGCCTGCTCCGAAGAAGGCGGAGGAGAAGAAGCCTGTGGAGGAAGAGGACTTCGACTTCGATGAGGAGGAGAAGACGCCTATGGAGGTTTCTGAGAGCCCGGTGCCTGTCGAGGAGGCTAAGCCTGCTGAAGAGGAGAAGCCTGAGCCTGAGCCTGTTGAAGAGGTCAAACCTGCCGAAGAGGAGGTTAAGCCCGTTGAGGAGGCCAAGCCCGTTGAGGAGGCCAAGCCTGAACCTGAGCCTGAACCTGTTGAGGAAGTCAAGCCTGTCGAAGAGGAGAAGCCTGAGCCTGAACCTGAGCCTGAACCTGAACCTATCGAAGAGAAGAAGCCTGTCGAAGAGGAGAAGCCTGAGCCTGTCCCTGAACCTGTCGAGGAGGCTAAGCTCGCTGAGGAGCCTGTGCCTGTCGAAGAGGAGAAGAAACCTGCTAAAGAGGAGGAGAAGCCCGAGAAGGCTGGAGGTCGCCGTGGTCGTCGTGGTCGTAAGGGCAAGGAAGAAGAGCCCAAGAAGGAGGAGGAGGAGAAGCCTGCTGAGAAGGAAGGCAAGAAGAAGGCCGGAAAGAAGGAGAAGGCTGGAAAGAAGGGTAAGAAGGCCGGTAAGAAGGAAAAGGAGGAGCCCAAGAAGGAGGCTATTGCCGAGGAAGACTTTGACTTCGATGAGGAAGAAGAGCCTAAGCCCAAGAAGGAAGAGCCTGAGCCCAAGAAGGAAGAGGAGGAGAAGAAGCCCGAGCCTAAAGAACCCGAGGAGGAAGACTTTGACTTCGATGAAGAAGAGCCCAAGAAGGAAGAACCCAAGAAGGAGGAGGAGGAGAAGAAGCCCGAGCCTAAAGAAGTTGAAGAGGAAGACTTTGACTTCGATGAGGAAGAAGAGCCTAAGCCCAAGAAGGAGGAGCCTAAAGAAGTTGAAAGCGAAGAGCCTGAGCCTAAGAAGGAAGAGCCTGAGCCCAAGAAGGAGGAGCCTGAAAGCGAAGACTTCGAGGAGGAGGAAGAGGAGAAGAAGAAGCCTGCTCCAAAGAAGGAGGAGCCCAAGGAAGCGGTCAGCGAGGACTTCGAGGAAGAGGAGGAGGAAAAGCCCAAGAAGAAGCCTGCCGCAAAGAAGGAAGAGCCCGAGCCGAAGGAAGCCGAAAGCGAGGACTTCGAGGAGGAGGAGGAGCCGAAGAAGTCGCGTGGCAAGGCCCCCGTGCGCTCGGTGATGCCGACCGAGTCCCCGGAGATCTCCGAGGAGGAGCCGCAGCCGAAGCCTCGCGCGAAGGAGGAAGCGCCCAAGCGCACCGTCAAAGTCCCCGAAGAGGAGGAGGAGGAAGAGGAACTGCCCGCCGAGCGCCCCGTGGTGCGCAACCGCAGCAATCGTCCGCGCGCGACGCCGAGCGAGGAGCCAAAGAAGCACCACCACAAGAGTCCGGAGGGTCGCAGCCACCGCAAACATCACGAGCACCGCGAGCACCACGGCCATCACAAACACCGCGACCGTCGCAGCGAGCGTCCCGTGGAGTCGCCCGAGGACGAGGAAGCGATGCTCGGAAACTTTGGCCTGGACAAGAAGGAGGAGAAGGAGGCGATCGCGAGTTCTTCCTCGGAGGACGACGTGCCTACCTACACTTTCGGCGCGCCCATCTCCCGGATTTCGCGCTCGCCGACACCGGTCCGCCGAGCGACGGTCACGGCGCCGAATCGCCGGTTCGTGCCGTCGTCGCAGAAGGTGCAGCAGATCGACGAGGACGACGACCTGGAGATCACGGGCACGCTGTCGAAGCTGGGCATGCGGTCCTTCGCTGGCACGACGCGCGCGGGAATGGGAGCAGGCGCGGGACCGTCGGCTGGAACGGCAGCGATTCGATCGACGACGCCGTAGGAAATATAAGGGAAAGGAGTGAGGGGTAGGACACGAACCTTCGTGAAGCCTTTCGGAGCCGACCGCAGCACGCCGTTCTCGCGCTATGGAGCTGCAAACAAGAGTCGAAATGCCGCCATGGTGGATTCGGACGATGACAACAATCCACCGATGTTCGGACAGGCGAGATTCGGAGCCAACCGAGGAGGCTTCTCGCGATCGAAGTCGCCGATTCGACCGCAGATGGGCCGCCATGTGGACGATGACGAGGAGGAGTGGACGCGAAGCCCGATCCGAAAGTAAAGAGTCGCTGTGTTGATGTGTTGCGAGTGTTTGATGGAACAAAGAAGGGAGGATTACTTAATCTTTGGCAAGGGTCTCTTGGTAAAGTTACGATATATGGGAGGAATGTTGATGATCGACGCCATCGACGCCATCGACTCGTAGCGCGACACCAGCGTGGAGTACAGCGAGTCCACGTTCGCTTCGCGCTGCGTCGCGACAGCGGACTGCACCGGCTCAATAGGAGGCGGCGCGAAGACTGGCGGCAAGTCTCTTCGCCGAAAACTGCCCACCCCGAGATGCGTCTGCAGACACTGAATGCTGTCTCGATTGGATGGTCGCGAGGGGAAGTAGAGAAAAAACTGCCCCTTCTTCCTCTCGGGACAGCCCACCGCATCCCTTGACGCAGATCCATACTGGGAAGGGTTCGATGGAGACGCTTTCAACGCCTTTGGCGGGATTGATGAGTTGTTCAATGAGTTCGGAGAATTCGGAGGGTTCGGAAGATTCATTGACTCACTTCCGCCCCGCTTCATTTCGCCCAGTTTCCTCTTTTCTCCCATCGGTTGTCCGTTCGCCGCCATCGGCGGGACGGAGGGCATCATTGCGGGGGACTGCATAGAAGAAGCAGGCGAGGAAGCGAGAAACGGACGCATCGATCCCTGCATCTGCCCCTGCATCTGCCCCTGCATCTGCCCCTGCATCGAAGCAGAAGGCGGGACGGACAGGAATTGGAAGCAGGAAGAAGGCATCAATGAGGGAGGCATGTTATACATATTCGAATCGTTCACACCGAGCATCGAAAAGGGTGGGAAACAAGACGTGGGAGGCATTGACAACAATGGAAAAGGAGGACACAGAAAGTAATTGTAAGCAGGCTTCATGGTAGGCGATTTCGGAAGCGTTGGCTCCGCTGGAAGCTGCGGAGGCGTCGAAGGAGGCGTCGAAGGCGACGCCGTTGAATGAGGGAGCGATGAATGAGGATTGGATCCCGGACCCGAACCAGATTCTGCCGAGGGAAGCGGCTGGAGCGATTCTGGCTCCGAGTGAGGAGATTTGAAAGAGGAAGATTCACCAAATTCGTGAGGATTTCGATCCTCTGTCGAAGAGAGAGGATTGGTTGAGGAGGAGGATTCGTTCTCTCCGACGACTCGATTCTTTTTGATGTCCATCGCCTCCTTTTTGACAATGATTTCCTTCTTTTCCTTCTGGTTGATGGCTATGGGCTTTTCAGACGCTTTCGCTCTCGTCCTGTCGATGGAATTTCGACTTTCGCCTCCCTTCGAATGCTCCTCATTCATCGACTTTTCCTTTGTTTTGTTCTCCAATGATTCGCCATTTCGCACACTTTCGGATTCTTTTCCATCATACACTTCGCCCACCACATCAACAAATTTGTAGATGATTCGTTCTTCCTTCACCACTTTCGTACAGGCAGCCAAATCTCTGTGCAGAGAAAACCCGCACGTCGGAATCAAATCCTCATAACCAAAATAATCAAACACTCTCGATTCGAGAGTCTGATACTTTTCAGCCAATTTCAACGCATGTTCATTCATTTCGGATGAGTCTAAAGTCGATTTTCGATCGTTTTTCAAGGAGGATTCTTTCTTCCCAACCAAACTAGGATACGTTTTAGGGTTATAATAATAGATGGGAAGAGGTTCCATCGAATCCGCTCGAAAAGGAAAGTCAATATATTTCCGTTCAATATGAACTTTGTATTGCCAATGATCCACTTTGTCTCTTGATTTGATGCTCTCGAACTTCACAACAATCGGTTCTTTATGAACAACTGGTTCAGGAAATGAGTTCGAATCCAAAGGCTTTGGTTTGGGCTGAATAGGGAGAAAATCAATCCTGTCGTACATTCGATCTCGATCCCTATTTGGTCGATTGATTCTAGCACGCTCTATACAATTAAAAATTCACATCAAAATCACTTTCAACAAAATTTCCAGGATTCAGTTCATTTGCACGAAGAAAAGAGGAATTCGTTCCATTCACCATTAAATTGTTTAGCTGCCTTCCCTGATGACTAGATATTCATATTCCAAATGATTGCCATACATTCGAGTATAATTTGAAGAAAAATCATTCTTGTGAACATAACTGTTATTCTGTGTATTATTAGTATTTTCGTTTATCATTCTTTGAACAATTACTCTATTTCTTGGAGCTACACAAAGTGAGAAATCGAAAAACCCAATAATCACTTACAACGCGATATGGCGGATTTATTGGCAATTTCATCATTGTACATAGGAGCTTTATCGATTCTATGTACAGATAATACAGTACTACAATATGAGCCACAACTTCGCTACCCTACTCATTCATCTCAAATCAGTGCACCAGTGATCCTTTCAGATTAATAGATGCACAACCCGCCTAATTTCTAGTTTGAAACAAAATAATTGTGGCTATCCTATAAGGTACTTCAATGCTAGGTATTATAAGAACGAAGTGTGTAGATATGGGTTTTGTGTGTTTCGACTGAAAACAATCATTGTCAGTTGTCAATCAGTGTGTAACGATGTTATGGAAAAACGTATTTTATGATACCAGATAAGTATGGTTTGATTTAACGAATGATTCTGGCATGAATCCTTTCATGCCAAAAATCAAGGGTATTCCTTTTTCTGGTTCTACTTTTGTATCGTTATTTTTGTGACAGAATTATCATAATTTGGACGTATATGGTGTGTGTGTGATGTGAAACATGGTTATTCTTATGTCTATTATTTGAAATAGTGGTCATTTTTTTTGTTTGGGTATTTCGACACCTATGGATGCCATCATAACAATTTTTATTCAATTTGTTTGACTAATTAATTACAAGGTAGTAGAAGCTTACGATCATTCATTGTTTTCTCATTATTCTATGAAAGGTGATTTGAACGAAGACAACAACTATTTTAAACGAGATCAACTATTGAATGAACCTCTATAAACAAACCCTCCTCTTCTCACCATGAATTCATTCTTTTCAACATGTTCATGTTTTTGGAAGGTTGATAGAGGAATGATATTGGATTGATCCATTTGGATAACACCAATAAAAAATGAGTCGAATATGCCCTTCAGAAAGAGTATTTATATTACCTCAGGTCATATCTTCGAAACAAATAGACATATTGGCATCTACCAGCAGCCTCGTGAATTGGTTGGTGATATCCGCCAAAGCATCCGAGTGAATCGATACGATCAAACACACTCAAACAGAGAAATTGTAATCATTCATGGCTCTATGCTTTTTCTTATCACAGTCACTCTATCAAACTTTAATCATTTTAGGTCTCTTCACTTCACTTCTCCTCACCTTTTCTGCCTGTTCAGTCAATCCTATAACACAGCATTTTCGTTTTTCAACAAGCTATAGCAAATATATATATTTCAAAGTATTCATCCCGAAACGAAGCAAAATCAAAAAGACAAAAAGTACGAATTTACCATACAAAACACAGTAATTTTATAGAAAAGGATAGCTAACAGCCAACATAGACTTATCCAGCAATGAACGAGGTAAAATAGCTAGATTCTTTAATAAGCAATTATGTATTGTATAGACAGAGAAAGTACATCAGTGCATTCTCTATCGATGTACAAGAATGGAAGAATGCCGGAAAAACAACTTTTTGTTGTTTGAAATTACTGGAACATTAATAATCATGAATAACTAAACAGTTAGATGCGTTGATTTTCCTATGTTTTCATTATTTTGTTTAGTCGAAAAGAATGGTTCAATTGCATGGCTTATTCCGAACGTGAGGGTAGTTGGTATCATTCACAAATAGTGAGGTGATGGGAAGAAATATTGGCAAGTTGGTTCCCACATCGAAGCGCATGATTAAATGGGGTTTCATTATTAATATGAAGAAGGTAGAGGTCGTTTTGAAGCATTCTACCGTTTCTGGAAAGCGTTTAATTCGTGTGAATGAGGTCGTAATCCACGAGTCTAGAGGTGTACGTGTTATATTTTTGACTGATTGGTAGTTGTTGAAGACATCGTTCTCAACGTCTTTTACCGTGGATAACTATTTGATGGAAATCAGTTTTGTCAAGGAAAACGGAGATTATATCTATGGTAATTTTTATTTTTGAGGTGTAATTTCCAGATCTCTTCGTCGATGGCATTCCCTACATGAACTTGATTAGTTTGTTCGATTTGGACGAAGAAGATCGTCTCTGCATTGAGCGAGGCGAGATTCCCAAGAAGAAGAAGAAGCATCATAAGACTTCTCGTCCTGCTGAAGTGCTTTCTGAAGGTTCTGAAGATGAGGACGACAATGTGGAGTTCGAGGCTCCCATTGAGCGTCGTATGCTGAACCGAAAGCATCGTAACTACCTGTCTTCGCAGGGCTTCGGCATGATGTCCGAAGATGACATGAGCCAGCGCCACATGTTCGACCATGTGGACGAGAAGCTGTCTGCGATGCATGTGGACAAGCCGGAAGAAGCGGAGGTGGATGTGAGCGATGTCGATAATGACTGGGAGGAAGAGGCGGCGCGAAGCCGACTGAAGGATCTCAGCAAGAAGCTTGTGGTCCCTGAGAGACAGAAGAAGGTGAAGGTCTTTAAGCCCAAGTATAAGAAAATGAACGGAGAGGTCTATGGCCAGCTTAAGTAAGCTGTTTTTGCCGGATTTCGCCTGGCTTAGTTGCTGATAGCTTGAGATTTGTTTGTTCAAGACAGTGGAGAGCGAGGAGAAATGCTTTCATTTTCTGAAAAAACTACAGCTAAACAAATTGAGTACCCTCTTGGTTCATTAGCCAGCAATAGGAGTATCAGCACTTTTCAACATGTATCAGCATTCTTTTTTTTTATAATAATTCTATTAAATTCACAAGGAAAAACATTGCAAAACACTTTTTGAATTGGCATTCTTCAAACTTTGGAAGATACTTACTCAGAAGCATGGACACCGATTCAGAATCAACGCAAGATGATTTTATGCCGGTTTTACTGCAGTGGAGTTCCTGAGTGTAGATCAATGATATCATGGAGGAGGCGAATGAAAAGGAGCAAGATAATTCGAATGACACCTCTCTTTTCGGCCCTTCTATGGATACCTTCATCAAGACACGAAGAAAGGGGAGGAAGAAAAGAAGCACTACAAAACCACGAGGTCTACCAATATTAATGTGTTGATTAGTAGTATCCAAGCTCCCTGATCAAGTTCAGCGAATATATGATGAAGCAATGCGCTGCTATATTAATTTGGACTATGATAAAGTGCTAATTCGGATTTTATTAGAATATAGGCAAAACTCTTGTTGAGCGAGGTGACTAAGAATGTTCCGGAGTATCCTGATATCTATGTAAACTATTTGACAGATAGTTTACGAATAGAATGTTCTTGGGCTGATTTACGAAGCAGAGCAGAATATCACGAAAGCGTGTGACTGTTACTTTATCGAAGCTGAAATTGTGAAAAAGGATCCAGCAAAATGGGAGGTGGTGTACGAAATGAGCGTCAAGCTCAATCTTCACAAACGTCAAATCTACTGTTTGTCTCGGATCATTCACTTGGATCCATCGAACCCAATTTACTACGAGAAGCGATACCAGCTCTATATGGAAGAGAACCAGCAGAATCGAGCGACCTCCGATTTGCTTTCGTTCTGCCGCTTAACGCACGATTTGGACCATTACATCAGCCAATTGTACACGCTGTGCACTGCAAATCATCGACAGCCCGAGCTATTAGCGTTTTTCGAAGAGAACTATTCGGCGATGATTCAAGAATTAAGTCCGATTTTTGGAATTCCAAATGACGAGCAGAAAATCGATACGAACGCTACTCGGGTCTGGAAATGCTGAACCAAAACGACGCAGCAACGCCGCTCATGCCCCTCCTGCACTCCTTCGCAGTCCTGTCCCAATTGTAGCGGAATAAGGGTCCATCGAATCTAGATTTGTGGACAAAAAGGAATATTCGAAGGCGATCCGCCTCATCGACCAAGTGAACTCGATCTGCTCGATCTCGCTGCCTTTGGAGATGGCCGTGATTTACTCTGTGAGTTTGCTGTACACCGGCCGCACGGACGACGCGTTGGAAATCATCGACTCTCTCCAGATCGCGGAGAACTTCAGCGAGGAAGTCGCCAGTGCCGCGTTCACGCTGGCTTCGGCGCTGATCGACTGCCATTTAATCGAGCAGGGCGCGGTGTTGTCGGATCTGCTGCTCACGCTTCCATCGAATTCGGACGCCGCGACGTTCGAGCTGGCCTATCGCTACAGCCAGGCGCGCAACGACTCCGACCGATGCATCGAATATCTCACGAAGGCGCTGGAGTTTCTCCCGGAAGGGTCCAGCGAGAAGCGGCAGGAATTGGCGCTGGCGCTGTCGCAGCTGTACGACGAGAAGGGAGAATTGCTGCGTTCCGTGGAGGTCACGAACAAGTACATCACGAAAACGCGCCATTTTGTGGGGAAACCGAGAAACCTCGAGCGTAGGGAAAGACCAAACAGAGCGGGAATCGAACCGAGTCGCGCGCGTTAGCCGCGATTCTTCTCGATTCGCTCCACCAAGTCCCCGCCATCGACGTGGATCCAAACCCGATCAACGCGGCCCGTGAAATCGTGCGCGTCGTCGATCCGCTTCTCCGCACCATGTGCATGATCGGTTCGACGTTTCCACGTTTCTCCATTTAGAGGTTCCTGCGCAGTACTACGATTCCATTCAGCCCGCGCAGGAAATCGTCGAACTCGCTGCCGTGCTCGATATCCCCGCGGTTCTCGGACAAATCATGCTGTTTTTCTTGGTGTGGAACTGCACGCGCGTACATCCCCGCGGCTTTTTCGTGAGCTGTAGGCGCACTGTTTGCTGCAGGGGCTTCACTATGCGGCTGCCTATCTCAATGTGATCCGCACGGTTTTCCGCGTTTTGATTGGCGCACGAGTTTTTTGTAGTTCGCCACGCCAGCGTTCCAAAACACGCTTTTGCTCCTCTGCATGACGGTTTCTTCGCAGGATCCGCGGATTGCCGCCGATGCGCTTCGTGGAATCGTGGTAACCGCCGCCTCCACCGACCAGAAACTCCAATTCTTGGTTTGCCGCGGGAAATCGGAAAGACCGATGGATTCGTTGCTGAGTTCGCCTCCGCCGCCGAATGACAAGGATATCCGCGAAACGTCGGTGGGTCAGCGCATCAGTGTAACTCCCGGGTTCGAGTTCGTGGTGTGCGAGCTGTCGATTTCGTACGTGACGTCGGTGGTTTCGCTGCTTCTCCCGCGGGTAAACTACTCGTTTTCGACGAACCTGTTTAAGCAGCTGCAGCGGCAATCGACGCAGAAGTTGGGATGGAAGAGAGGTGTGAAGTAGCGTGTACTCGCAGATTTTGCTGGGGCAGATCGCGCTGTACCGCAATCCGACGTCGTGCAGACCGTTTTTCGAGTCGCTGGAAAGCGTGCTGCTGGAGGATCCGCTGCTTCTGCTGAGCGTTGGCGCCTCGGAGCTGACGCACAGCAATAATCGATCGAACTTGTTTGTTTGAGCTCTCTCTTTGACACACAGTGAGAAGCGCGAAACGCTTCTTCGAGCCTTTACAGAGCTGCAGAATTATGCGAAAAATCGACAAAAACAAATCGAATCGCTCGGTGTGAAGAGCGTTTCGCAATATCCGCAGAGTCCCGACGAGCCTCAGGACTTCTACACGCGGTCCATAACCTTGCCGAAAGAGTTGTATCGAATGGAAGTGTTGTTTAATCTGGGACGGGCGTTTCATCAGGTGAGGAGCTGATGGGGAGTGTTAGATAGATGGGGCTGTTCCATATCGCTGCTATGTATTACTGGGCGGTGCTGAGGGAGTCAGAGGAAGCTGGACCGATTCCGGGGTCATTGAAAAGAGTTTGGCAGATGTATTCTCCTGAAAAGGCTGCGGCGTACAATCTGTGCATTCTGCTGAGTGGATCGGGGTCGAAGGCGATGGCTTTTCGGATCCGCAGGAAATATCTGTGTTTTGAATAGTTGCAACAGTGTTTGTTGAATGAAAGGATCGCTCACTTTTTTTCGTTGAGTGTTTTATTCTTGCCGATGGGTCTTCCTTTGTTAGTAGGATCGCTACTGATAGCCTTTGGGCCTTCATCCATCTTTTACGTGACCACGGTGTCCAGACGACCCTATCTTTTGGTAGTCAGTCTGTTCGGGTATGGCTCGGTGATTCCGTGAGTGATGATTTAGATTCCTGTGGAGTATGTTATCATTTGTGTTAAGCGGGGCAATATTCTCAATATGGAATATTTGGAGTGTAACACGCAAGATTTCAGTCCCACTCGTAGACTCCTCCACTTCCGGTTTCCATGGTTCTGTCGATACTTTTTTTTGAGCTGTTGCGCCCGTTTGTCTATAAGTTTATGAATTTTTCATGCAAAAAGTTGAACGAAGTGGATATTCCTCTCTCCATTACAGCTCCTACGGAGCTTTTCAAGCTCTCTGTCTGTAGGTTTAGCTATGGTTGATGGTTATCTTTGTAGGCGCCGGTATGGGCACTGGACTGCTCACCGTGTTCAGCATGTACGATTTACAGTTGGGTGCTATTCATTAGTGCGCTGGTTCCTCTCACGTCTGCTGGATATGCAGCAGACTACTATATGCCCCAATGCAACTGCATGTCCTTGTATGTAGTGATAGCGATTGAGAGTTTGTGCGTGATGCCACTGCATGTTCTGTGGACGTACCTCACTCTGCGAGCGTATTCATCGAAGTACTGGCCTACCGCGATTGTCGTGTGCATTCTTCATCTTCTCCAGGGCTGTGTGGTAGGTGAAGAATAAAATCTGGATTGATAGACCCTGCTCAACCAGGTGTCTTCGGGCTGCATCTACGCGGTGGTAATCCTGGTGGTTCTGGCGTTGGCCGCGATTTTGGTTCTGAGCAAGCTGGTGGCCAATTCGTGCCAGTTGATGTTTCCTCCGAAGAAGGCAGTGAAGGAGGGGAAGGAGGAGCGATAAGAGAGTGAGAGCCAAGGCGTGCTGGGGTTGGCATGTGTGTTCGATTGCTGCTTAGTCCTAATGCTTGTTTGTTTGTTTGTTTGTTTGTTTGATTGATTGATTCCTTGCTTGTTTCCGAACAAAAAGCGAACACAAAAGTCTCCAAAGACTTCATAAAACAAATCTTCACCCTAAAATATACACGTTCATTTGTTAGAATTGCTAATTAGAATAGAAGGCTCCGAAGAACCGCCGCCGCACAACTCGGGCAGCTTCGATAAAATGTGTTTCCCTGTCTTGCTATCCGCGAGATCCTTCGCATAAGGCTCGATCGCCTGCTTCAGTCGCCCTCTCTGATCGGCATTGCTCAGCACGAGAGCCTTTTGAATCACATAGTTCGCGTACTACGCGAATGAACGAACAGATTGGCGCCTACAGGATCGAGCAACATGGAGCGAAGGTCCGAAGCGTTCACGATCTCGTTGATAATCGAATCGCGCGTGGCTTCGTCGCCTCGATTGAGACTCTTCTCGACGACATTGCTGCTGCATTTCTCCTTGGAGAGTTCCTCCACATGTGTGAGAACGCAGCGGCAGAACCGCAGCGACTCGCTCGGCCGCGCGTTTTCGATTAGGTACTACGATAAATGGAGAAGAGAATCCGAACTTGGATGACGTAGTTCGCGTAGCGATCGCGCATGAGATCGAGCGCGTGCGCCTCGATGGTGTCGAACAGGCGGTCGGCGCTCTCTCCCGACGCGATCTCGATGCATTTCTGAATGATCGAGCAGCCGTACATCTCCTTGCTGATCTACTCTCAACGCCTCGGCGCGGCTCTACCTCGATGCAATGGTCCACCACTTCGTCGAGCAATCGCTGGCGCAGCTCGGCGGCCATGCTCTTCAGACAGCACTTAATCACGTGGTTCCCGTTCACATCGGCACAGAGCTCGACGACGAAGGGACACAAACCGTCCAGGATGCGGTTGACCATGTCGGGAAGGCGGCAGAGCTGGGAGGTGAGGAGTGAAACGAGGGGGTACATGAATCAGCTTCTGCACACAACGCGTTCCATGCACGTCTTTCGAGGCTTCGCGAAGCTGGCTCTGCACCATGACGAGCTACACTCTCCAGCGAAGAGCAAGACTTACGAGTTGTCGCCGCTGCTGATCGCTGCTCATCTCCAGAATCTTCTGGAAGAGATAGTTTCCGAACTGGTTGGTCATCAGTAGTCCGATCCGCTCGCCCATCTCTTCGTACAGCACATCCACCAGCGACGTTCCCTCCTGGTCCAGCGCTAACTGCAGATGTCTGCGATGGAACCCGCTCGCCACTCCTACCTGCATCCGTTCTGCTGCAGAGCCATCGTCAGAAGCTCGCCTCGGTTGGCTTCGATCTCGTGGCGGAGCGACGCGAGCGAAGGCGGTTCGGCTTCCCGCTCCGCGCCTCCGTCCTCCTTCGAAGCCTTGCGATGCTTTCGCGAGTGCGGCCGCTCGCTTCCCGCGCGATCCGAGCAATCCGAGCGATCCGAGCGATCCGAGCGATCGGGACGGTCCAGACGATCCAGACGATCCAGACGGTCCAGACGGTCCAGACGGTCCATTCGGATGGGACGCATCATTGGATCGGGTCGTCTGGACCGGTCCGATCGCTCGGATCGCTCGGGCTTGTCCAGCTTATCGGGCTTGTCGGGCTTGTCCAGTTTGTCGGATCGTTCAGGTCTCACAGGACGCAGGACGCGATCCGGTCGCTCGGATCGCTCGGATCGCTCGGATCGACTGCATCTCCCTGGACGAAGCATTCGTTCGGAACGCTCCTGCATGTCGAGCCCCTCCGGTTTGTCCGGTTTCTCCAGTTTCTCCGGTTTCTCGGATCGCTCGGATCGCTCGGATCGCTCAGATCGCTCGGATCGTTCGGATCGCGCAGAGGCGGGTCGATGGCCTTTGCGAATCATCGGAGAAGGCGATGGATCCGCTTCGAAGCTTCGCTCGTGCGGAGAAAAACGCGAATAGGGAACGGCTGCGAACGAGGAGGGGCCCCGAGGGGGCATGTAGGAGGGAGACGAGGCGTCGGGGAGCGAAGAGCGAGGCGCGCTGAAGTAATCGGAACGATGGAAGGGAGAGGCAGAGGGGGTATAACGGTCATGGAAGTAGGAATCGGGGGGATAGGCTGCAGAGGCGCGAGTTGAAGAAGAGTCCATGGCTAGATCCCCAAAAGACATGAAAGGACCGGAAGAGATGAACGGGTCATAATGGGATTCATCTCTAGGCGACCTATCGAGCTAAAATTAAATTATAAAAACATACACAGATCTTGGACGTGGATAAAACCTTCCGACAGAAGATTGAGAAAACTATACCTAAAAACAGCCAATAAAGCTAACATCACTCTGTGCAGAAGGATGAGGGCATTCATTATTATATGTGCTATAACCAGGGGTAAAGTAAGATTTGGAACCGTCGAAAGAAAGTGGCGAATTAACAACTAGCGATTCAGCAAAGGATGGACGTCCTTGCATTTGATAAAATGGGGAAGCTCTACAAGGAATAGTGCCTAATTAAAACAAGTACTGGGATCCTCCAGAGACTGCAGAGGCGGAGCGAGGTCCTCCAGCAAAAACGATTGATGGATTTATTCCCATCATTTGAGTGTTACCTTCAAAAAAAGACACTCAAAATATATACCTTCATGCGATCTGAGCTCTGATTCTGTATATAAATTTGACATAGAATTTTTTCTCAGATAACAATTATCACTTGATGAAATAGTTCTCGAATAGTTTAAAAATGTATAGTATGGGACTTCACTTAAATCAATAAAAGTCGTCAACATCAAATATTATTTGGGAATTTCCCGCCCTTTTTTCTTATTCCTTTCACCCAAATTACTCAATATACATTCTAGAGTAGTGTTTGTCAAAGGAAACAATCGGAAATTTGTAAACATTTCACAATCTCACATTTCACTCATTGGTTTATATACAGATGTGCCTTTGGACCCTCGAGCGCTTTTGTTCATAAACTGATTATATTCTCTATTCATCACATCTCCCACTTATGACGACTTTACGATCCTACTACCGAACTGGATTGCCCGTTTGCTTAGAGACTTACAAAAGGACAGGTTTAGCAATGAAGAAACGTTTCGCAAGATCAGCTTGTCTCCCTCGCCCCTCGGAATCGAAAAATCTACTATCTGCTCATTAGTTTCACTCCATTCCATTACACAATCGAAACACGTATTTCGAAGATAGTCGCTCACATCCTCATCCAGGAAAGGTGTTCTCATCTCTCTTCCGAACTCAGAAATGCATCGATCGTCTCTCCCCTATGAGTTAGACGACTTTCCAAAATCGACCAGGTTTCGAATCCACAAACGGCTCCAGTCCTTCGTCATTTCTTCCCAGCTGGCTTTTCTACCTCCATTCGTGAAGGCGGTTTGGTACCTCACATACCCTCCGCACAATTCATCCGCTCCGATTCCAGAGAAGAGGACCTTGGATTGGAGGGAATATTCGTGGAATTGGCAGGAAAGACCCACGTCGTTACAAGTTCGCGCAACGGGTGGAATTGGACGCTGGGATTGTGCAGCGTTGTGTGGCTGATGTTCCTTGTGGTTTTCAGTGGCAGCATTGGTTTTGGTTTCGGTTTCGGTTTCGTGTCTGGTTTCGTTTTCGATATCGTGTCGGGTTTCGGTTTCGATTTCGTGTCGGGTTTCGGTTTCGGTTTCGGTTTCGGTTTCGGTTTCGGTTTCGGTTTCGGTTTCGGTTTCGGTTTCGGTTTCGGTTTCGGTTTCGGTTTCGGTTTCGGTTTCGGTTTCGGTTTCGGTTTCGGTTTCGGTTTCGGTTTCGGTTTCGGTTTCGGTTTCGGTTTCGGTTTCGGTTTCGGTTTCGGTTTCGGTTTCGGTTTCGGTTTCGGTTTCGGTTTCGGTTTCGGTTTCGGTTTCGGTTTCGGTTTCGTGTCGGGTGTTCGTTTCGATTTCATTTTCGTACTGTGCTTTTCGTGTTGTTTCACAATGGATTCCATCTGGATAGCAATCCAATGGGATCGTGTGACATGGGCATTCGATCGTTCTCTAAAATCAATTGAATGCTTCAGCACAACCCGTGGTTTGGTGGGATTTGCCCGGTTATATTCCGCGGTTTTTCGTTGTACACGAATGCAGCATTTGGAACACATCTGCATTCTACACCCCTCCTCGCGGCTATTGCGACAGTTGCGAGTTTTGCACTTGTCAGCAGAGGGAGTTGGGAGTGTACAAGATTCGACTGGATCGCTGGTCAGTCGTTGCTCGTTTGAAGCTTGATCCAGCTCCAACAATTGTTGCTTGATCTCTTCATTCCATTGCAGACATCGGCCCCTGCCTCGCGACAGAAACCAGTAACAACAGCCGATTTGGAAGTCCATTTGCGAAAATCCTGGCTAGAAGTGAGCGGAACTTGGAGCGAAAAACCGAGACGAAGTCGAGTATTTCGTGTTCGTGTTGCATCACTTCTTCGTTTGCTACGTTGATTTCCACGAATCGGAATTGTTGCTCAGGGTATAATTGTTGAATATCCGCAAACGACCGCACTATATCGAATTCGAACACTAGAACCACGCGCTGTGTATCGATCCGGGTACAATTCTCGCAATTGTCGAAGAGACTGCGATTCGATCGCTTCGACCTTCGATCCAAACGAGATATTCGCGAGCTCGATGACACAAGAAATGTGAAGCGACTGCAGCACGCGACACAGCACGCAGACGAGGATCGAGCAGTCGATTCCTCCTGAGAACATCACACACACAGCGCGAGTCGCAGGTAGGGAAGCGATCGTAGACACTCTTCGCCTTATGCTTTGCTCTAGTAGCGATAAAAGCGTTTCCGCTGCGCTGAGACGCTGCGGCGGTGAGCAATTCGTGTCGACGTGAAGAGTCGAGAGAGGGAGATTGAAGGGAAGGAGGTCTACGAAGAGGGAGGATGAAGAGAAATCGATTGAGTAAATGCCTAATGGAGCAATGTCCATCGTGGCGAAACAGGTGGGGTTGAGCTCGTTTTCGTAGATTGCTTTACGAGCTGCGGGAGAAAAGGTGACAGCAGGGTGGGGAGGAGGAAGAGGACGTGTATCGCGAGGAAGACAACTGGCAATGACTATGGAATCTCCCAAATCACAAATTCGGAGGAGAAGCGAGCGCCTACCCGCAGCATCCCTCCCAAAATAGATTTTATGCTCTGTTTTCTGTGATTTAGATGAAGGATAAAGGCAAACACGATAATATATAAAAGCCCAAGGACCCTTGATTCTTTTTAGGATGCTGTAAATGTCTCCTTCATTATTTAATAAACGAAAAACAGCTTCAGTGTCACTTTCACCAGGGAGGATCTACGGCGAAGATACATTGCACCTCTACTTCAATTCCATCATACACTTCTCCATTCCATAGGAAAACATCACCATCGGGGTGGATCAATGGTTGCTTGCAAATTGCGGATCCCTGCATATGCAAAACGGATCCTAAAAAGTGGATCGATTCATTTTCCAATGCTAATTGTTCAAAGGAATCGGGTCCTCGATTCCGTATACTCTTGGCAATTTCATTCACTTCCTTCAGGTCCTGCTCTCTCGTCCCTCCGGATACCGTAATAAGCGCTCCTATTCCGCACATACGAATGATTGTAAACAAACACCCCACATAAACTTAGAAATATGAACATTTGGAACGGGCTCCGTCTTTATCGGTCTCTGGCCATTCCCGGGCATCAGTCCTGCAGTCGGTGTGGCTCCAGCTCCGGAATCAACTCTCTGCAAGGGCGTAAAAGTAGCAGCGACCTGGAAGACGTGTCCATCATAATCCATGATGGATCCCATGGTAACCAGACAAGGAATCTCGATCTACATCTCATTCGTCGCAAAGCTGCTCACCGAAGTAGCGGGATTTTTAATGGGGCAAACGAACGATCGCATCATTTGGTGCTGCGCGTTGACGAGCTGACTGTACTCGCTCCAGAAAAGCGAGAGGTCGGACGGAGAGATGATATCGAAGAAGGACAGCTGATTAAGCTGCTCCATGGATTCGAACTGGAAGAGCTTCATAAAGAAGCTGTTGCCTTTGAGCAACTTGCCCGAGTTGATCTGAACGATGAGACACGGCATGCTGTTGTTCATCCAGATGCCTTTATAATCGATTCCGTTGCGACGCACGCTGCGACTCATTTCCTTCACCGCACGCTTGTTCACTTCGGTGCTGTCGCACGGGAAGTCGCCTGCCGTCGGAGCGTCGCCTTGGGCGTTCATTGGATACATGACGCAAGGCTTGTCCGCAGAATCGACGGTGATCCCGGTGGCGCCGAGCGAGGCGTGATTGACCTCGCCCTGGAGGAAGTGGTTGTCGTCTTCGTCCGAAAGAACTTCGTCTTCTCCGCCAATTCCATCGGCCAAGAGATTACTGACATCTGGAGGTGAAAAGTATAGAGAAGATGGGTACAGCCGAGATGGGTGTTTAGACGGTCTCGTTCCTTAATTAAATCGCGCATGTATGTTACAGCAGATTCCAAGGTGGAAACTTTGTCGCTCTTATGAGGAATGTTGGCCTTCTATGAGTAGTAGAAGGAGAAACAATTGTACATCCAGAATTTCCTTCAAATCATCCACACATTTGTTGATATTGCGGACTCGTTTCTTTTCTGCCTCGTTGTGATTCTGTTTGCGCTGAATCTCCTTAATAGGGTTATAATCCCTACAAAATTAAAGGAAACAAGCCTTTGAAGTACATAGGCGTCAAATCGATAGAAGGAATCTCTTCATCCATTTTAGCATCGCCAGTCAGTCCAGAATTTCCTGAAGTAAAACTAACGACGTTTCTACCAGAATGACCAAGGGAGCGCCCTTTGCGTCTTCCCTTATACCCCTCTTCTTCGTAGTCAGAATTACTCATGGAAATGCAGTCTCGGTGAAAAACCAGAAGAATAGTATTCTCAAAAAGAGATATCTGCAAAAATGATTTTAACAAACAAATGCTAAATCGTTCTTTGCCTTTTAGAAGGAAGGTCATCATCAGGACTACCTACAGTTTTACTAGAAATGAAGTAGGACTATCGCTGCCATCTGCATCTTCCTCCGAATCTTCTTTCACCAATTCTTTCAGGGCCTCTGCGTCCTTCTCTTTATCGCTTTCATCTTCAGACTGTAGAGAGAACGGGTCGTCACTACATCACACGCATCAGGTAGCCCCACCTCGAATCGTCTTCGTCCACCTCATTTCCCTTTCCTCCCTCTACAAATTACCGATCGTCCCATCCTCTACGTCGAATTCGGTTTTCCCGAATGACTTCCTTGCTGTATCTACATTCGATTCATCCAATCAAATCGACTCTTCCAGACACGCTCGTTCTTCCCGCGCCACCATCGTGAACTATCCATCACCGCACTCCACCAACCACACATCGTACTGCTTTTGAGTACTCGTTTTGACCATGAAATCGAACGTGCCTCCTCCCAACCGGTCCAGATTCATCCTACAATTCACGCTTCAGAGAGAAGGGAACGCGATCACGTCTTCGTGCGGAATATAATGCACGTTGGACGACGTGGCGATCACCAGACCCGGTCTGCAAGGCACCAAGTAGGAAGGAGAGGTCTATTGGAAAGGCAAACAAACAGCGCAAAACTCCATGATAGCATTTAACAAAGCTTGTTCTCGAGTTGCTGATGAAAAACGAGGAGTCGGGCTTAATGACCTTTAAGTGAGATAGAAAGCAAAGCAAGTGAACAGAAAACGTGAATTTGGTTTTGAGGATTGTAATGAAGATGGAGTAGTCCTTTCCTTTGATTTTGCGCTTCTTGTCTGTGAAATAGGTTTCCTTCGGAGTACTCGTGTCCAACGTCAGACACACGCAATCTAACTTGCGTTTCCCCAACTATCTTGATAGAAATGGAAAACGAATACAATCAGAGGGGACTTGAGTGCGACCACCGTGTTTGACACTTGCTTCATTTCGAGAGAACCGATATTGATAATATTTCGGATACTACGGGAGGAGGACATGGCAAAACTACTTTGAATAGTCAATTCGGATCTGTCTGGATGATGAGTCCAGATAAAAGCAAGTATCACAAAATGCGATAGAAAACTTGCCTTTCGGAACCATTGCAGATATGTTTGTCATGACAAAAAACGCGTCATCTACAGTCATACTAGGAACCAAGCAATACAATTCTCTCTGGCTTCTGTGACACGAACCGAGCCGTCTAGAAATGACGCAATTCCAAAATAACGCACCGCGACTGTTCAAGTCATCTTCGATCGCTTCAGCAAGGCAAATAAACCGATTGATGCTTTCGGGGTGTTCCTTTGCGAGAATCACCAAATCTTTCAAACAGTGCCGACCCCGTAACTTCTCCTCGATTTGTGCGATGCTTCGATCGATATTTAGGTTCTGCATGACGTTTTAAAAAGAGTACCCTGTCTGCCCGCAGGAGAGCCAAATAATGTGTGCCAACAAACAACCAACAGATCTTCTGAACTGAGCAAACGCGCGTGAAAGGTAAAACGCATCATAATTATGCAGGCTGCGTGTAGTTTTCGGGGAAGAGCCCGACCTCTCCATTCAATCGTCCTTCCCACCATCCGCTCGGATCCTTGCGAATCACTTCAATGCGATCTCCCTCGTTGAACGACAGCTCACCCTCCTCCTCCGCCTCCAACGCATACATCGCGACCACATAGCTCCGTTTTCCGGGCGCAGGCAGCGGTTTCTTGGGAGCTCTGCGCGATTCATACGCGCCGTTATCATAATCCTCGCTGCTTCGACGTCTCTCCCGCGGGACGTCCTTGAAGTCCGTCACTCGGGGGATCTCCAAATTGCGGGGTTCGGGGAGATCGAGCTCGGGAGCCTGGTAGGTGGACTCGATGTTTTCGCCCTCCTGAATTCGATTGATCACGTCGTCAATGTCGTATGTGACCGCGCCTACAGTGTCCTCGCCCAGATTGTTGCAGATCTCCGCCATGGCTTCGTATTGGCGCTTCACTAAGTACATTTCGCAGGTGATGAGCGTGGCGTTCTCGATGCGGAGAATGGAAGAGCCGATGTCGATTAGTTCTTGAAAACGCTCCTCCAGATAGGCGGTGTGCTCGTCGAGCATCTCTTTGTCGTGCTCCGCCTTCCGGCGGAAACGATCCGCCTTCTCCGCATCGCCTTTCCGCTCGAAGGTGGAGCACTTTTGACGATGGGAGTCATAGTCGGTGATAATGTGTTCGCGTGTTTTCACGACCTTCCCGACTTGCGCAAACTCGTTCTTTAATAAACGGTCGATGCGGTTGATGATACGAGTACGAAGAATACAGCACAGAGCTCTTCGCGTGTAGTTGTATTCAGCCTGGAGCACCGTATCAAGGTTCATGACAGTGTCCTTATAAGATTCCATATCATCCGAGGAGGTTCCCGCAGAGTTAGTGAACCGTTTCAGTTCATTTGCTAGTTTTCTGTTCGTATCGCACCAGCTCTCGATGTTACCGATTAAGGCAATGCACTGGTTGTTGAAAAGAGATAGATTTTTTTCAACATCAGAAAACTGACGATGCAAGATATCAAAGGTGGCATCAGACGTGACATCGGCTTTGCCTACCGTTCAAGCAAATTAGAAGCTCTACCGATCGCTACCTTCATCTGCTGAGTCAAACGTCTCTTTGACGTTTTCAGAGCTTTCATAATGCCGGACATGGCTGAGATAATATTTCGTAAAACAAAGAATGACAGTACTCGGATTGTATGATTCCCGTGGTTATTTTACCTACACACAATTCACCAGTTTAACAAGGAACGCAGCAACAGGGAGGAGAATTTTATCCTCATGACCACAAAAAAGGGGTACTGGAATATTACGCATAGTCTAGACAATTACATGTATTTCGAACGTGATGAGAACAGATATTGATTGTAGGTTTGCTTAAACATAGAGATATTCAAAATAATCGTATTGAAGTGAATACGAGCATCATTCCACTTTTCTAGAGACATCTAATTCGAGTTCAGTGTATTGCATATACTTGAAATAGAACAACCATGACAGTTTTAAGGTTAAATACTTTGAGATCATCCCTTGGAACACTGTTATGATAATGGCTCAGTGGAGTGTTCTGCCATCATTTCTGAACGTACCACATGTAGGTGAATACCATACATGGATCTGGATGACTAAGTCCTTTGAGTTAATAATGACTTGAGATGTGAGAGAAAATAAGATTCATTCGATTTGTAAATACTAATTGCACACTCATATTGAAGTTAGTGTACCCAGACCCACACTCAGTTCAGAACACATGGTAGAATGCCATGAATATATAATATAAATGTGTGGCATACTCGTTTACACAGCTATCTGAAATGAAAACAGGTTGAGTGTACACATCGTATAGAACACTTCACAAACCGCATAAAAATAGCATAACCGGTCACATCCAATGGTAGCATAGCATATTGTCAAAATACTGTAAACCACAACTGACACAATACGTGTGGTAATGTTTCGACGTTAATGAATAACGCAAAATGCACTGCCCATGCAGAAAAGATCAAATGATACATTTGCACACAAAAACGTGTTAGGACAAATGGATAAGGTGTTGACAAAGCGAGCTGGTTTAAAGTGTATTTCAATTTGACAAATAAAGGGTTTGTACAAAATAGGAAAATCGGGTCTTCTAGCTCCATTCCACTCTAGTTGCATTGTTCTCAAATGGTGGCATAAAGCAGAAGTGATTTCCATCGCAACAACTGCTAGCAAACAACGAATGGTCGCAACATCAGTGATTACCATACAGTGATCCACAACCCTATAATAATCAAAGGCATTTGTATAACACTGATTCAAAATAACCGCGGCAGAAACTGTGGTTAAAGGGGAAACCGAAAAGTGGTAACAATAAAAAAAAACTTAGTTCGACCAGATGCTTGCGGTGGCTCTTAAGCAGTCATTTAGACAGTCAGCTATGCTGGCTGGTTCTTTGAATGGAAGTGTTGCTAAGTCTACTTTTACTCGCCTCTTTTCCGAGTATAAGAAGGTCCGTGCGGCTATCGATGGAAACGAAGCTGCGGCGTCTTCTGCTTACAATGTGAGCGATGCTGCAATTTTGTATCCCATTTCTCCCTCTTCCCCTATGGGAGAGCATGCCGACGCATGGGCGGTGAAGGGAAGAAAGAACATTTTTGGAAACGTTCTGAAAGTGACCGAAATGCAGTCTGAAGGAGGTGCCGCCGGAGCCTTGCATGGCGCTCTTGTGGGAGGTCTTCTGGGAACAACGTTCACCTCTTCTCAGGGCATGATGCTGATGATTCCCAACATGTATCGTATTGCTGGAGGACTGCTGCCCGCCGTCATTCACGTGGCTTCTCGTGTGGTTTCTAAGCAGGCTCTGTCGCTGCTGTGCGAGCACTCTGATGTGATGGCTACGAGACAAACTGGATTTGCGATTCTTTCCTCGCACTGTGTCCAGGAGGCACACGATCTCGCGCTGGTGGCCCACCTGTCTGCTATCACCACGAGCCTTCCTTTCCTGCATTTCTTCGATGGCTGGAGAGTTTCTCACGAGGTGAACTCTATTGATACGATTCCGTGCGACGAGGTGGCCAAGATTTATCCCTACGAAGATGCGAACATTTTCCGCAAGCGAGCCTTGAATCCGAATCACCCGTATCAGCGCGGAATTGCTCAGTCTCAGGATATCTACATGCAGAACTGCATCGTGGCTCAGCCGTTCTATGACGCTGCTCCCGAGAAGATTCAGGCGGCGATGGACAAGGTGGCGAGCATCACGGGTCGTCAGTACCATCTGTTCGACTATGCTGGAGCTCCCGACGCGGACCGTGTGATCGTGGTGATGGGTGCTGGAACCACGGTGGAGGAAACGGTGAACTACTTGAACAAGCATGGAGAGAAGGTGGGTGTGGTGAAGGTGCACCTGTTCCGTCCCTTCTCGCAGAAGCACTTGGACGCGGCGATCCCCAAGACGGTGAAGAGTGTGTGCGTGCTGGATCGTTGCCGAGAGGACGGAGCTCCCGGAGAGCCTCTGTACCTGGATGTGGTGGCTTCGATGAACCAGCTGAAGCGTCCGGTGACGATCGTGGGAGGCCAGATGGGTCTGGGAGGCAAGGACTTCACTCCCGCGATGGTGAAGGCGGTGTTCGACAACCTGAAGAAGCCCGAGCCCAAGAACCGCTTCACGGTGGGTGTGAACGACGATCTGTGCCACTCGTCTCTGGAGTACGGCGAGCCGCTGCCGACGCTGCCCGATGATGTGAAGCAGTGCATCTTCTGGGGTTACGGATCGGACGGAACGGTGGGTTCGTCGCACGATGCGGTGAAGCTGATTGTGAAGAACACCGACTTCAACGCGCAGGCGTACTCCGTGTACGATGCGCACAAGTCGGGCGGTCTGACGGTGTCCCACGTGCGTGTGGGCAAGGAGCCGATCCAGTCGGAGTACCTGGTGCAGCAGGCGGACTACGTCGCTTGCCACAACAGCACCTACGTGCGCAAGTTCCACATGGTGAACCAGCTGAAGGAGGGCGGAATCTTCGTTCTGAACTCGCCCTGGAACACGCTGGAGGAGCTGGAGAAGAACCTGCCCAACCATCTGAAGCGCGATCTGGCCAACAAGAAGGCCCAGTTCTACAACATCGATGCTACTGGCGTGGCGCAGAGCGTGGGTCTGAAGCAGCGCATCAACATGATCATGCAGAGCGTGTTCTTCAACCTCTGCCCGATCCTGCCTGAGGGTCGCGCTCCCAAGCTGCTGGAGAAGGACATCGCTGTGCGCTTCGGCTCGAAGGGCCAGCAGGTCGTGGACATGAACCTGAACGCCGTGAAGCAGTCGCTGAGCAACCTGCACAAGATCGAGGTGCCCGCCGCGTGGGCGAACCTGCCTGACGACGCTCCGAAGGTGTGGCCCGCGGGCACTCCGGAGTTCCTGCAGACGCTGTACCCCGCGCTGTACATGGAGGCGGACAAGGTGCCGGTGTCCAAGTTCGTGTCCGGAGGCGTGCAGCCCGCCGGAACCTCCAAGTACGAGAAGCGCGGCATCGCCACGCAGGTGCCCGTGTGGGACCCCTCGAAGTGCACGCAGTGCAACCAGTGCGCGACGCTGTGCACGCACGTGTGCATCCGTCCGTTCCTGATGGACGCGGAGGAGTCGAAGCGCGCTCCCGAGACCTTCAAGATGATCCCCGCCGTGGGCGACGAGCTGAAGGGTCTGAACTACCGCATCCAGGTGTCGCCAATGGACTGCACGTCGTGCGAGGTGTGCTCGGTGAACTGCCCGACGAACGCGCTGACGATGACCAACTTCCGCGATGTGCAGGAGGTGGAGAGCAAGAACTGGGACTTCGCGATGACGGTGAAGAACAAGGGCGACCTGGTGGACAAGACCACGGTGAAGGGCTGCGCCTTCCAGCTGCCCATGCTGGAGTTCCCCGGAGCCTGCGCGGGCTGCGGAGAGACGCAGTCGGTGCGCATTCTGACGCAGCTGTTCGGCAAGCGCCTGATGGTGGCGAACGCGATGGGCTGCTCGCGTGTGTGGGGAGGCACCTTCTGCTCGAACCCGTACACGGTGAACGAGCGCGGCCAGGGTCCCGCCTGGGGCTCCTCGCTGTTCGAGGATAACGCCGAGTTCGGCTTCGGTATGATGACCTCCACGCTGATCAAGCGACGCAACCTGGCGACGCGCGTGCAGCGCATCCTGAAGGACGACTCCATCCCCAAGAGCAAGGAGCTCTGCGCCAACCTGCAGACCTGGCTGGAGAACCCGCGCGATGCGGACAAGTGCGAGGTGTGCTACGACAACTGCGTGGCGCTGCTGGCCAACGAGAAGAAGAACCACAAGGAGCTGGAGCTGCTGGAGGAGGTGATCGACGTGATGCCCAAGCTGACGCAGTGGGTGGTCGGAGGCGACGGCTGGGCCTACGATATCGGCTACGGAGGCGTGGACCACGTGCTCGCCCAGGGCGACGATATCAACGTGCTGGTCCTGGACACGGAGATGTACGCCAACACGGGAGGCCAGCAGTCGAAGGCCACGCAGATGTCCGCGGTGGCGAAGTTCGCTGCGGGCGGCAAGCCGCTGATGAAGAAGGATCTGGGCCGCATGGCGATGCAGTACAAGAACGTGTACGTGGCGTCGATCGCGGTGGCCGCGGACCCGCGCCAGGCCATCAAGGCGATCGTGGAGGCCGAGAGCTACGACGGACCTTCGCTGGTGATCAACTACTCGCCGTGCATGCAGCACGGAATGCCCGCCTCGACGGGAATGTCCTGCATGGCGCAGGAGGCCGAGAAGGCGGTGTCTTCGGGCTACTGGCCGCTGTACCGCTACGATCCGCGCCGCGCGGAGAAGGGCGAGAACCCGTTCCAGCTGGATTTCAAGAAGATTAAGACGGACGTGGGCGACTTCCTGAAGGGAGAAAACCGATTCACGACGCTGGACAAGAGCCTGCCGGATGTGGCGACGTCGCTGCACGCCACGCTGAAGCAGCAGCTGATCGAGAGACACGAGGATAGAGTGCGCATGGCCATGTCGGATAAACAATTGTATAAATATCTCCAGAAGAAGTTCGAGAAGAAGTAAGCTTGCTTATTTTGTGTGTCCGTTTATCGTAATTAATGCGTTGTTTGTTGAAACAAGCAGTTGGTGGATTATTTTAACAGATTGGAAAGTGTAGGTGAGACATCTAGAAATGGAACAAGAGAATAGAGGGAATACTGGTAATTGTTTTCCGTTGAACTTTGTGGAAAGGAGGGTAATAGTTATAGAGATCACCTTCTTTTCTACGATGATTGACATTTTGAAGATTTGGAATATCTAAATACTATCAGTATTCAGTATTCAGAACTACTCTCTAATGTCACTGTACTGGGGGATTGGAAACATCCTTCATAATAGTCAATGGACGTTAGATTTGGAAGATCTACAAAGCAAATCATTTCAAATGATCTCAATCATACTTCGCATTATCAATGAGGTTGAATCATCATCATCTCTTCCAGCAAGTGCTTTATAACCGAGTTGAATGGATTGTAATGATGGAAGATCTACATCACTCATTTCATTCGAATTTATTCAATACTTTCAATTATTGTTGATAAGGAATAATTGAATGCCCGATCACCTAATGTAATAAACTGTAGATTTGGAAGATCTATGCATCATTCAACAATTCAATATCAAATCAATACCTCGAATCACAAACGAATTATGATAGAAACTGTGTGAGACGTAATAATAACTTCTATTGGAATTGCTGTTACTCAAATATGAATAGCTATAGGAATTTGATTGGTAATATGAACCAATAATAATACTTTTCAACAAAGGTAAATTCTTCAATTCAAAGTCCCCAGCAAAATCACTGAAACTGAAATCACCAATTTGAATAAATTCCAATGATTCACAATTCAATATGTGGAATGATTTCGATTCATCATCTCCATTACTATTCTTTTTCTGAGTAAATGAATTCTTGCCGATTTTGATCGTTTTCAATTGATTCAATCCATCGATTTTGAATGTTTGCACTGATCCAAAACAATCATCGCCGATTTCGATTGATTCCAGAGAAATCAAATTGGATAGATTCATCAATTCAGTATTACAAAAAGAGTTACTCTCTATCTTTAAACTCTTTAATCTGCTCAATCCATTCAATTCAAATAGTTTCAACGATTTAAAGCATTCATCGCCGATTTCGATTGATTCCAGAGAAATCAAATTGGATAGATTCATCAATTGGGAATTACCGAATGCAGCATCACCTATTTTAATGGATTGTAGATTTGGAAGATCTAATCATTACACATGCATTATAATATCAATACCTCGAATTAGAATTGAACAGGAATAGAAGTTATACCAATACTTTTCACTGCTGTACATGTAATCATAATAGTTGTTTTTGTTTCCAATTTGAATGGATTGCAATTGTGGTAGATTCTTCAATTCAAAGTCTCCTCCAAAATCACTGAAACTATATTGTCCAATTTCAATAGATTCCAATGATTCACAATTCAGTATGCAGAGCGATTTCGATTTATTGTCTCCATTACTATTCTTTTTCTGCGTAAATGAATTCTTGCCGATTTTGATAGTTTTCAATCGATTCAATCCCTTCAATTCAAATGATTTCACTGATCCTAAACATCCATCGCCGATTTCGATTGATCGAAGCCAGTTAAATTGATTCAAATGAAGTTTATTAAACTCATTACAAGAATTGGAACTTATCACTAAGTCATTCACCTTATTATCAATGACTATCAATTCTTCATTCTTACTAATTGTAATTTTGTCGCCTATTACATCATCTGTTTCATTCTTCATCTCTTCCGGTTTCTTATTCCTCAATACGCTTCGAATACTTTCTTGCAATCCTTTCATATACCATCCTTCATACAAATCGGTTCCCTTTATCTCTTCACCGCAGTTCCATTCACTTTCACGAATAGCTGTTCCATTGTTTTCATCAATCAAATATCCGAGTCCATGTCTTAAAAATGTTCCTCGCATCTCACAATATCCTCCAATATAAACAGGAATTCGATTCCACATCTCCAAATTATCATTCACTACATATTCGATCATTTGGTTACTATCTGCATCAAACTCACGAATGACTTGGACCAATTTATCCTTTTCCCAATATCCCTCAAGCTTCTCTTTGCCACTTTCCATATCATATTCAATTCCATGTCCATGGCGATTCATTTCTTTATCAAATCCGCCTCGATAAATCACTATTTCAGCATTCACGTTACTTTCTGCATCATTTCTCACTTCGTATTTATTATCATTCATTTCAGGCTTCACTGTACATCGAATTGTCATTATCAACCCTTCTTTCGTATTCTCAATCATTCTTCGATTTCCATCTTCTCCAAATATCGAATTCCAGTTTTCTTTGTGCAATACTTTACCATCCCAATATTCAGTTATTTCTCCCTCTCGTTTTCCATTTTTCATTGTCCACGCTAAGTGTAAAATTCCATGCTTGAATAATTGGCAACGACCTTCAATCTTTCCATCTCTTAGTTCGCTCAACAAATACTCGTTTGAGTGTTTCCCTTGGTATGTTTGGATTTCATATTCTACCCCACCAATTTTGGTTCTTATTCGTTTATCACTTACATAATCACTCAGCAAATACCTTGATTCCTTTGTATGTTGTAATACGCCTATTTATCAAATCCAATTTTATATCAAACCGTTTAGATTCGTAACCATTACGTTATTTTGTCTTAATGCAAGGGTATTATCGCAAAATGATGAAAATGGATTGTAATGTGTCATTTTTCTTCATTTAAGATTTTCCGGATTAATGAGCTTTAATTTTGGTTATTAGTTGCAGCAAGCCTTTTTACGTGAATACAGCAATCAGCTATGTAAATACGAACGAGAGTATGTGATACTAGTCATTTATGTGTTCTTGAAATATACACGTATTTCTTCTTACTACTACAACATTATGGAATTAGAGCAACTCTAATAATCTTCGTTAGACTCCAGAATGGGTCATTATATCATTGTTTTGACTCTATTGCGCTCTATGACATATATTTAAGTAATAAATTCCAATCTCTTTTGACTATCCCAAATACCTTTTTAAATGCAACGACGATCGTTCATTGTGTTATTTGGTCATAGCAACATGTCAATATTCTATAGGATTCAGCTGAAACGTGTTTTTTTATAAAGTTATGTAATCTAACCCATTACTTGTATTCCTCTATTTTTCTGTGAATGCTATTCACAGAAAAAATAGCCAGTTTGTCCTATGGCTACTCCATTTTCGTTATTTGCGTTCTCCACCTCCTCGCAACTGTTTTTCACGTTTCTATGTTACCATCTCGCGAGATTTTTGATATTATGACTATAAATCCAATTTCCCTCCAAGTCCTTTCTTTCCCTCCATATGGCTTCTTTTCATCGTTATTGTTATCCGCATTGGGACAATGAGTAATTCCTTTTCTGCTGAAGATGTCCGTGATTTGCTATCCAAGATCTCCAAGTTAGAGGAGGTAGCTGTAACTCTTGCCAATTATTGCGTAGAATTATCGCTTAAAGCAAATGGAATTAGAAACAGAAATCGAAAAGCACAAGAAAACACGTCAGGATATGGAAAAGTGTATTATTAGATTTTATTTCTTGTTCAGTGAGAGGAGAGGTTGCAATTCTTGTGGAAGAGAAAATTCGGCTATGTGAGAAGGTTGGCGCTTTGACTGAGAGCTGCTCTTTAAAAGATCGCTCTTATGAGTACTCTGAAATTGCTCTCCAGTAACGCTTAGAGTTCTGAAAAAAGATTTGGACAAGAGACTGACAGAATTGAGGGTATTGGAGCATCGCTTTTCGGAAGAAAGCGAAGCATACAAAAAGAAAAGGTACTATCAATCCTCTTCCCTATTGTAGAGAATCTTTCCGCCAAGAGATCGACCAAATCAACGAGAAGATGGTTTCCCTTTTCTTAGGATGGTTGAAATTAGAGCTGTTTTTTCCATGGCTCGTCTCCACAAGACCTCTCCGTACCTTTGACCAATGAGCAAATACGGAATCACGAGCTGTATCGCATGGTCGTGAAAGAGAAGGAAGAACAGGACGAATCAATGAAATCGCTCAAAAAAGAATTCTCTGAGTTATCGGAATATTTGAATAAGCTGGAAAGCGGATATTCTCAGAGTCTTGAGTACATCAACCATTTGGAGGGGATTATTTCTCATGTATGCACTAAATGTGTTTTACCTATTTGTAGTGTGAGCAATGTAGCAAAGCGAGAGAAGAAGTGATGAGTTCATTTGTTTGTTCTATGAAATATGCAAATCGAAAATACAATTTTTTGTTTATCCTTTGTTCGAATATAATGCCATAGTAGAAGATATACCATATAAAACCACAGGAAAGGATCTCGTTCTTTTCTTTCTCCCATGCGTCAAACCCGTCTCAATAAAGTACGAGTAGCATGTTATTGTTAAATGTAGCCTTTCAATGCGTGAAGATAAGAATCTTAACAATGGATATGGCTTTATCGAATTTAAGTCAATCGAAGAATGCACAAAAGCGATCCAATATTGCAAGCGAGAAGCATTTTGCGGAGAGAGGTTGACGGCTAAAATGGCAAAAGATGCGATGAAAAGAGACGAAGAAGCAGAGAGTGGAGCAACGACGGATGACTCAAAGCCGATTTATTTAAAGGAATTCACTGATGAGGAGCTACATTCGAAATTACAGAAATTGGGAGAAGTAGCAAAGCGAAATCCTATTCAGGCGCAGCGTTTGTTGCAGCAGAACCCAAGTTTCTTGTATGCCTTGTTAGAAGCCGAGCATAAACTGGGAATGCTGACTACAGCAGTTCCCGGAATGGATTATTTGTTAGGAACGGAGTGATTGGGAATTTGTTTCAACAAACGCATCATGTATACTACTATTACATGACTACAATTTCGTTTCTGAATGGGCTTTCCCCTACTGTCAAGTCCATGTCGTGTCACTTACTTCTGTCATCCATGCAGGGAGCGTCATCTGGGTTCCACGTCCAATACCTGAGGTTGGAATGGCGTCAAAAATAGTTCCCTTGCGAATGTTCTCTTCTAATCGTCTTCTTTCTTCTCTTTGGTGCTTTTCATTCTGCGTTTTATAAAAAGTCAGGTATATATACCTCAGCTAGCTGTTGTTTCACCAAAAACACGCGTTGGTTCTCTTCTTCCTCCTTTTCTCTTTTTTCACGCACTAACAAATACGAGTTAGGTTTCCTATTTCAAATTGAAAGGATCAAAGGGAACTCGGGATCATATTCGTCGTCAATCCCAGAAAAGGACATAGAACTTGTCTCCTGGCCAGGGAAAAACAGGGACGGAGGATACGCCATCACATACAAAATCTTTGTTATCTCATGTCTTTCACTCCCTATCCCATTCAGGACGTGAATACTCCTGCGTATGCGCTAGATCTTTCCGTTTTCCGTGTAATTGTGTCGAGAGCTTTTCCTTAAGGATAGGAAAATTGTAAAGCGATGGTTGAAAGAGCCTCGAAGCAGAATCTGAAACTGCGTGTCCATGTGAAGGCAACTACCTTAGGATCAACTTTATGGAATAGACGCACAAGACGATCGAAGGAGCCAAAATCCAGCTAGAAGGAATTCCAGAGGAAGAACAAGCCATTATCGTGAGCACCATGGCGGAATTGAAGTTTTTCGCGGACAATGGATTTCAGGATATAACGTTTGCTTTCATTACTCTATATGAATGTAGTCTTGGAATCCCGTTTGGAACCCACCAGCTAAATGACCTAGCTGCCTACTCCCAGAAAGTCCGCAACCTGAATCTTCTTGTAGATCTCGAAGAGCACGTGTCTCTCCTCGAAGGCACGAAGGGCCACTACAATCTCTTCATCAAGATCGATACAGGGTATCATCGTGCCGGTATCGACGCTTCCGACTTCGATTCCATCATAAAACTGGCAACGCGAATCACTCAAAGCCCCAACTGTCATTTCCTGGGTCTCTACAGCCACGCTGGCCACTCCTACGACCAGCCCTCCATTGACGACGTCATTCGCGTAGCACGTGAAGAGCGAGGTTTCCTCAGCTTCCTCCTTTCCCTCTAGACGCGATGGCGCGCGTTCGCTCGGCTCTCGAAGAGAACGGGATCGCTGTGCCGATCGTTTCGTGCGGCTCGACGCCCGCGTGCTCGCTGAACGAGGACTGGACGGGCGTGAACGAGATCCACGCGGGGAATTATTGCTGCTACGACCGAATGCAGGTGGCGATCGGGAGCTGCGCGTCGGAACGGAACAACGCGGCACGATTACTGATGCGCGTGCTGTCGGTGTATCCGAGCCGGAATACGATTCTGACGGACGGAGGCGGGATTCCGCTGAGCAAAGATAAAGGCGGATTGGAGAATTGGGGGTCCGTGAGGGATCATCCGGAACTGTTCGTGGCGAAGTAGGGGCGGGGAGGAGGGTGGAGGATAGGCTGAGTCAGGAGCACGCGTTGCTGACGTCGAAGGAGCCGATCGATTACTCGAAGTATCCTGTGGGAACGGTGCTGGAGGTTCTGCCGAATCATTCATGCATGACGGCCGCGCAGCATAAGGAGTTCTTGATTGTGGAGGGGGATAAAGTGGTCGATAAGTGGATTCCTGCCAAGTTTTGGTGAAGTGTTTGTTGAAATCAAGTCTTTGGAGGGTGGTTGTCTCTTTTCATTCGTGATATACGTTTGTTCCGTGGTCTACAGATAATGCTGGAACCAATCTTCTTTTCTCGTTTTGATTCGACCTGTTTCAAGAAGAAAAACATTCACAGTTTTTTAGGATCGTAGCGTTTGAATGGACGACGCTTCTCTTTTCGGAAAAGGAGATTGGAAGGTAGATAGCACACACCAGAATGACAAGTTTATCGTCATTGCTGTGAATGTATCCTTTTGGTTTTCTGGGATGAGCTGTAGGACGAGCTATCGAAGGTAATTGATTCCTTTGACGGTAATACATATTATTCGTGGTTTTAGCAATAGTTGAGACTTTTGGCACGATTAAGAAAGTCGACAATACCGTATGAATGCAGGAGACTTTTCACTCTAGGATATTATGATGATAGACCATGAATTAATGGATCGAAAAGGAATTAATTCTTCGGAGTATTCTTGCATCTTTTCACTTTCCCAAAACCCAGATTCGAAGAATATGTATTTATTTTCGAGTGATCCAGCAAACAAAATCGTTTCCTTTCAGGGAACTCGCTCTGTGACCCTAAACGCAAGAGCAAATCGTGAAACGATGCAAGCGCGAAAAGCGATTTTCCGAATTCAAAACTCATCGGAGAGCTTGTACTCTTTTCACGGAATGCTCGATGCGTAGACCTACAATTCATTATATGCCAGAATCGGAGCGTCGAGAATTCACGAAGAGACTAAACGAAGAGCGTAGTAAAGTGGGTGACTGCGCTGTGGCTGATATCCAGAGAATCCGCGAGACCAAACTGAATGAAAGCAAAGAATTGGCGAACCGCGTAGCGATGCGCGAGCGCCAGATGCTTCGCGAAGAGGACAAAGACAAGATTCGGAACTTGGTCATTCGCTATCTGGGCGAACGGGAGTATTTATCGCTGAACGAGCTGGTGGAACTGATCAACGCGCCTCGAGTAGGTTCGGATGGGTCGATTGAATGCAGTTGTATATTCAGGATATTGTGAAGGAAGTCGCGCAGCTGCAGAAGAACGGAAGATACGTCAACAAGTACCACCTTCGTGACATGTACAGAGTCGGAATGAATCGAATGGTTGATCGTGTAGTTCAACACCACGCCCAAATCCACTTAGTCGTGTTTGTTTCAAACAGCTTTACACTCGCACTCGAAATAGCTGGCAGGTCTTGTCATCGCTCACAGACGCGATGTACAGCATTTTATCTTGCACGAAAATGTCCATGTCTAGCAGGATATCGGTGTGTCCGGACAGTTTATATAAATTGCGTCCTGTGCGGGCGTCCCAGACATACACGCACCCATCCAAACACCCTGTGACAAGCACGACGTTGTTGGGATGCCACACCATTCGAATCACGCCTCCGTTGTGCTTGATCTCCTGTCGAATTCGATTCGAATCGTAGTCATAAATGATCACAGTGCCGCACATGCTCGCCGAGGCCACCCAATTAAACTCGGGATTGAACCGCACGCTACACACGAACCCACGACAACGATCGCTACACTTCCACCGAGCAGTTTTCTTCCGGATTCTCGCTCTTGTGCTCGTATCCTCCCAGCACCTACACTCAATCGCTTTCCCTGCTCGCTACGCGGTGCGTCTTCACGTTCTCCAGCTTGACCGAGCCGTCGCGCGCGCCCGTAACGCAGAGCGTGGTCTGGACATGACACGCGCCATCCGACCCTACTTTGGGATGCACGTCGGCCGACACGATTCCGCCTTCGTGGAAGCGATGTCTATTCCATGATCCCCCTCCTGGTTCGAAAGCATACTCGCCTTCCTTGAACGTGTAGGCCAATTCGTGCGACTTCAGCTTCCAAACCTTCAGCGTGTTGTCCATCGAGCCGGTGAGCAGCAGCTGTCCGGAAGGATTGGTCACCGCGCACGTTACCGAGTCCGTGTGGCCGCAGAGCAGCTACATGCTCACCGCCTCCCTCGCCCTACAGGCAACGCGAATCCTTTGGGCAGGCTCCAACTCCAGATCGTGTAGTCATTGCCCGAAGCGAGCAGGACGTTGCTCTTCGAGTGCCAGCGAATCCATTCCAAATCTTCCGGTCCCTGGAGCGTCTTCAAGAGCTGTCCGTTGCTGCTCTTCCACACTTTGATGACGCCGTTCATATCCGCAGTCGCGAGATACTCACCTGTATAGCTGAACGCGATACTGCAAACGCTGTCTTGATGGCCGGTGAGGTGACAAGAGGAGACCGAAGGCGTTTCTTTATCAGAAAGTTGGAGCAAAAAGGCTTGCTCGTCCTGGCCTCCGGTAGCGAGCTGGAGAGGATGCATCGGGTTGAAAGCGACACAGAGCACGGAGTCTGTGTGTCCTTCAAAGGACTAATTCAAAGAAAGAGAGAAACAAAATATACACAAATCGAGTCACGCTTAATCTCACATTCGTCGCCTAAAAGTGCAGCGTCTTCAACTGGGTCGTCCACACTGTCTTGGTCATCTCCCATATTGTTGCCCTGTTCTTTCACTACTTAATCAGGTGATAATAGCAATTACACTCCTTCTCCGCCTTTTCTATAAATTCATCTGCATCCATCACTATCAATTCTATAGTATGAATGTAAGCAAACGAACGATACCATCATCATCCAAGTTAATGGCATCTTCCACGCCATCCATTTCTGCGTCCTCCATTACTAGTGAATGTTATCCATAACAAAAATAAAAACCTTCGATAAGGTCATTCACGTCCTCTTCTAAAGATTAACAAAAAGCAAAGAAAACTACGTTTGCCCGCATCTTCGACGTTCCCTCCCTTCTACATCTTATAAAAATAGCATTTTCTCTACAATTCTCATGGTAGAATAATGTCGGTTGTATTATAACAAAAAAAATAGCAAATTTGGAAAACGAACTTTGAGGCGTCGAAAATTATAAATAAACGAGTACTCGTACTTCACAGGGCACAATCAGGAATCAGAACTTTTTCGTGAGCGTGTCTTGAAGCCAAATAAACTTGCAGAATCATCTGAATTTAAATCGATAGGCTCAATAAGATTCTACAAAAGACTCAGTGCAGCATGACTTACATGTCTTCGGCAATAGGTCAATCCGCAAGTGGCAGCGAGCGTTGCGAAGGAGAGTGTATAAAGCATAAACTTCTCGATTCCGGGAGCCATGATTCTGAGAGAGAGAAATAGGCTTGGGTGTTGAAGTAAGGTTTCAAACCCCCTCTTTCAAAGACAACGTGGCCGAGTGGTTAAGGCGTTAGCCTGCTAAGTTAATGGGATTTTCCCGCGCGTGTTCGAATCACGTCGTTGTCGTTTTTTTCTATATTTGTTATTATGAATTGAATACTTATTATTATTATTATTTTTATTATCATATTGAATAGTGTTAAAGTAAGAACACTCTCTTTTGCAGGAAAAATGAAATCATCAACGAAAGAAATATGACTGTAGAAAAGAGAGTAAATGTTTATCAACAAGAGTATCCACACACCTTTAGATACAAATACTAGCTGACTTCCATGGTTTATGCCTCACTACCCTTTTCCTTTTCCGTTTCCTTTTCCGTTTCCTCCTTGGTCTCAACAATTCCCTTCTCTTCCTCAATTCCTTCTTCTGCCTTCATTTCTTCACCTTTCTTACCTTCCTGACTCTCGCCTGCTTCCTTCACCTCGACTTTGGGTTCCTCCTCCACCTTCTCCTTGAGAACATCCTCAAAATCCTTCAAATCGAACTCCTCCACATTCACGCCAATCTCCTCCTTATAGTTTTGCAAGATCGAGTCAATGTCCACTCCCTCGTCCAGCGGGAGATTCTCCTCCGCTGCATCCTCCGCCTTGTGCGCATCTGTTCCCAACTGCTTCAGCTCGTTCTCCAGCTTCGAGATCTCGTTCACATAGTCGTGGTTCTCGCTGTCTGCCGACTTTCGAGGCTCCGACGAGAGTCGCTTGGCCGACCGCGAATGCCCCACAACGAAAGCGTCCGTGGGCTGCATGCTCACCATGCGGCCCTCCTTCCGCTTCAGCACTTCGCTCCACAGCGCGGACGACTCCTTCATGATCAGTCCTTCGTACGGATCCTCCATCAGCTCCGTGGCTTCCGCGGGGGAGAACGCGCACGCCACGCTCAGCTCCTCCCAGTTCTTGGTCTGATCCAGCTCCTTCGCCGCCAGATTCAGCTTGAACAGCTTGACGAAGCCGGTGTAGAACTGGGCGCGGAAGAGCGTCGTCGAGGTTTGCCGCGCGGTGCGATGGCGCAGCCGGAGAAACACGTTGCCGTGGAGCACCACGTCGGGCGAAAACGTCACCGAGGCGCCGGCGTTGACCGGGGAGATCGCGCCGCTCTTCACCAGACTGGAGTACACGAGCTTGTTCTGGTTGTAGATCTGCGTGGAAACGGGGAAACGCGCCTACTTCCAGGAACGGCGCGCAGGATCCGTTCTCGACGTCGGGCAGCGCGGAGATCGTGACGGAGGTCAGCAGAAGCGCGTCGGCGGAAGGACGGACGTTCTGCAGCAAACTGTCGAAGTACTGCAGGTAGCGGAGCTGCGAGGGACACATAACGCTCTCCGAAAGCCCGCGGCGACTCAGGCAGAGAGCCAAGGCTTCCTGGGGCGAGCTGGACCAGCCCATCCAGGTGAGAATGCAGGCGCAGAGAAGCATCGTGCGACCTTTGCCGTCCTGCAGGGAAGAAGAGAGAGGAGAGGATACGTAGCAGTGAATGATGGCGATGTTTTCGGGGTTTTCGGAGAGCCAGGTTTCCACGTTCGTGCAGATTTTGATGAGCAAACCCAGCGCAGGGGCAGGATAGCCGGTGAAGTCGTAATTGACCACCTAGATGGCACAAATTCAGAAAAACGAACATGGTCGTGGAATAGATAGGTATCGTAGGTCTCTTCTGCGAGGTTAAACAACATATAACGATTTGGGTAACAGGTTTCGAGATAGTAAGCAATCGAATCTGCTTTGTTCAGCGTAGTTTCTACTTTCTTTGTCTTCGGGTTTCCAGGAAAACCCATAGCTACAATGAACTGAAAGTCCCTCTCATACCCACTAGATTCGGTGTGATAAGTGTCATATCTTCGGGAGGTCGGATATTGTCTCGAATAAAGGCGTTTGCGGTGTCATTCACTAAACTCAAACTGAATCCACAACCATACGTTGATCCGTCTTCGCCTGAAGCGTGTTCATCGACTAAAAATAGAATCCAAAAGACATAAGCATACTTCCTCCAACACGGTTTTTCCAGCAGATAGTAGCGTAGTCGCCTTCTCTTTCGCCGATTCAATCCACTTAGAGAACATTGTCGCAATTTGCCAAAAGAATGATATTATCCAAAAAACAAAACTATTTTGGGAGGGTGGAGTTGACCAAAAACGAGTGATTGAACCATTACTATGGATCACAGTCACAAACCAGGATCACTGAAGCAAGTAAACAAGCTACACAAGCATTCCGGTACCTCCAAACGTGCAAAGAAAATCCGACAGGGAGGACGAGTGGAAAACGTCCTCGCTCCGTTGTTCCGAGACAAGTAGATTCAACTGCCATTTTGTTAATGTCAAAGAGTTCACGGAAAGAAAGATCGTGCAAATCTGCAGAAGCAGATCCGAGAAAAGAAAAGAAAGGAGTTCTTGGAAAAGAAAAAAAGCGGTATTTCACTGTCTTCTGTAAATTAGGTCTAGGAGCTGGAAGTGCCTTTCCCTCTGTGGTGGCTTTAATTCCTCTTGGAGAAAACGCCGACACTCGCTCGATCCTGCAGAAAGTAATCGACAACTGCTCCGATTGCGACATTCACTACTCTTCCCTCGGTAATGTACGCAAGACGCTTTTCATTTGAAAATCACAGAACGGTATATCGCAGCCAGTGACGATTGTATTGAAGAAATTCAAGCGTCGTCTGACTTTTCTCTGCTGCACTCAAAATCTGGAGAACGTCCTCGATTCCTGCAAAGTCGCCGACTTCTGCGTGTTTCTGACCAGCGTGGACGGCGGCGAGGAGCAGGCGATGAACCCCCAAGCCGACCTGCTTCTCACCAGTCTCCGAAACCAAGGCCTGCCGAGCAGCATGGGTCTGATTCAGAACCTGGACTCGCTCAACGCGAAGCAGAGCGCGGCGATGCGGAAGTACGCGACGCGTCTGCTGCAATCCGAGCTGGGCGTGGACGTGAAAGTGTTCGACGACCAGCACGTGGACCAGCTGCTTCGCGCTCTCTGCGACAGCGTGCCCGCCCCGCTCTTCTGGCGGCAAATGCGCTCCTATTTACTCGCCGAAGAGGTGGAGGTGCGCGACGGCGGTCTGGCCGCAGCCGGGAGCCCGGTGGCGGATCTGAGCGTGCGTGGCTATCTGCACGGCGTGCCGTTGAGTCTGTACGACCGCATCCACATCACGGGCGAAGGCTCGCACACGATCCGGTGCATCCGGATCCTCCCCGATCCCTCGCCGCTGAAGCAGAGCCACGGCGAGGCGGCCGTGCCGCAGGAATGGGTCCCCGATCAGAACCGAATCCACCCCATCGAGGAGGAAAACCCGGTCGATCCGAACAGCGTGGAGGCGCCGCACTGGGCAATTCCGGATGTGGGGGAGAACGGCGCGGCGGCGACGGCGGACAACACGGAGGCGATCTGGCGCGAAGTGGTGGGCGACGAGCTGTACGAAGACGAGGAAGATCGGCACGCGCACGAAGCGCTGATGGCGCTGGACCAAGAAATGGCGCTGGACGACGAGATGAGCGAGCAGGAAGACTTCGAGGTGGAGGACTACGAGGACTTCAACCGGCAGAACAAGCAGCGGAACCGCGTGGTGATGACAGGTTTGCTAGAGGGCTGCGTTTCGCGTAGAGGAGGAGCGAAAGGAGGACGAGGAGGCCTACTGGGAATCGCCGGACGAGACGGAAGTGCCCTACGACCAGCCCGCGCGGTTCCGCTTCCTGAAGTACCGCGGCCTGCAGAGCTTCCGCAACTCCCCGTGGGACCCGAAGGAGAATCTGCCGGTGGAGTACGCGTCGCTGTACCAGTTCGAAGACTACGCGGCGCTGCTGCGGACGCTGAGCGAGGAGCAGGAGGAGCGGAAGGCGGCGGGGTGCGACTGGGAGCACGAGCTGGAGGACGGGACGCTGACGCACGACCCGATGATCGAGCCGGGGAGCTACGTGGAGATCGTGATCGCCGACGTCTCGCGCGCGTGGATGGAGAGGCGGCCGACCGGACTGCCGGTGGTGTGCAGCGCGCTGCTGCCGCACGAGGAGAAACTGACCGTGATGCACGGGTCGATCCAGCGGTCGTCGACGTGGTACCCGCAGACGGTGAAGTCGAGAGATCTGCTGGTGGCGCACATGGGGTTCCGGCACTTCCTGATCCACCCGCTCTTCGCGGACGTGGGGCTCAAGTGCGATAAGAGCAAGTACATCAAGTATCTGCCTCCGACAGGGTTCTTCAACTGCACGTTCTACGCGCCGATGAGCTATCGGCCGTGCCCGCTGCTGCTGTTCAAGCCGAGGCAGTCGATGGAGGAGGACCTCGCGCTGGTGGCCATCGGGCAGCTCACCAAGGCGGCAACGGACGACATCGTGCTGAAGAAGGTCGTGCTGACGGGCACGCCGTTCAAGGTGAAGAGAAAGCTGGCGACGGTGCGGCACATGTTCTTGGATCCCAAGGATATCTTTGTAAGGGAAGGGAGGGGCGGTGAGTTGTAGTGGTTCAAGCCGATCGAGCTGCACACGAAGCTGGGGCTGGTGGGACACATCCGCGAACCTCTGGGAACGCACGGGTACATGAAGTGCATTTTCAACGAGCAGCTGTCGATGCAGGACGAAGTTCGCCTGGCGCTGTATAAGCGAATCTATCCTCACAAGGCGAGCGAGGAGGAGAAACAAACGTTTGTTTAGAATTAGGATTTGTTTGTTTCTGTTTGTTGTTAATACATTTATGGATGGATAGGTGGGATGGATGGATAGCATCAATCGATGAAATGAATGGGATGGATAGCATCAATCGATAAGATCGATGGTGAGAAATGGGTCGTGTCGCTCGAATTCACATTGAAGAATTCGTGTTTCAGCATCATCGAAGCCTGCGTGATCATCAATCATCCACATACACAGCTGTGTCCAACAACAAACAAGCATAAAAATATATATAAAGACTACTTTCAAACTCTAGATAAACCATTCTTCTTCCATTACATCGTCGTATCAATTCGTCGCAACGCCGCAGGCTTCTGGGAGAAGGTGAGCGTGGTCACACTGGGCAACTCCCACTTGGAGGAATCAACACGCAGGAATCGCTCCCACACCGAAGACACGCTGTTCGACTCATCTCCGTTGAGGTCCAGGAAGATGGATCCAGGAATCGTGCGAATCAACTGCTGATATACCAAACATAACGCGCCAAGCAGAATCGAAATTCCAATCTCGCTCCAGGAAAGCGTGGTGGTGCTCATCACCTCACCTCCGATCTCCACAATGATCAACTGCACGATGATCGTTCCAATGATGATCACCCAGAACAGATAGTTGTCGAAGATGTGGCTGAAAACGTTGCACTCGTTGTTGATCTTGCGGGAATTGAACTCGTTGAACACCTGCATCATCACAAAAATGTTGAACACCAGCGTGTAGTGGACCGTCGGGCTCGCAGACTCTCCCAGATCCATTCCGTTGGGAATGTTGAAGTAGCGGAAGCCCTGGAACACCAGGAACATCAGCATGGTGAATTGGTAAAGCATCTGACCCAGAATGTTGCGCAGCATCACCGAGGAAATCAGGGACTCGTCGCGACGGCAAGGACCGCGCTCCAGAAGCTGCTCGGTAGGCAGCTCGGTGGCCAGAGCCAAGGCAGCGAACGTATCCATGATCAGATTCACCCAGAGCAGCTGCACGGCCTTCAGGGGAGATTCGTTGATGATACAGGCGGAGACGAAGGCCAACAGCAACGCACCCACGTTCACGGTCAGCTGGAACTGGATGAACTTGCGGATGGAGTCGTACACGTTCCGTCCCCACATCACGGCCTTCACGATGGAGGTGAAGTTATCATCCATCAGCACGATATCCGAAGCGTCCTTGGCCACGCTGGTACCCGTGATTCCCATAGCGAAACCCACGTTGGACTTGGAAAGAGCAGGACCATCGTTGGTTCCATCACCCGTCACGGCCACCACCTGCTGACGCTCCATCAGACCCGTTACCAGCAAGTGCTTATCGGTAGGAGCCGAACGCGCCATCACCTGCAGCGTGTCCACGAACTGATCGAACTGAGCCTGGTTCTTCACCACATAGAACTGCTGCAGCTGGCGCTCGTCCTTGGGGTTCTTCACCTGGTACATGCACCCACGCTGCTTGCACTCCTCGGTGCACTGGCTCTTGGGATCGCTGCCGCGCTTCTTCTTCGCCTCCTCGGTCCAATCGGCGCAGTGGTGATCCTTGTGACCCACAATCGAGGGATAACCGAAGTGCACGGGGTAATCGGGAGTCTTGTAGTCGGGAACGAAGTACTTGTCCTTCGAGCAGTCCTTGCAGTGGCACTCATGATAGAAGTGAGGCGGCAAAACCAGTCCTCCCACGATCTCTCGGAACTGCGAACCCAGAATCGCGCGGCCTGGAGGATAGCGCTTTCCCTGACCGTCGGTCCATTCCTTGTTCTGGTAGATGTGGCACTGACGAGCGATGGCCTTGGCGGTTTCCATGTTGTCTCCCGTCACCATGCGCACGAAGATACCGGCCTTCTGGCACTTCAAGACCGAGTCCGGGACTTCGCCTCGCACGGGATCCTGGACACCGAGCAGTCCGATCATCGTGAGATTGCTCTCCACCTTCGGGCAGTCACCCACACCCTTCTGTTCCTCCGTGGCGTACTGGACCATCTCATCCCAGTCCACAGGCTCATCGAAGTCGCGGTAGGCGAACGCCAGCACACGCAGCGCCTGCTTCGCCATCGGGTAGATGCAGTTCTCGACGATGTTCTTGCGCTTTCCCTCTCCCTCCACCTTTCCGTCGCTCTCCACGAACTTTCCGGTCATCGGGTTGGCCTTTCCCAGGTCGTAGGCGATGTAATCGCACAGACGGATCACCATCTCGGGCGCTCCCTTCACATACAAACGATACTTGCCGTTCGGGAGGCGCACCAGGCAGGAAGATCGCTTACGGTTCGAGTGGAAGGGGTACAGCTTGATCACGCCCGGCTTTCCGTCGTCCTCCTTCTTCTGGGGCAACTCCGTGCGCATCTTGACGTAGTCGATGCCCATGCGACGCGCCCATTTCAGCATGGCCACTTCGATCGCAGAGCCCACGCCCACTTCCTTTCCGTCGGTGTTCTGAGTCAGGAAGGCCTCGTTGTTCAGCAGCGCGTTCTGCAACAGCAGCTCGCGCAGACCTTCAGGCAGCTCCTTGCATTTCTTGAGGAAGTCTTCGTACTCAGCGTCGTCCGACTTCTTGTATTCGTTGAGCATCTTGGACTGGTCCTCAGCGTCCGGTTTGTAGACCCATCCCTGCATCACGGTCATCTGGTTCTGCGTCAGCGTTCCCGTCTTATCCGAGCAAATCGTGTTCGCTCCTCCCATGGTCTCGCAAGCGTTCAAGTGACGCACCAAGTTGTTATCCTTCATCATACGCTTCACCGAATAGGCGAGAGCGATCGTGACGGCCAAGGGCAGACCCTCGGGAATGGCGACGACCAGAATCGTCACTCCGATCACAAAGGCATCCACGATGAACATCCAGTCGGAGGCGTTCCAGCTCGCGTTACCATTTCCCATCGCGAAGTTGACGATGTGCTTGATGATCATGATGGCCACCGTTCCCACGCCCACCACCGCGCCCAGCACGGAGATCTGCGTGGACAGCTTGGACAGCTTGGCTTGCAGAGGCGTGATTCCCTCGTTGTCTCCCTCGATCATCGTCTTCATGCGTCCGAACACACTGTTCGGACCCACCGCAGTCACCAACATCAGACACGAACCGTCATGGCACTCCGAGGAGGACACAATGAACGGGTTTTTCGCGCCCTTGGCCACTTGGTCCGACTCTCCGGTCAGCTTGGACTCGTCCATCTTGAGATTGTTTCCTGAGATGTAGATACCATCCGCAGGAACGGTATCTCCAGCGCTGATCTGCACGATATCGCCCACCACAAGGTCGTCCGTCACGACGGTCACCATCTTTCCGTCACGGCGAACCTTGATGCTTCGACGATTGTTGATCGCGTTCAGCTGGCGGAACTGCTTGTCCTTCTGCAGATCGTTAATGGCCGTCACGTTCAGAACGATGACCACTGCAAACAAAATGGCGGCTCCATCCAGCCAACCCGACTGGATGCCTTCGCTGTAGATACCCAAAATTATAGAAACAATTGCAGCAATGATTAAAATAATCAGAGTCAAATCATGGAGACCATCCCAAATGATCTCCCAATACGAAATTCCTTTCTTTTCTTCCGGCTTATTATTGCCGTACTTCTCCAGACGCACCTCATCCCGCGCCTCTTCGGAGGATAAACCCTACCCATTACAGTGCAACTGAACACCAACCTTTTCAACATTCGATCCCAAGGAAGCCACTAATCCTTCCACTCCACCAAATCGCTCGAGTGCTTTAGGTCCCTCGTTCTCCAGTTGCCAATCAAATAAAGTATTCTTGTTCTCTGCCGTCGGAGCGCCCAGTTCGTTAGGGCCATAGCAGAACAATCCAGGGCTCTAAAGATCACACAGACATTCTGGCTATACAGAGGATTTTGGCTTTACAACAGAAATTTGTGTCAATTCAACTTCTGCTCCAGCAGGAAAGGTTGGGGCAGGCTGTTGCTTGGCATCCACACTAATGCCACCAGTGGTGGTGGAGGTAGATGTGGAAGCGTTTTCAGTCTTCGCTGGTTCAGCTACTGGCTGAGCAACAGGATTATCATTTCCTGAAACATTGGATTCAGTACCAGAATTCATATTCTTCAAAACAAAGAAAATATGATCAGCTGCCATTGATGTCGTATTCCGCGGTTATTTACATAATTCGGCAGGACTACTAGATTCGCTTTGGTAATCACGTTTTTTGAAACGCAGAAGATTCAAGTAAAGAACATACAAAATAAACTTCAGAATAACGGAAAAGCGAATTACACACTGGACACACAATTCTATTTCGTGTTTTGAAAACTGTGGAATAGGGTTTCTTTCACTACACATTGCTGTATACGCAAAACTGTGAATAATATAGAGTACTCAGTTCCGCTTATTTTTTTCCTGTACGAGAACTCGAAAAATGATGCTCATTTTGAAAACAATCTTTGATTAGAAAACAAACAGTTTAGTGAATCAACTATAAAAATAAAAAGCCAAGGATGCCTTAAACGCAAACTAAACAAAATTTTACAAAAGACTTCGAGTCGGATTTGTAAAATGACATACAATGGTGTATAAATGATAAGAAAATGATTGTAAAAGATTTAGAGACATCTAGTAATAATAATCTCCTTAGTCTGGAGATCACCTTATCTAACCTTCCAAACTTCCACCGTTAAACACCTTCCACCCCATTTCCGTCACTGGTCCACTCCAGAGACTCCTCCATTTCCATTTCAGCATTCATCTCTTCTCCTCCATCGTCGATATTCGGTTCCTTGTATCTCCTCATCGAATAGCGCAACGCCCGATCATTCAGGAAGAGACGCATGAAAAACGAGCTGAATGTGCGGATCTCCCCCTGGCTCTGCATCGAAGGCACCACCCATCGTCTCCACTGATAATAGCTGTGTTGTGAGCATTAAGGCAACAAGTACGCGGTATTCGAGATAAATCGCTCCACGATAAACAGCAGCGTCATGAACTGGCTCGGATTCATCGCTACGGACACTACAATTCCCACTCGAGCGCACATTCCTACCCTGCTTCAGCCACATGAGTCGACGCCTCGGAGTCCATTCTTCCTGACTCTTTTTCGACATGAAGGCAAACGTGATTCCCAGTTCAAATTGGATGAGGAGACATCGCGCCAACCGAACGATCTCCGGAGATTCGGCGCGGATGTGTCCATACGGACAGCGTGCCGTGGGAAGGAATACTGTTCCGCACTCCGGGCACTGCGACAGCCGTCCATCTGCGAAGTACTGGGGATACATCTGCTTGATGGAGAGGAACGCGCGGAGCCTGGGAATGCCGACGGAACACATGGAATCCACCATCGGCAGGGGCTCGCGGGGACCGCGGGGACCGTCGGAACTCTCCGGATCTCCCGCGGGGAAGGGATACTTGGTGAGATGTAGAGAGAGACTGGCCAAGTGGCTCCAGAGATCGGTGTCTTTCTTGGCCTGGCGCACTTGGGAGTGCAAAAAAGATTCGTCGTCGATGACGCTCCAAGATCCATCGCTCTCGTGAACAAAAATGTGATGCTCGTCGCCACGAAACACGAAGTATTCCGTACCCTTTTCTGTTTTTTCGATGCAGAAGGTGCGCATAGAGACGTTGCTGTGGATCGAGAAGCTGTATCGCTGAATGGACTCCTTAACGATTCTATGAATGACCGATTTCACTCTCACTCACGTCTCTAATCGCGTTTTTTCTGCGTTGATCTGGGTTTTGATGTTGCGTTGGTAGATTTTCAGACAGTTCTCGTGGAGCAGCAGCTCCTTGTAAACAATCAGCGACTTCGCATCGATATTTTCCTGGATCTGTTGAGTCTGGAGTGCGGCTTCGACGGTCTTTTTGAAATTGATTCGGGTGTCGTCCAGGACCGGAAGCGTATATTGCCGCAGCGGCTGATTGTAGCACTCCCACATCTTCGCTTGCGAGCAATACTCCTTCGACGACCAGAGCACCTTCGCTGCGTTGCTCTGCTGAATGTCCGCGTTATCGATCTCGATCATGCCCTTCTCCGCGTCTGTCGATAACAGGTTGCAGTCATAGCGGCCCGGCAAGTGGCACAAGCTGCAGTAAAAGCAGAAAATCCAGCGGCGACCCATAAACACCGGGGAAATCTCGCTCGGGTTTTCCAGGGAAGGGATGTAGTCGTAGATCGCGTAGCCGATACAGGAAGGATGCCAAGCGGACTGCAGTAAGGGCGCAGAGGTCGCGACCTTCTTTGTCGAGCTTCGGTAGCGTCGCTGCCTTACTGGCAGCTTTTCGATCGCAGAAGCGATGTAGGGTAAGGAATAGCCGAAGGCTGCAGCGCCATCGACAGAGCAAGGAGGCTCCTCGTTCTTCAGTTTTGCCATGCGTCGGAGAATGACCAGCCATGCGACATCACTGGACAGTTCCTCCAGACAGAAGCCCTCGGTGTTCCAAACCTTGAACACGGGACCCAGGTGCTTCCCTCCGTCCATGATCTCATTGTTGTACACGATGATTTTGGAGGGATCGCTGAGAGAGTAGAAGCGACGCTGCGAACGAAAGCCGATAGGGACCAGCTCGTTCTTGTTTGTCGGGTTGGCGATAGTGTATTTTCCAAGTACGGTAACTGTTACATATTCGGAAGTGTAGGGAAGATGAATCTTGAGATATCGCAGCAAATACATATTTCTCCATTTTCCTTGAATGGCTATTTTATCAAAATCGAACGGTTTGATCCTACCTGGAATGGAGCGATTCCCTAATCGGTCTCCATATTCCCTCGAAATGGCAGCCCATTTGCCGACTCCAAGTTTCGAAACCGCTTCCTCTAGCGATTGCAGCTGGCTGAACGACCAATAATTGGTTTTGGATTTATTATTCCGGTTTTGTTTGGTCCTATGTCTCTTGAAAGATGGTTTTGTTTTTGCTACTGAGCTTTTTGTTATCTGACGATCATCTGCAGAGGCAGCGTCTGAATCTGAATCAGCGTCAGGATTAGAAATGAAACTTGAACTTGAGTGAGACCGAGAACGAGACCGAGACCGAGAACGAGAACGAGAGTTGTATCTAGTTTTGGAGTTATTATTTTTAGAGTTGGACTCGAAGCTAGCGCTAAGTTTTAATTTCGATTTTGATAGTGATTTTGATGATGATGTACAGGTAGAAAGTGATTCTGATTTACAGCCAGATTCCAATTCACATTTTAATTCAGAATCAGATTCAGATTCAGATTCAGATTCAGATTCAGATTCAGATTCAGAACTATCACTAGAAGTCAATTTAATACGATAATCGGCAAATTGAATCATGATATTCGAAACAATTTGACTAGCTAAGATATAAAAATGGTTCTGCAAAGCATTCAATCGGCTTTTCATTGACACCACAGCCTTTTCAGAGTTTTGAGTTTCTTGGCGGACGAGCGGATAGTCTTGAGCAATGCAGGCAATCGTGGAAACCACGGCTAGGCGAGCTTCGACTGACAATTCGAAGAAATCGCATGAAGACAAGATGTGAGACAGCTTTTGCACACGAATAATGATTGGCTCATTAAAAATACCTTCCAAGGTATCTGAGGTCAACACAGAACAATCCCAGAAAAGAGGAGAATCCAAGCAGCGATCCGGTTGCGGCAGCGTAGAGGAACTCAAAAGTTTCCTACTGGCGGACGGAATGTGTCGGACATCGTCACTGTGTGTGGCCATGGGGCATGGCTGTGGCTCGGCTTTCGATGGAACTTTCCACTCCGTTTGTGTTTTCTTTCCACAGCAAAAACCGCACAACCATCCTTCTGTTTGGTTGTCCGTGAGAGGGGGCGTGAGGCACGAGCAATGGAAGGAGGCCAGGCATTGGCTGCATACCACGCAGGGCTCCGCGTGTTTCGCTGGAACCTCACGCTCCCAGCACGCTTTGCACGGCTGGCTCAGGCAGAAGACTTCGTCCCAAGGACCTCTCTGCCCCTCAACCGCCGATACGACCCACGATTGATAAAGCTCGTCCACCACCGTGCGGAAATACTTCACGACAAGATGGAGAGAGGTTGGAGCGTGTTCCCAGAGGTATTTGAGGCGATCGTAACAGATATTGTCGTAAAAGCGACTGCCATCACAAAACGCTCCGCTAACCAAATCCTTCGTAATAAAAAGAAGACCGATGTCCAAAAGGTTCCGAAGCTGCTGGAATGACTCGATGGAAAGAAGATAATGAAGAAGGGCACGGAACCGATTGTATTTGAGATGATCGATCGGTCCTAATTCATTCTCATCGAAATCCTTGTTTCTATGATAGAATAAGGACTCCAACGACTTTGCAGGTCCTTTGTCGATCGCTGTCTTGGATTCATGTCGATTCTCGATTTGGAAGTACTTCACAATCATGTTGATGTCGAATCCGAAAGAGAACAAAGAGTAACAAATGAATAATAGTCGCGCCAACTCTGGCCAAGCAAGACAATGGAAGGCGCCACCATAGAAGGGCTTCCATCCCACCACTGCGGATAGTTTGTCATGCTTCAAAAGAACGGCTTTCAGCTGAGTAAACAGCACCATCAGCACCACGGACATCATTCTTTCCAATACGCCCGCAGGAGTAGGATGACGCAACGAATACTCAAACGCCTCGTAGGAAATGCGAGGCAGCTGAAATTGGAGAGAGAAAGTAGAGAAAAAGTCCCATGCAGAGAGCGCGGTTTCCACTAGATTATCGGGTAAAAGCGAAAAGGAGTGCTGCTTGCTAGGCGTTGGATGATCGATAGAATCGATTAAAAACGAATTAGTGGAATGGACATCAGTTAGAGACGCTTTAAGTGCCTCTATGCAACTATGAATCGACGATACATCCTGGTAAAGGCAAACATTCGCTGAGCTTGATTGGAGAATGACTGGGATTCCTGCATAGGATGGCAAGCCGCGTGATTTCTCGGCAGCCAAAGCAGCTGCAACAGCAGCAGCAGCAGAAGAAGAAGAAGAAGAAGAAGAAGAAGACATTATTGGTTTGTGAGAAGACGAAGCGAGAACAGGAGAAACTGTATTGGACTTTGGAGGAACTTTAGCAGATTGCAGTGGTTCCTTTTCATTCAATCTTTGAAAGGCGGACTCCTCCTTCGAGCAACCGTCGATTTCCTTGCCATTCTTCGGCTCATTCTTTACAGAAGGCAGCTTCTCTTTTGGCAACTCGGCTCTCTCATTCTCCTTCGATTGCAATCTCTTGCTCTGATTCTCAACACTGGATGAAATCGACCGCTTCACTGATTGAGAAGACATCACTTTCACCAGCTGATTATTTCTCTCCTGCATTTCTTTCTCGCGCGCTTGCATGAGCCCTGCTCGCATTTGGAGTACTTCTTGACGCCCTTTCATATAGCTACAGTATTTCTGAGCCATCGATTCCAACAGGTGATAGGGAACAAAGGTAGAATCCTGATCTATGCACTCTTGAATTGTTGTTGAAACAGATTGTTCATAGTCCTGCTCGATTTGCCGCAGCATTTCCTCCTTTTGACAGATGGCCAGAGCATCTCCCAGAGCAGCTCGCTGGTAGTAAAACAAATAATGTTGACATTGCAAAGACGACTCTTGGGATTCCAATGACCATTGAGCAAACTCCGAAGTAAGGCCAAAAAAGGACTCACCAAGATAAAGATCATTATGCAAGGCAGCCATATCCTCCCCGTTCGGAATTTGCGCAATAATAGCTAACCAAACCTCGTTAATGCTGTTACCATAGCTAATCGTTTCATTTTCCAGTGAAACGATAAAAAGCGGGAGACCATCCTTTTCTTCGATCCAATTGTCATACCAAACGATTTTACACGGATCATAAACAGATGCATACAATTTTCGAGAATGATATCCACAAGGATACAGACAATGATCATTATGAAAGAAAAGATTTCCGATCACTGTACCAAAAGTTACATAATATACAGATCCTATAGTAACAGGCATTTTCCATGAATGAATTCGCAATTGTTCACAAGCTGAAGTTCTTGCTGAAACTCTATCCATAATTCCTGGAGCTCCATCAAAGAGAAGCAATTGCTCACGATACCGATCAACTAAACTGGAGTCAGTTAACACTGGTAGTAAAATGTCTTCAAAGAGGTGAAGATTTTCATCGATACATTTTATACGCGATACGTAGTGATACTTGATCTTGCAATCGTCCGTCTTTACATTTTTCTTTTCACAGAGAGCTTTCAGCTGTTCAATGGAAAAAAGAAATAGGCCATCGTACTTTGTAATTTCGTAAGGTGTCGGAACCGGAATTGGAGCAAGATCACGATTACTCAAGTATTGCTCAATCACACTCTTCAGTTGATCATTAACAGAAGTTATGATTGGCTGTGAGTCAATTTCCCTCTCCTCGGGTGGTTCAGATACCATTATTATTATTACACGAGTGTATTGGGACAAACAGAACATATGTTACAATCCCTGAACTAACTTTTGGAGCTCTCCAGTACGGTAGAGGTATTCCGTATCATCACCTCCTCCAATGCTTTGTTGGTTAATAAACACATTGGGAACTGTTCTTCGCCCAGTGAGTGAAGCAAGAGCACTTTGGATTTCAGCTCCATCAGGACGTCTAACTGTTGAAGGAAAATAATGACCCTACTCATCTAAATTGATGTTCAGATAGTGACATCCCGTCTGTGACAAATAGCGAAGAGCCTTGTGGCAATAGGGACAATACGATTTCCCGAAAACGACCACAGGATGAGCAGCAATTGTAGACTTTACAAAATCCATCTGATTCCAATAAAAATAATTTTGGAATCCGCTAGCAAAGTGAAATAATCCCTCTTTGAAACCAACTGCGTTCCCCTTCCGCGGTTAATACAAAAAACATCAAAAGGATGGACAATTCCATAATACATGTCGAGAACCTGCTTTGTTGCCTTCACATCATGAACACGCACCATTTGAGCTCCATGCTCTGCACTGTACATGCTGATAGCCGCGGTTCCCATAACACGATCTTCCGCCTTCGTCACCTTCGTGATTTCTCCGACAAATCGCTTTCTAGACGCAGCTATCTACACACTAAGGTCGAGACCGCGCGCCCTACGAGGAGCGGCATGTTTCCAGTGACTTGATTGAATCGCGGAATTTCCTTCACCAGCTGGCAGTTCTGCTCCGTATTCTTGGCAAAACCCAGTCCAGGATCCACGATAATGTTCCATCGCGGCGCGCCCATCTGCATCAGGACATCGGCTCTCTGTCTGCAGTAGTCTGCGACTTCGTGGACCACATCGTCGTACCGCGTCATCTTGTCCATCGTAACCGCGTTTCCCCGCTTATGCATGAGCACCACGGGCACGGCGGCCTCGGCGAGGAAGGGCAGCATCGCCGGATCGTTCTCTCCCGCGGAGATGTCGTTGACCAGATCGGCGCCCGCCTCCACGGCTCTGCGCGCCACCTCGCTGTGGTACGTGTCCACCGAGATGGGCACGCGCACGCCCGCCTCTCTACTGGAAACGCGGGGAAGGAGGCCTACCGAAGCGCTCGGATCACCGGAATCACGCGCCGGATCTCTTCGTCCACCGAGATCGCCGCCGCGCCGGGACGCGTGCTCTCGCCGCCGATGTCGAGGAGATCGGCGCCCTCGTCGATGAGCTGCAGCGCGTGCGACACCGCGGAGTCGAGGGAGTTCCACTTCCCACCGTCGCTGAAGCTGTCGGGAGTGACGTTGAGAATGCCCATGATTAAAAGACGGTCTTGGAGATTCAGCACTTCTCCGTTTGGCAAGGGAAGCACACGGATGCAATCCTTGGCATCCACGGCTGAGAGCATCTCGCGCACGGTTTTCTTGGTTACGGGATGGACGTAATCTATCCGCGTTTATTACGCTGAGAACGGCTAACCTGGAGCAATATCACACATCGGCTTCAGAACAAATCCACGCTCGGCTATTCGCTGATGGGGAATCGTAAGATCGTCAAATCCCTCCACTTTGTTGATCTTTACCACATCATTTCCGTAGAAAAGAATATCCACATCAATGACGCGCGGCCCCATTCTAGAGATGGACTAGAATCATTTCGACTCACCTATACGTCTTTTCTCTACCCATTTCCTTTTCAATCCGCTTGCAGGCATACAATAGATCAGACGGAGACATGTCTGTTTCCACCTTACACACTGCATTTAGGAAACGGCTCTGATTTTCTTCATACATTGCTTTGGTATCGTAAAGGAATGAAGTATCCTTTAGCGATGCAATTCTACGCAATTTCGAAAGGGCAGTATACAAGTGTTTCTGCCGATTCCCTAATCATAACTTCATTACGTGGAAACTTACCAATATTACTTCCTAACGCTAAAAAGACTTGCATTTGATATGACAATCAAAATTCCTAAAGAACTCTTTCAAAAAAACGATGAGTTTATTTATATATTAATAAATATACATACATATACTGCGAGGAAATCATCGAATTGGGGAATTCGGTGGAATTGGTGGAATTCCACTTATTCCCTGATCATTGTTTGGAACCATTTCTGCAGTTTTTTTTCAAAAAATCATCTCTTCTGTTCCAATGACATGGATTGAGTGGTTTTGTTCCCTCCAAGGAAATGAAGGGATTTGTATTATTCCGCAGAGTTTCTTGAGTATTGCGTATTTATTTTCTCTTAATTGGGTAGCTGACAGTGTGAACGTCTATGGGTTGAAGTACACTATTGATAACTACAGCGACTCGATGCGTGTGTTGACTGGTGAAATTCTTGGTTTACGCGTTGGAAATGAATGACTGATAGAAACAAAAAAGATTGATCAAATCCAATCTTCAGTTATCGAGCTTTATTCTCTTATTCACCAACGATATGTTCTTTCTGAAGATGGGTTAGAGACAATGGTACCTGGTATCCTTATTTTGCATTCTCTAGAAACGCAAGATCGATCGCCATGTGTTTGGTTTCTGTCCTCGCTACTTGTGTGAAAACTGTCCTCTTCTTCCAGTATAATTTACGGAGCAGAATGATAATTAGATTGGGCTTTCTTCAGAGTCAAGGCAGTGGAATGCAGTTGCACTTATTTGTAGAAAGCATAGTATAAAGTTTTACTGTCCTTGCTGCAATGATATCTACGTTTCATCCGATCAAACAACGCAATGTCGCCCCTTTTTCTGTGTTGCATGTGTAGCCATCGACGGTTGCTTCTTCGGACCGAACTTTCCGATGGAATTTTTGATTCATTACCCTGAATTTGTTCACCACGAACCGATTATGACGTATAAACCAACACTTTATGGGTTTTCGATTAATCCCGAGAGTCCAGCCTATCGATGCAATCGCTTTGGAGAAAGGGTACATTTTGACATGGGTTCACGATTAAAGACGATCGAGAGTATGGCAGATGACGAAGATGAAGAAGAAACAGGGCAAGGCGATGCATGATGGGAGGATGGTGTATAATTTGGTATCTCAAGATTGAATGCTTCTATGTATTTGTTTTTCTTTGCTATTCTTATTGGTACGTTGTTGTGAATGTGTAATACTTTATAGATCCTAGTTTACATTGGGTATGGGGTGCTTGACATTTGGGGGATGAACTATTGGATATATGGATTGTTTGTTTTAGTAATTTAGTCTAGTCTGGGATATTTTGTGGGATGGTTAAAAAAGTGAGCGAGTGTGTAACAAGAAACCGTTTTACCTCTAGAAGGAAACATGAAGACGACTCAGCACAAATCCCATTTGAAGAGGCCTATGACTGGGAAACAGCAGCAGTAATGATCCATTCTATGATGGAGAGTGGAGAATCAGGGTTAGCTTCCTTCCCAAATGAAATTCAGACTCAGTCCTTGTTGAATCTATGTAACAATACACTCCAGCTCTGATCCTAGACAATTCAGAATTAAAGAACAGCTGGATCGCGCAAACGGATCATTTTGTTGATGCTCTGTTAAACATATCTTTTCTATATTGCAAATGGATGTACTTCTTAATTCCACTCGGTGAGCTATCTCTATGAAGAGTTCTGCTTTTGCTGTATCGAGTCCATTGCTTCGGGCGTCTTGGAAAACTCCATTCTTTTAACGAACATGGAATTTGAGAATTCCTGGTTTCAAGACTTGTCGAAGTCTAATAAAGAAACCATCAAGGCCCTTTCTAGGGAGGTCGTGGGTGTTCTGTGTTCAACCTGACGCATAGAAAAAGCAGAATCAAAACTCCATCAGTGACTATTTGAAGTTCAGCTCCATTTGGTGCGATGGCTCCACCCTGTACCTTATGAGCAACTCGATCGTATCCCCGTGCACTTCTCGCTTTGACTTCCAGAACATTCCCCGTTTCCGCTGTTCCCATTTGCCCCAGCTCTTTTCCGCGGTCGCCGCCGCCTCTCCCAGCCACAAAGCGGTCTTCGTGATCAACCCCATCAACCACCCCGTTCTTCCGAGTTCCGAATCGCGCGCAGTCGCTTCTCCGCCCCCCTCCTCCAACCCCTACCATCGCCTCGAAGCCGCGTCTGTGCCGCAGCCCAGCGTGCTGACGACGCCTCTCTTCTCGATTCTTCTCCCCGACCGCTCCTGCTTCCTCCCGGTGCTGAGCTTCGTGTCCAAGAAGGGCTTCCTCGACGTCCCCATCCCCACGCTCCCCGACTTCGTCGTCGCCTTCCGCGCCGTTTTGCCCGAGCGCGAAGAGTATTGCCGCAGCCTCCTCGCTCCGCTGCAGGAGCTGCGCGCCGCGCCGCATCGCGCGGACTGGGCGCAGCGCCAGAACTGCCTGTTCTTCCGGGGCAACCCCAGCCACTTCGCGCTGCACGCGCTGGCCTTCCCGGGCACGGAGCGCAGCGTCCTGGTGGCGCCGCGGCACGGCGTGGCGGAGTTCGCCGATGCGCAGCTGCGCGCAGCGCCGAGCGACCGATTCGCGCGCTCGCTGCTCGACGAAAAGGGAGAGTTCGCGTTCGGCGCGATGTTCGCGTCGCTGCTGCGCTGCCGCTTCGCGCTGTGGAAATGGAGGTCGCTTTGGACGTAGAGTCGCGCCCGACACGCCCGAAATGGGGTTCATCGGACTGTATCTGCTGACGGGGACGCTGGTGTTCGTGGTGGAGTCGGAGTGCTCGTTCTGGTGGAGCAGTTGGCTGAAGCCGAACGAGCATTACATTCCGATTCGGGCGGACATGTCGGATTTGCGGAGTCGGTTTGAGGAATGCTGCAGAAATGGGGAGGCGAGCGAGAAGATCGCGTTGGAAGGGAGGAAAATGTAGCCATGGGGGATAGCGTGCGAAGTAGGGGCGAAATGCTGTTTTCGCGGGATTTTATGATTCAGTACATGAAAGACGTGGATTCGATGCTAAACAAGCTCCCTCTGTATTCAAAGCTTAATTCCCTCTATGCTGGTGGAGATCATCAGAGCTATAGTTCGCCCGGAATCGATTATTACAGGCTGCAGCATACGCGCCGGTATCGATTCAAGAGGCTGAATTCGGATAAGGGATGTGATTGTCCTTCGTGCCAGGTAGGTCTTGATATGGCAACTGCATGTGTAGCAGTTGAGAGACCTGAAGAAGAGAAATCAGAAGCAATAGAGAATTGTGCTTTCCAAAAAAAGAAATAACAGGATTTTTGCATTGTATTTTTTGGTATTTGTTTTGAATCAAATTACGAGGAGAGGGAGGAAGTATGTTATCTCCACTTACAACAACGATAATATCCTTTATAATTGTCATTGTAAGTGGTTTTGAGGGGAATTGAGATCCAGATAATAACCTACATTGAATATGAGATATCTTCATATTATGCGCGAAAAGGAAATAGATATATTCTAGTTTTGGTCAATTCTACCTTTTCGTTTGCTGTTTGCCTTTCGATTCTTACCGTGTATGTGAATGATATCTACGCGTTTTTGCTTGTTAAATCTTTGAAAATAGGCTTGTTTACCAGGGTGATCTAGGTGTAATACGGATAATGATGTCTGTTATGATGCTACTCTATTGTCTGCATACGGTGGTTATTGTTCCGCTATTAGCCGTAAGATATCTCAATTTGCTTTGTTGCTTTAGTTGTTGGTGTATGACAAGAATGCCGAGGTATTTTTTCCGAATGTATGCGTGTTGGCGTTTGGTTGGTGAGAGCATAGTTTAAGAATCGCTATATTTTGTTCATGATTATTGAACTCATCGTTGCTGTGATAGTGTATTGCGGATATTTTTCTGGAGTATTGAATTATCGAATCGAGTGACCGCTAGCAACACATCCAAAATGCAACAAACGACATATTTAAAACCTTGTCTATGAGCGAAGTGTATGACTATTGTTATCTTATCTACGTCCTTGTGTTGATTTATTTGCTGGGCATTATGCCGTCCCTCTTTTACTTGTCCATCGGACTTATTGCATCTCCTCTTTCTCAGATCGTTCGACGCCACGAGAAGAGTGAAATGAACGATTTGTTTCTCACCACGGTGCCCATCGTGCAGTACATTGAGGTTTTATTTGTTCGACCCGATCTTATTTTGCTAGACAGAGAAAGTGGGAAACGCAGACGAGGAATCGTATATTACAGACGATCAGTAGAATCCGCTTGCTGTGACCTGAGCGAGTAGAGCGGCCAGCATTGCGGGCGGAAGCATTCAAAGTATCACGGCGTCGTTTTCCGCCCCGGAGAATGTTCACCAACAAAGCGTCGTGATCAAGAGCGACTACAACAAGGGATGGATTACAGCTGTAAGAGTGATCGATTGGCCTGATTGCCAGCTGTTGGACTCGCATCCGCGCGTCCAAAAAATCACAGGATTCATCACTCTGTTTATGTCTGTTTTTGTTTTGGTGTTGATCGGGTCCGGTGTGATTTCGCGTGTATTTCTTCGGCGAAGACTTTCGAAACGTAGATCCGAGAGGGCAAGTTGTCGTACGGCTTTCTTCTCACCCAATCGGCTCCGGACGATACGTTGCTCGATTTCGTAAGGTCATGGCTCTGCGTTTCAACAGCAGATTCTCTTCAGCCTTCATGAAAAACACCTCGATGTTCCATTCTTTGGAATGGTGGTTTTGTTCCTGGCGTATTGCGTGATGCAGGGACAGATTTTAGCTGGAGTGCGCTTCTACAACTCCTCGCCAAAGCGGTTAATGTACATGAACACGTCCGCCGCCACGATGTTGGTTTTTATGTATAACAATGCAACAGCGATCGCTTTTATTCTTTCCCTGATTTACATCATGGCGCCTCATGTGGGAGGTGGGGAGTGACTTTCTTTGTAGTATACGATGTTTGGGACGCAGCAAGTGCAGTTGGAAGGAACGTCGACGGTGGCTGCTTGTAATATTCTTTTGGCCGCGCAGTATCCTGTGAATTGTGAGCTCACATCGGTCTCTTCTTTCTTTGTTGCTGCAGAGGCCGAGACCATAGTGTTTGGTATCATCGAAATTGTGTGTTGTATATTGTGGTTTCTGTTCATCCTGTTCATAATGCTTTGGCCTCTTCTGTCGAACTTTTTAGAAAACCAACTCCCTTATTCAATAATCACCTTGATGAATTCAATCAATTGGTTAACGCTACGCGATCATGTTGAAGAGTATCGCCTCAATAATTCAATGTCGAGTGTTTGTTAACACAAAGATGGAATTCATAATACAAGATGGACTTTGAATACGATAGGCGAATTGGGAATGACCAAAAGAGAAGATGACAAACTGAGGACATGTTTTTGTTTTGTTATGCACATAATTCAACAATCACGCAAGGTATAGAAGAAACCACAATGCCGCATTTAAATATGACGTTGATTACAGCCATCACAAACTACCTTGGTGTGGTCATTAATTATCCCGCATATTACACAGGTCCATCCACTGGGGCTTCGTTGCGTTTTCCGAATCTCTCCTCTCACTTCTTCGCAACTATTTCCGGTTAGCGACTTTGAAGAAGGTGATCGAATGCCCGTCCCACTCGTTGCAACTGCTGATGCTGCTATTTTAGAAACATTCGTAAAAGAATTCGAGGTTGAGGAGATGGATTGGGCTACAGAGGGGATCGAAGGATTCGATACAGAGGGAATGGACATCGATGACGCAGGAATGGAGGGATTCGATACAGAAGAAATAGAGGGATTCGACACGGAAGGAATGGAGGGATTCGACACGGAAGGAATGGAGGGATTTGATGCATGCGATGAAAGAGACGAGGCAGCCAAGATGGGTGTAGTCGAAGGATTCGTAGATTGGAGTCGAAGAGACAGATTCCGTTCACGAAACGAAACAAAATCCGTAAAGACCGAATTTAGATTCTTCCACAGAGAGTTATACTCCTGCGACCAAGTGCTCGTATAGTCTGTACAAGAATTATACAACCTATCGAGTGTCGAAATGGACCCAGATCCAGACTTGGTTCCCCTTAATGACTCGCTCGAGGAACACTCCGATACTTTGGATTCCCACTCCTGTAACACGCCTGTAAGAGTATTCACATCGGCTGACAGACTTTCAAGATCGGCTTTGGTTTTCTGCACTCGATTGATTCCCTTCCGAACCAACTCCCGGTTTGATTGCAATACCATGCTCATGCTCCTGTCCGACAATGTGTTTATAATTTGATTGCCATTCTCCATCTTCGCTATCCGCTGGCGGATCCGTTCACTCACAAACTGGATTTGATTCTTCATTTCCCAAACACGCTTCAGTGTGGCCTCCTCGAAAGCTTCTCCTCGCGATAAAGAGGACGTTACAGAAGAAGCAGAGGAAGAGGACGCTAAGAGAGATTTCTTGTCGATACTTTCGAAAGCAAAAATCTTTTGGAGCTGATCGAGTTGGGAATAGCACATCAGCATTGATTCATTTTGCGAATTGACCACGTTGAGAACCGTTTGAATCCATGATTCCAACTGCTCGAAGTACTGACTATAAACGATGCCCGATGCATTTCTAAAAATAAATAAATCTAAAAAAGAAAGAATGCCAACTTCGATGCAAAATCGTGCTCTTCTTGCTTTTCGATCCGAATCATTTCCATCACACATTTTATCATGTCTAGACACTGCGTACGGAGTGTCTGGAGTTTATTCAGAGAATTCGATAAAGAGAAAATCTGGTCCATCGATAGCAAGTGGTCCATTTTGCCCGTTTCCGACGACACTCCGTTCCTCCCCTCAAGTAATCGATCTAAGTCCAGACGGGCATAAACCGCCAAGGTATTCTGAAATTCCTCTTTCAGCTTGACGAAATTAGGACGATAAAAGCAATGCATAACAAAATGCAGGCGACGAATGATATCGTCTTTACGACAGGGGAAAATAGCATCAAAAATCGAAAAGCTGAACACCGGAGGCTCGAATGGATCCACCGCCCAGTCCATCGGCGAGACGACCGTTTCAATCGCAACACTCGGAGTAGGTTGAAATCCCAAGGCGCTGCTGACTTGGTGTAATGTGGAGATCTGTGCTATCAAGTCATCAATTCTGCCATTCCAGTTGCTGTCTAATAACTTACTCCATTCCCTTAGTTTCGATGAAGAATCCTAAACGCTATCAGTCCAAAAAAAACGGTACGGAAAGCGAATCTAAAAGGCTTCCCAGAACATTTTGTTCCTCGGGAGACATGTTTTCTTGTTGAATCAGCGATTCTGCAATCGTTGTGTAGTTGTAAAACAGATAATAGTCATGTAAAAACTACAATATCATTTTGGTACCCAATCAGGTAAATACATTACACATAAGCGCTATCTTCTTTACATCGCTTGGAGCTTTTTCTAACAGCGTGGCACACTGTGCATAGAGTTCGGCCTCCTTCAACACATAACTGATTGCGGATAGAGGCTCCATCTGAAAGAGCTGCTGATGCGCAATGTAGGAAAGTAGCCTAGCATACATATAGCATTCAATCTACAATATATTCAAAAGAAATAGCAAACAGCATAAAAACCATCTTGTGATAGGTCCCAGGGAAGCGAAGTAGGATTCAGAAAAGGCAACAGAACTAGCCGAATATAGCGCATTATAGAGACACACTGCTTTCCATGAGCAATAACAGAAGAAAAATCGGCTTTTTTCTATAGCATAGAAGTAAAATCTATTGAAATTACAGAAAATAACAATTCCGCCTTCTTATAATAAAGAACTGCCAAGTTAAAGAAAACACACGTTCTTTCATAGTTTATATCGCTTGAATGATAAATTACAAGCCCCGTAACATCACTCCAACCGAAGCTAACTCCAAACTATCACTGATTATCAAAAACGTCTAATACTGAATAATCAACCGGAGTGATAAAATACAACTGCTCAAGAAAAGAGGAGTACTGAAGAAACTGATTTACAACCTTTTCAGTAAGCGCAGTTGTATTAGCCACTTCATTTCGGAGATTAGTTGCTTCTTGAGCTTGAGAATCTAAATTAACTGCTTCAGACTAGATATGAAAGAAATGTCGATGGTATTCCTTTAGCAGAAATCTGATTAAATTAACAATATTCGGGACTAAATTAATTTCATCTGTCAGTTTGGGACTAATATCCATGATCTGACAACACATAGAATAAGTAAAGTGGTAATAATGGCTTTTATAACAATTCTAGCAAGTTTGAGAGTAATCGTTTTTTATTATGATACACAGATACATTAGGAATTGATAGTTTAGAAGAGAAGAGTCAAGAAATGCGCTAATAATCAAGAGCAGAGTTGAATTGTAGTTGTTAAGGGAGATGAAAAAGGAGTAGTGGTAATAGTTGTAGTAGAGATTGTAATAATGATAGAAGGAGTAGAAGACCATTCAAATAACTCTTTCCCCGCTTTTCCTATTGGCTTGATGTTTATCTGATATGATGGATGTTGCATGGTAGATTGTAAATAATAGTATCAGGTCAATTCTTATGCGATGTGATTCTTAGGAGGGAATTACGCTCTATAGCGATAATACTGTCTGTGTATGTGATTTTATCACAGTCCACCACTAAAAATGCATATCAAATAACAGGTTACAAGTGCTCCATGCGATTTGGGTAAAATGCACAAATAGGAGGAAAGTAAGTGGAAACTACGATACTGTAGAACACATTAACTACCTAATAGGCATCAATGGAATCTGCACAGCAAATTCTTTGCTTTTTTATTCATCCATTACAATTGTAAACTATATATATTTATATATTAGTTCAATACTTTTCAGAAATCTTATGGTCATTACGTACACTCTTGGAAGGATAACGAGATAAAAAAAATAATATGTGATTATGGAAATATCTTTCGAGTACATTAAAAAAACACCTAAGAATCTCGATCACTCTCATATCACCAGGTTCTCACCTTTGTTTTTATTAAGATAGTGTGCTTGTTTGCGTTGAATACAACCAGAAATTGCTATTTTTACCCTAAATGAAATGTTGACTGATTGGTAATTGAAGAGAATAGTTCAAATACCTCGAATAAGATACAATACAATGTAAAAAGCTCATTCAAATCCACATTGCATCACATACCCTTTCGTTATAGTAATGGCGTGATGGAGTTACCCAAAAGCATGTATCTCCTCATTTTCGGAATCTTAATCCGTACGATACTAATATCCAAGAATGTTTCGAATAGAAAAAGCAACTGCGTCCTTATGATTGAATTCTAAATTGAAATGTCCCAGTAGATTGTGAAAAGCCTATATTATTATGGGGCATGTATATTTGACAGACTATCTAATATTTTTTTTATTCAATCAATTATATCTACTTTGAAGGAATGAGTGAAATCAAGAAGTATGATGCTGTCGTTGTTGGAGGAGGTTCTGGTACAATTGTTAGGTTTCTGTGATCGTAGGTGGTCTGGCATTTGCTAAACGTGCTGCTGGTTATGGAAAGAAAGTGGCCGTTATCGAAAAGAGCCGCATTGGCGGAACTTGTGTAAACGTTGGCTGTATGCCCAAGAAGGTAATGTTTAATGCAAGTTCGTTGCGAGAGATGATTAAATTGGCAAATAGCTACGGTTTTACGACCACCGAAACCTTTGATTGGAGCATTTTGAAGAAGAAGCGAGATGAGTAGAACCCTATTTAGTTAGCATTGATTGTTAGGATGGTGACTCGACTGAATGGAAAGCATCATGCTGCTTTGGATAAGTTTAAGGTCGATTTCTATACAGGCTTTGGCCACTTTGTTGGTCCTCATCAGGTTCAGATTGACGACGGAATTGTTCTTGAGTCAGAAATGATCCTGATTGCTACTGGAGGTAAACCTATGATTCCAGATTTCCCTGGAAAAGAATATTGCGGTACAAGTGACACTTTCTGGGATTTAGAGAAGGCTCCGACTCGTTCTCTTGTAGTCGGTGGAGGATACATTGCCGTTGAAATGGCTGGCATTCTCGAAACCCTTGGCTCCGAGACTTACTTGGCTTGCCGCTATGATACCCCCCTTCGAACCTATGATCCCTTCATTATCGACATTTTAATGGAGGAGATGCGCAAACGAGGTGTTACCATTTGCGATCACAGCGTTGTTGACCATGTTACCAAGAAGGAGAATGGTAAACTGGATTGCTACTTCAAGAATGGAAACTGCGTGAATGATATTGATTTTCTTTTGATGGCCGCAGGCCGCGTGCCCCTGATCGACGGCCTGGGTCTCGATATTTGCGGAGTGGAAGTCAAAAACGGAATCATTGTGGTGGATGAGCGCGAGCAGACTTCCGCTCCTGGTATTTACTGCCTTGGTGACGACATCGGCAAAGTCGATCTCACCCCTGTGGCCATTCAGGCTGGCCGTCGCTTAGCGGACCGTTTGTTTGGAGGCTGCCCGGATTCGTTGATGGACTACCAGAATGTCCCGTCGGTCGTTTTCTCGCATCCTGCGATCGGCACTGTGGGACTTACGGAGCCGAAGGCCAGAGAAATTTATGGAGAGGACGTGAAGACCTATCAGACGACGTTCGTAAACTCGCTCTACGCCTTAAGTGACGAGAAGCACAAGACTGGTATGAAAATCGTGTGCCAGAAATCGACTTTGAAGGTGCTGGGAGTTCATCTGATTGGAGATAACGTGGATGAGATGCTGCAAGGATTTGCCGTAGCAGTTAAGATGGGAGCCACTAAAAAGGATCTGGATGCTTGTGTTGCTATTCATCCCACTGCCGCAGAAGAAGTGGTTACATTTGCTCCTTGGGGACAGTATAATTAAGTAGAAGTACATGAATAACTTGCTGGGGTGTTTGTTCAGTAAGCAATGAATGGGGTTTTTGTTCAGTAAGCAATGAATGGGGGTTTTGTTCAGTAAGCAATGAATGGATGTTTGTTCAACAACCAATTACAGAATTGTTTACACATACCTTTTTAATTCAAAATGGGATCGGATCTGGGGCATGATGAGGATACTACACTCTTATCCTTCGGAGGATCCCAGTGGTCTAAGAATGAAAAGGAGCTTATCCGTCTATTTTTAAGTAATCGAGTCGGATCACTCCTTATGTGTATCCTAATAGAAGGAATGATTTGGAACTACACTGTATATTTTAAATATTTACTTCTAAGTCTCGTAGAACCTGATCTATTTGCTGCTTAAGGAGCCAGAGAATTTAGTATTGCAAGCGTATCATGCTACAAAAGGTACAATCTTTTTTCTGTCAGGAGGATACTTGTAATGCGTTTGGGAAGAATAACATAACAGAGTGGGTTCTTCCTATATAAAATCAAGAAAGAAACGGATATTTGTATTTGTTTTATTCTTTACCTTGCTAATTACGTGGGCAGTGTATGCATTCGTCGGTGGTGGAATCTATGTAGTTATGGTAACTTTAATGTTGTCTTTGCTTTTCGAAATTGCCTCTATCTTTTTGTATGGTTTGTTTTCCAAGAAGATGCCTGTAATGAAGCTTGTATTATTTTTTTGGATGTATATTTTAGATTACATTTATCAGCTACACTCTCTTGTGCATTCTATTCACGATCATGTCAAACAGGCACGGATATGTTTTCTTTTTGAGGTTAGCATCTATCATTTGTAGAACACCTGCAATAGGATCCTTGCCACCACAAACCATTCCCATTATTCATATGGATGCTCGGAATACACTACCTTTTCGTTTCAAGCCGATTTTTTTCCGCCCCTGCTCTATCCTTCCTTTTGGTTTTCAACACATCTCAAGGAATCTGCTGGAATCTCTGTCACCTTGGAGGATGAATCCCTAACTCAATTTTCTTGTCCCAGTACTAAAGCATCCTTCCGATGGTTAGTATAATAGATGCACTCCAGCAGGCAAAGCTGGTCTCCGTGCTGGACCAACGCGAAATTATCGAGAGAGAGATTCAGAGTACTTCCTGGAAAGGAGAAATCACTGATGTGCTACGACACTACCAAAAAAGACAACAAGAGCAGCACTATGTACCAAGAAAATATCAACCAGTACTATTGCTCTAGTGAACGCAGTGATGATGTAGATTCCACTTCGCAAAGGTTTGCAAAAGGATATTTACCTCTATGATTGCAAAGGCAATATCCAGACTGTTGTCGTCCCCCTGATAAAGAACTCCACAAAGGGGTTAAATATCGTCATCGTGCTCTTCGATGAACTCTCTCATTCCACATTTACGTATTTGAATCTGAGGGTACTGAGCAAAAGAAACGAAATGAAAGAGACTTTTGGGATTTTACAAAAGCTGAAGCGATTCGATTATTCCATTTTTCAGTTTACAGACTATTATTCACCGGCGAATGCAACTCTTCATTCCCTTATGGAGTCGAATAATCAGCACCTAATTCGTGTGGCAAAGAGAGCATCACACATTGTGAGTGTTGCAAGTAATGAATGCAGCAACATATGGGAGGAGAGTCATTACAATGGCGAACTCCCTATCGATAATGATGGCGTGTTGTTTACTTGTTTGCAGTCTCTATTTCGGTATTCATAACAAATGCTTTTGTTTTAGGGAGAAAGAGAGTTTTGAGAGTGTAGTCGATTTCACTTTACAAATGGATAAGTCAGCAGCACGTCACAAGACAGCATCTACGTCCTTTGTATATTTAAGAGCTGGTCTCCCTCTGCGTTCTCTAGACAAGCAGATTGCCAGGCTTCTTCAGCAAGAAACTTCCGATAATAAGCCGGTGGTGATATTCGCTGGTATTCGTGGAAACCCAGGCCGCATTATCGATATAATACCTACGCAATCTAAGGAAACTACAAATCCGGTACTTGTGATGGTTGATGTTCTCTCTTGTTTTCATTCTAGACAATTCCAAAGTATTTTTTGGGAATCTATCCGGAAGTGGAGCTCTATTTGAAAGAGAATATTAATATGAGAATGAATCAGACAGTGTTATTCAACACGATAGTAGATCTCTTCTTTTATCCGGTTTCTTATGTTGTTGTTATGGAATTATGCTTTAGAATGTTTTTACCAAATTCTCTCTACTTCGTCGAAATACTTAAGAGTGATGGTTGTAAATATAACTATATGTTTATTGTTATTTCTATATTGCCTGTTTTGTTATTACTCATAATGCTACAATAATGTATTATGTAAATGAATTTGTATTTCAATTCTAGTCGTAAATACTTCTGGATTATAATTCGAATACCATACAGAGAATGAATTATTCTAGAATACTTAGTTTGTGAATAGGGATTAATCGATAAGAGGGATTGTTAGGTTGTTGCACATTTCCAGTTGGTATAAATGTCTATTTGAAATGAATGTATATTCATATCAACAAGTGAAATCATTCTTATGCGAACATAATTAAAAGATGAATGCTATCCTCGGATGAATTAATGGATATACTTTAAGATTATATATATCTCTAGGCTATGCTATGAAGTATTACTCATCGAGAAGATTTCAAAGCTTTGATATTACCAGGAATTAGGCGAAGAGTTACGATTTTCATGCATTAGAATGAAGAGTATTCAATTCTTCAATAGTCAAAACCAAATAGTTATGACAGACATTCTTCCTGTATAGAATCAATCAATCAATCGATTAAATAGATCAGATCAAACGAATGCAAGGAGTATCAATGGAAATACAATTTGTTTTCTCCCCATTTTTGATATGGTTATTTCGATTTTCTATTTTAGCGAAAAAGCATAACTAGCAATTCCAGCAAAGTTTGTATCTGTATCGCTTTCAGTGATCGGAGTATTCATTTCCACATTCTAACAAGACACAACATTGAATGCCACAGCCCATTTTCCTCATCAAACCCTCGCATCACGCCCTAAGGGGAAGCTGACTTAACTTTCCCTGTAAATATCACTTACAGACACAGCATTTGCATTTATTGGGCAAATCGTTTTAAAAACGTCAAATCGAATATTGGAATCCAAAACAGAGCAAATCTCATCTAGCGGATTACTCGTGTTAATCTCCGATTCTCTCTTCAATCCATTCTCCGACAAAAATCGAATGATACTACTGGGAGACACATTGCTCAGACTCATTTCCATCGACCTGAGCAAATAGTGGTAAAGACAATAGAAGGATAACTTCTCATAGTTTCCAGATTGTTGCAGAGCCGCTTCGGCTGCAATGATCGCTGCACTTGCCCATGACGTCGCAACAGGATTCGATATCGAATAGTTTCTGAAATTGTCACATATATCACGAACATAAGAAGCGTTCATTATCGGACTCGCCACCATCCCAGCAGGCTCAGCAAAGGAACCTTGGCCCGAATACTTCACTCCCAAATCCATCATTTCTTGTAAGTCATCTTCTTGGAAATCCGAAAGAATCGAGAAACTCATTGGGTAATTGCGATATCTTGCCTTTTCATGGATTTCCTCACACGATTTCTTGTAGTCTTCATAGTGGGACCTACACATCATTGAACTATATCAAAAATGTACGAAACATATTCTTCATTTTCCTGATATTCCTTGGGTTCATAATCGTTCAATTATTGCTCATAGCCTGGGAGTCCACACGAATACAACCGATCTTTTCTCTTCACTTCGATTCGAATCGTCGTGGATACTGCACTCACTTGATTCCTTGCATAAATTGTGTACGATCCTTCTTCAGACACTTTTGTGGGCGTACCTGTGATCTCTCCCGTCTTTGCATTCCATGAGAGTCCCGCAGGAAGAGAACAGCTAGCATCCATATAGAATTCATCGACAATGTTGCTATAAGCAGGGCTTGGAATATAGCTCGATCTTCCTTTGAATAGAATGAAGGTGCCAACATTGATGTACGCATAATTTTCGATGTTGTTCAGAATACAGAACTCATCTTGAATATCTCCCAGTTGTCCTTCCGAGCAAATACGATAGGGGAATCCTCTATATCCATATCCACAACTTACAACTGAAATCTCGCTTTCTCCAACAGAAGGATAGTTCTCGAGTCCAGGACACATTTCTCGTCCCTCATTCTGGTCATACTGAAGAATAAATGAGCTGATATCAGCGAGGGTGTTTCCACTCTTCGTCTCATATTTGAGCTTATTCAATCCATTTCAATTCAAGGCAATACGCCAAACATTCCGTTGAGTAGCGTTTAAGGTTATTGAATCAAGTTCGAGCAAAGGATTATGACTACTTGTGTCTGGTTCATCAGCATAGAGAACAAACCCATAATTAGGAATGGGACTTGATGCTTGAATACCAAAACTATTGAACTTGCTATTCTCCAAGTTATCAATTTTCCTCTCAACAAAAGTACGTGAAGAGTAATGATCGTCGAAAAAGGTAAAAGGAACCAGGTCGAACAACGGTTCAAAATTCTATTGTTAATTCTCTCAACATCACCATTTTCATCCACAATCGAATAGGAATCAGTCAGGATCGAACATTCATTCACACCAAATACACCAGTAGCATCGAACACAACATAGTCAAAGGATGATTCGTATTGAGAACGATGGATTTCGAAGGTTACTTCATTCTTACCAATGAACTGACCAACCATAGGCAGAAGAACATGGAACTTGGAGAAAGAATTCGCATCATGCATTGTCTCGCCCATAGTTTCCGCTGTAAAATCAGCTCCAAGGTTGAAACGAGCCACCAGGAAACCATTATAGCAAGCGGCCACTCCTCCGACATATTTGATGCGAACGTTCAGCATACGATACCTAGAAGCATCAGGTATATATCTATTCTTGTTGAAAAGAGCAGACTCATGTTGTCGAATTAGATAAATTTGGAGATATTTGGAATTATCAATACACTACAAACAATCATCCCATGTAATACTATAGGCATTTTGATGTGATTTATTATATCTAATATAGTATTTGAGGTAGTATTCTGTGTTAAAACCTATTTTAACTTCAAACTCTTCTT